TGCGTTTCCTTGGTCTGCTTGAGCAACGAGCCAGGATCGGTCGGCTGCAGCCTGATCCTCGAAGTGTAGCGAGAGGGCGATCTGGTCGCTCGGTGTGAGACCGATTCGCAGGTGTCCTTCCAGATTGAGTAGCTCCATGCTCTGACACCAGCGGTGGAAGCGAGGCATCTTGGAGCTCAGGAGGGGTCGGGCTCGTTTGCATACTCTGAGCAGGATCTTGATGGTGTTGTGGTCGAGGGCAAGCTGGAAACCGTCGTTGCAGCATATGATGGTGAATCTATCTGGGTAGTGTTCATCGATGGCCGGGTGAGCCATGTTGGCTGAATGATGCAACAGACTAGGATGTGAGGAGAGTGCAGTGATGATGTCCAGGCGAGATGGGTGGAATGGAATGAGAGTGGCACAGTCACGAAACCAGGATCGCATTGGATCCATGGATCGAGTGCCAGTCAACCAATGCTTGTCACCCGCATTCCCACACATCCAGCATCTGTCATTACCACCAGCGTTAGATATCGATTGGTTTGGCGGCAACTCACACTCAGACATGCAACGCCGTCCTCCATCGACAACTGTCATGATGATCACCATCAGGGCCCACAGATCCAATGCCGAGACAGAGATGGGGTTGGGAATCGAGACAGCGACACAGAGGAGATACACAGATCTTCCGATGTGCCCAACTGGACTCAGCTGGTCTGGACGTGGTGAGTAGTGAGCGAGTGGTGAGTGAGTGGTTGTCGATGGACGACATCATTGCCTTGATGTGCGAACCAAGCACAAATACAATGCACACAGCCGCATGTCAGCTTTGGGGAAGCTACTGCCCGAATGATCCACAAAGTACTCTGCCCATATCATATGCATGATCACACCGAGTCCGTATGCTCACCCACAATCAAGACTGCATCAAAACCCGTCGCGCAACCTCCAGAGAAGAACATCAAGGTGTGCTTGTGTTGGCAGGGAAATACGGATGGCAGGGAAATACTGATGGTAGAGAAACACTGATGGCAGGGAAACCTGATGGCATGGAAATGTGAATGGCCAAAGAGTTCCGGTGCCTCGAGGCCATCAGACAAGACTCTAACGAGGACCATCAAGACGCTCATCCGACCTACGATGGAGAATGGGACTGATCCTCGAGATCCTCAGCAAGCGGCAGGCGGTAAGCACTGTGGGTCGAGCGAGGATCAAAAGTGGAGAGGTGCTACTGCAGCATGATAGCGAGTTGAGTACAGGCACCGCTCTGACCATCCATAGGGAATGTACAGACCCTGCAAGCAGTGCACCAAGGTCGAGGAGAATCTTTGCAATCGCTGAGCCTCGACCACTCCCCGAGCTGTGTTGATGGGGATGATTGAATGCAACAGGTGAATGTTTTCCGTCGAAGATCCGAAACTCGGATATCCCGGCTGGAACAAGAGCAATCACGAAAGCGTTCGGGACAGTCGACAAGCTGCTCGAACCTGACGACTGCGACTGGCTGCGCGATCGGTACAACGAACGACGTGAGATGCAGATATCCGATCGACAACACCGAATGTCAAAACATTGTTGAGGACACTTGGAAGAGTGTTCGGGTTACTCGTCATCATCAATGGTGGACGGAAACGTCCGAGACGACAGGAGCAGAGTCAAGCCGAGCACGATGGAAAGCGACAGCTTGTACTTGTGTGGCTGATTGACATTTATCATACCTTCACGACTGTGATTTGCAAGCACAGACGAGGTATAGATGTCCCTCAGCCTTTGAATAGAGAAAATTACAAGCAAGCTAAAATAAAACTATCCCCCCCCCAGTTCGAGGTTCGGTTGCCACGCCCCATTCCCCATGCCAGTCATAATCATAGCCGAAAAATCACACGTCCCGGGCGGGCTCCTCAAAAGTCAACAGGAGCCATGACCTGAGCCACGGAACAGCAGATGTCCAAAAACAAGAGCAAATAACGACCACACCAGGGGTCGAACCTGGAATCTCTTGATTCGTAGTCAAGCGCCTTATCCATTTGGCCATGCGGCCGATTTCTTGGAAAGGTTCGAAAAAAATTGAGATCATAATGGCAAAATTTATCAACCTCAACCGCCATGCCGCTCCATCACCGCCGCATCATACTGCCCCAGCGCTAATCTCCACCCTCGACATTTTGAATTGCTGTTTATATATATATTGTAATTCTATTCGTGCCACGCTGCGAAACACAATGGCGGCACCTGGTCGTCAAAATGGAGTATTTACTTGGCCTAGCGCCGAGTCATCCAGGGATAGCGGTTCCAAGGAGCCTCATATGGTCCGGCTGTTCCATGCTCCAATATTTGCGCCGCAAGTTGTGAGCGAGTCAGATCATGCCGATAAATTTCCCAGCAACCACAGCCGGATTTATCCGTAGCTCTGCCGAGCAAATCATGCGCGCTGAAAGTGTGAGACAAGCTTTACCGTCATCGCTTGTTCCAAAAGAATCTATTTGAACGCCGTATTCGTGTTGGAGGAGTGGTCATTCTCGTTCATAGGACTATTGAAACACGCTGACAAGCCCAATCAGGTGACGATATCAACAGGCCCTCCGTATTGCCTCGGGCAGTATCGATGGGTACGACGGCCGAGCGACATCACAGCCTTCCAAATAAAAGAAATAATGCGCACGGACGAGTGAGGAACAGGTGTGATGGAGGACACACACTTAAATGTTGGTATGACATGACAAGACCGACAATCGGAATCAGAGTCAGAATCACAATACGGCGAGACAAAAGTGCATGGTCCGGGAATCGAACCCGGGTCTGCCGCGTGGCAGGCGGCAATTCTACCACTGGACCAACCATGCTTGAATGATAAGGTTATTCCAATATGCTATATGAATACAGTAATGCTTGACGCCGCAAACGCAGCCACCAGCTATTCTTTCGACACCACAACCACTGCCATCAGCATTTCATTCGACACCGCAACCACTGAAACCACGGCAACCACTGCTACCACTGCTACCACTGCTACCACTGCTACCACTGCTACCACGGCAATCATTGCAACCACTGCAACCACTGCAACCACTGCTACCATTGCTACCATTGCAACCACTGCAACCACTGCTATCCACCAAAGGCCGAAATTTGCGGCATGTTGCCCAATTCAACATGGTCACAGTGCCAGATGGGTAGCGATCGTTTCAACTTATGGCTCTGGATCCATTTATTCTTCGCATGATAATAATGCATCCCTGTCAACGCTGGCCTCCAAAAACCGAACTTTGGATAATATAAGGGATTTGCTCTCGACATTCGCGTCTGTATATCAACGACTCACTTGCCTCTGAGTCACTGGTGTTGGCTTTTGGAGGCTCCAAATGTGATATCTTATTGTCTTCACCACGGTTGCCATTTCGAAAGATCCGTTTGCAAAGGAGCGACCATGTCAAGTATCTCATGTCCAGTCAAGTACTACAAGACCTGAGAAATCATATCTTTAGATGTGATTTCGGAATTGAATATCCACCGCAGCTCATTCGAGGCGTGGCCGCTATTCGTTTGAGGTGTCTCTGTTCAAAGTTATCCCTCAAACAAAGCACCATACGGTCAACAAGATATCGGGACATTGCGGGAGATCTGTTAGGGAAGATTAGGGAGAAACAGCAAGCCTGTATACGTGAAGAGATATATTATGATGAAGGAACAAGAATATCCTCGAACAAGGAGTAATACTGGTTTGGGGTGAGCATGGGCTTTATAGGAAGATATCCTGTCGTGGCGCGCGCGGTTCAGGGCGCGCCGGATATGTTCCCGCCAACGTTGGTTCATAACAAGATCGCCCTTGTACGATTGTATGATTGATATGGAGTGCTGACCTGGGTGATCATACGTGCATGGTTGATATCGATCGGCTCCATCACATCTCGCGTCTGGGGACAGGTAACGGATGATCAAGCGGATGGCCAAGCGGATGGTCAAGCGGATGGCCAAACGGATGGACAAACGAAGTACATGCGATTTTACACTCTGGATGTCCTTTCCCAGATATTGACCATGTATAATCTTCAATCGAAGTTGTACAATTTACTACGTGGCTGAAGCGGGCGCGGAAATATGTGTCTGTGTAATGCGCAGTATTCTCGTCGGATTTACGGATCAATGTTCAGCTTCGAAAAATGGCAGCTTGTGCCTGCGGCCGAAGAGTGGTCGCAAAGCTGTGTCGGCTCGGCCGCTCCCTGTGGGCAAGTGGAGAAGGCATCCGTGAGCAGAAATGGGGTGTTTATTTATTCGGTATATACTGATGTCGCATTGTAGACAGAGTTGATCACTTGCGCGGGAGAATGGGTTAAAGTACACAGCGCATTTTGGCTTTGAGCGGACAGCAATGAATTGCAGTGGTTGCCGTAGTTGCCGTAGTTGCCGTAGTTGCCGTAGTTGCCGTAGTTGCCGTAGTTGCCGTAGTTGCCGTGGTTGCCGTGGTTGCCGTGGTTGCCGTGGTAACAGTGGTAGCAATGATTGCCGTGGTTGCGGTGTCGAATGAAATGCTGATGGCAGTGGTTGTGGTGTCGAATGAGTGGCTCATGGCTGCGTTTGCGGCGTCAAGCATTGCTGTATTCATATAGCATATTGGAATAACCTTATCATCCAAGCATGGTTGGTCCAGTCAATAGGTGGGTCTTTATTAAAGACTTTGCCTTAGCGTCCCTTTTGGGCTCTGGCACTGGGTGTTGGCTTTGCCAACCGGGACATTTGGGTCGTCGGTGTACAGCTCTCTATCCCATGGGGCCTGTTTGCGGAGGGACGGCGATGTCAAGTTTTGCCGAACTCATCCATTCAGTGACAGTTTGGGACTCTAGCTCCGGCTTCCCTGTCCAAGTGTCTGCTCATGCGTCTGGGAGGGTTTCTTTCTCAGGTACTTGTTTGCTGCGATTGGTCAGCCCGAGGGGCCGCTGTCCACGACAGACATTTGGTTGCGATGTCATCCAGCACCGCCACGACATCCAGCCAGATCGCTGGTCTGTTGTTCAGTACTCGGCTGCGCTTGGCACGCCATCTTCTCTGTTTTTCAGGATCGGTGGTGAGTGGTCTTGTTGGCACTCGAGCCAACTTGGGGAGTGCGTCGATTGCAAGGTCGATGTAGGTGATGCCTTCGGGGATCGATGTGGGGTGAACATATTTCTCGAGTCGGTCCTTGGCTCGGACACATTCTGCTGCATGTTTTCTGTTGACATACACCTTGGGGCCGTTGGGTCCGGTCTTTTTGCACTCCTTGTCGGGTTTAGGTGGGAAACACCCGACTCGCCACAGGAGCATTCTCCTTGCTTGGGCAACTGTTGCTACTGGCATCCGCGCTGTCAGGATGGGGTCGCCTTCCCACTTGTAGGTGCCTGCGATCGACATTACTTTCTCGGGCTTCCGCTCTTTTTCAAAACTGTGAACGATCACCGCCTTCTTGATGGGTGTGCCGGTGCCAGTTCCAGATTCAAACAGGTCCAGTCTTGTTCTGTCTGGGGAGTCTCGGTGCTGTCTCTCGAGCTCCTTCCATGCGGCGCTTCCGGTCAGCTTGGAGAGTATCTTCTTGTTTGGGTTTCTTGGGGGCAACTCGGTGATGTACTTGAGCACGTGGGATCCAAGATATCCTGGGTCGTCTTTCCTGTCGAACCACCGTCCGAAGCACTTGATCATCAGTATCTGTTTTCTGGTCGCCATGGTGTAGATTCCTGTGGCTGTCATGACAGCCGGACCAGACGCGTTCTGGCGGATGTTGAGTGCCGATCGCAGTGTGTCCAGCATGCACCCCTGTAGAGTGTTCATTATCGGGCCCTTCATGTTGACGATGGCAAGGCCGTACTCCAGACGGGGCCGGATGAAAGCCTTGTAGATTTTGACGATCAGTCCAGGGTAGACTGACTTGCTGAAGATGCCGTGTTCCTTGAGCTCTTTGGTTCGGAACTGGGCTTTGTGCTTTAGTTGAGTGACGTGGGCCTCTGCGTCGATGCCATCAGGGCCGAACTGCACCCCGAGGTACTTGTAGGTGCTGGTGACGAAGCTAAGAGGTGTTCCCTTGAGTGTGATTGGGGTCGGGTTTGCTTCCGCGGTAAGCACTTCGCATTTGGTCGGAGAGAAAGCGTAATTGTTTTCGTCTGCGTGTGCTTCGGAGATGTCAACAAGTCTTTGGAGGTCTTCTTGGTTTTTTGCTACCAACGCCATGTCGTCCGCGTACATGACATTGTTGATGATGAGGTTCCCTATTCTGGGTGATGTGACTGCTCGTAGGTTCTGTGCGAGGTCATCCATGAAGAGGCTGTAGAGGGTGGGTGAAAGAACCGACCCTTGCAGCAGCCCGATCTCCAGCCAGTACGGCCGGGATTTGGTGCCGCTCACGAGAACAGCGGTGGTCACGTTGTCGAAGAGCGCGCGTAGGATGCGGATGGTATGCGGGGGGATGTCTCGTTGCTCGAGTTTGTGCCAGAGCCGATCCCGGTCAACTGAGTCGTACGCGGCTTTGATGTCCATGAACGCGATCCACGGGGTGTGGCCGTCGTTCTGTAGGAACTTGACGATTGAATCGAGTGCGAATACCTGGTCCAGGGTTCCCCTGTTGCTGCGGAAGCCTCCTTGGGAGATGTCGATGGGGCCCATCTCCTGGAGGAGTCGGCTATGTAAGATCCTTTCGAATACCTTTCGGACAACTTGTAGCAGAGAGATCGGGCGATAGTTCTTGATGTCCTCTTCTTCGCCCTTCTTCTTCCAGATGGGGTGGCTGATGGCGACATTCCATTCTTGAGGGACGATGCCGGTCCACATGCACCAGTTGAAGAGCTGACGCAGCCAATCCGAGACTTGGTCGGTTACTGGGTGTAGGAGCTCGGCACTGATCCCGTCGGACCCAGGGGCCTTGTGTTTCCCCATGCGTCGGATGGCTGTTTTTACTTCTTCTGCTGTGATTTCGCGGCCCAAGAGGCGACTGAATAGTATTTCCTGAGGACGCGGTGTATCGTTGGCTTCTTGAACACCGAGACGACTTGAGATGTTCCCAAAGTGGGCCCGGTACTGGTCCATGCTGTCTTGGTCGTTCGGAAGAATCGACCGGTTGAAGAAGCCGCTTTTGACCTTGTCTCGCTTGCTGATTTCCTTGAGGAGCTCAGAGTCCGATTTGGTGGAGAGAGACTGGGCCCAGGTGTTGTAGAAGGCGCGTTTCTGTCGTCGTATGAGGTCCTTGAGTTTGTTGTTCATGTTTTCGTAGTCGGCCATGGCCTGCAGTTGGATTCTCGAGCCTTGTGGCGACCGGTTCACGATTCGATAAGCCGTGTTTCGTCGTTTCTTGATGTCAGCCATTTCCGGTGTCCAAAAGCCGTTGCGGGGAGCCGGGCCATCCTTCTTTCGCTTCCCAATGACGATTTGTGCCACCGCTGTGACGTGGTTCTTGATGATATTCCACCCAGATTCAACGAGGGCTTCGGCGTCTTCGCGTGCCATAGGTCCATCCTCTTGTGGTAGCCGGGTTCCCAGCTGTGTGATCTGCTCTACGACTACTGGGTGGTGGACTCTAAAGGCTTCCGTGTATTGCTGGAGGGTTTCGGGATCTTCGAGCTTGTTGGTTCGCCACACGAGGATTGGTGGGCGGGCAGGCTCTCTGGCGGCGTTCCATTCAAGTTCCATCGACACCATGCGGTGGTCTGAGTTACAGGTATCGTTGGAGTGGACCGTCACCGTCTTGGCGTTGTGTCTCAGTGCCGTCGAGACAAAGAAGAGGTCCAGTACTGAGTGTTGTGGTTTCTTCCCGTTGACGACGTGGGTCCAGTGTTGCCCCGTGGGGTTGGTCGAATCCACGAATTCCAGGAAGCCGCCCGCTACAGCTGTCCGCAGTGGTTGTAAACGGTTGGCGGTTTCATGGGTGTCTCTGCTTGTCTGGCCCATGCGGGTGTTGAAGTCGCCCATGATCACAGATGGGATAGGTTTGTTCATTTCTGTGGTGTTGGTCTTGATGGCCGACAGGGCTTCTCGGAACTTTTGCAGGGCTGCCGCATTGGCTGATAGAGCAGGCTTGAGGTAGAAAGATCCAAAGACGATGCCTCGGAACTTGAACCAGATGCTCGTGTGATGAGGTCCAACGCGGAAGTTGCTAAAGTCTTCGAGGTTGGTGGTTTTCGGGTTCCGAATGAGGGCGATTCCTCCGGTGCCTCTTGCGAGGCCGTCGACAGAGACATATGGCTCTCGGGTTTCGAAAACTATGAGGTTCTTGTAAGGTCCGATGGATTGCTGTGGTTTGAGCCACGTTTCTTGGACTGTTATAAAGTCGAGGTCTTTTGCTTTTACCATTTCGATAACCTCGTGTATATAGGTTTCAAGTCCGCAGACATTCAGGGTCGCGAACCTAATAGTGGGCGTAGGTTGGGGCTGCATCATTTGCGGGGAGGAGTGGTTCCTTCGCGTCCGCCTTTTTCTTGGCGGCCTGGTTTGTTGCGAGCCAGTTCCTTCGCCTTAGCAGTGATCTGCTCGGCGACGGCTGGGTCGTTCATCTTCCGTTGGTACAAGGTCGCCGTGAGGAGGTCATTGGATTCCGCACATATCCTGGCAGCGCGTTCAATGAAGCTCTTGATTTGGAGCTTCTTGGACTCCTTCTCGGCCTCGGTGATCTTCGACACGTCCATGTGTGCGACTTCAGTGAATTTCATGTCCGTAATGTGCTTCAAGAATTCTTCTCTCGAGCTCTTGTCTCTGAGAACAAACTCACAGACGCTGTTGTTGACAAAGCTGATATTGAGAATCTGGTTGGTGGCAAAGCCCTTCTCCTTGAAAGCTTGTCTGATCGTGCGGTAGCTACCCCGAGGGATACCCTTGACGTAAACCCAAGCGGCGTTGTCCATCCTATCCTTTAAGGGTCCTTCCTCGACAGGGACCGAGGATCTGATCATCCTGAATGGCGTGGCAGTCTTGGGCACCAGCCACTTGCCGTCGGTGGGGTCACGGCCGCGGAGGATGGCGCCGATGGCCTCGTTCTTCTTGCCGGCATCGGCCTCCTGGTGGACTTTTTCGAGGGCCGCCAGCTTGCGCGCGTCGATTGTCTTGTTGTCGGGCTGCTTCTTGGCACCCCGCTGGGCGGCTGCTGCGTAGGATGTCGGAGCTGGGCGTTCCGAGATGGCCCGGGACGCATGCTCCAGCTCGGAGGCGAGCGTCTGCATGCACTCGGTGGCGCTCTGGGTCAGGGCCTTGATTCTAGCAGCTTCCTCGGGCTTGCTGAGGTCCAGCTTGGCGAGTTCTTCGTTAATCTTCTGAGCTTTCTTGAGAAGCTCACTCTGGATGTGCTGAAGCTGCTGTTGGGGACTCTGCTTCTTGCGCATGTCGGTGGCGCAGACGCGCTTCCCGACAGCCCTGGCATCGGCGAGGGAGGCCCGTTGTTCGAAAAGCTTCCATCCGGCTTCGTCATGGCGGGTCATCAGGCCCCAGAATACGAGGATGGAAAAATGCTTCCCGCATTCTTCCACCTTGGTGGCGGCGTCCGGGCTCATCAGCATGTTCTTGCAGACGACCGAGTGCTGGGCGTCGTCGATACGCCAGGCGGGGGGCTTGCTCCCTCTGCAACGGGAGCATTGAACTTGGTCTGCCTTCAGAGCGAAGACAAACCTAAAGCGGCGGTAGGTGATGTCTTTGAAATCGACCGGGATGAAGTCCTGGTCGGTGAGAGTGTTGTTCTTGGCCTTCTCGAGGATCGAGAGGGCCCACTTCTTTTCTTCAACCACGTCGGGCGGGTTGGGAAAGATTGCCGAATCTGCATAGAGCTCTTCGATAATTTCTTCGACGGTCTTCTTGCGACCGACGTGCAGCTGGATGGGCTCACCATCCCTGCGGTGCTTTTTGGTGGGTGCTGATTCGGTGGCCTCGGTGATATTGGCGCTACTGACCTGATGGCCGTTGCTTCCTAGGCTGCGATTTTCGTCCGGTTGGCCTGGTTCTTGGGCAGCAGGGCTGCCCGAGGTGTCTATGGCCATCTCGTTGATGGCCGTTTGGGTCGGGGGCATGTGGAGGGGGTCGTTGGTTGAGAGTGTTGAGCGGTTTGTTAATAAAAGAGCGACGGAGAGCCTGTGCCTGTGGATCCAAAAGTTGAGATCAAGGTCAAGCTCGCATGGTTGGTCCAGTGGTAGAATTGCCGCCTGCCACGCGGCAGACCCGGGTTCGATTCCCGGACCATGCACTTTTGCTTGGCGTTTTTTTGGGCCATTCTTTTTTTCCATACCACCCTCCTCTTCCGCGGCTGGGTTGGCTGGCTTCGGATGGTATCGTGCATTCCCATGGCCCTTTTCATTCTATCCATTCATTCGGTTGATTGCCGACGGAACCAGTGGCGATTTTGCTGTTCTGTATCTTGTTGCCCGGTTGGACGCCGCAATACCGTGACGCCATCGGCGGCAGTGCCCGCAATCAACCGAGACCCTCTGGTATCTGTATCAGCAAATTCGCTCCAACAATGGGGTGGGTGCTTGGTGTTTTGCAAGTACCACTTCACTCTTGAAACAATCAAGACACGGCCGAGGAAAAATGCACTTACCAGGAAAGGTATCGATGGCAACAGCCCCAGAATAGGGCATAATTGGCGTCGTGTATTGGTCTGGCAGAAGACACGAAGGGCATCGAGAATCGAGACGAGGCACGCAGGGGCCGGAAGCGCGATAGGAGGCGGTATGAGCTGAGCAACGAGACAAGTTGGGTGGGCAGAGCTCGGTCGCTCACAGGCGGCGCAATCGGAGCCCAAGATTCATGATTCAAGATTCAAGACTCAAGGAACAAGATTCAAGGGACAAAACCCCAGTCGCCGAACAACCAGCTATGGCAAAATCCTGTTCATGGTGTGCGGTGTGCGGTGTGTGGTGTGTATGGTGTGCGATGTGCGATGTGCGATGTGCGATGTGCGATGTGCGATGTGCGATGTGCGATGTGCGATGTGTTGTATAGATAGGTGACGGTATGACGATGCATGTTTGATCAGCATACGGAGATAAGATTTTGGTATCGCGGGACTGCGATGGTGGTGTGGTGGGTGGCTCTGGGAGAATAGTTCGTCGATATTGATACAGTAACATAGGATATGAAATTAATGACGGCACAACCAACGGATGGGTAGCGCAGTCGGCAGCGCGTGGGTCTCATAATCCCAAGGCCGCGAGTTCGATTCTCGCCTCGTCCATTCTCTTTTGGTCTGCAACCAACCTGTGTTGGCTCTGCCGTGTGTTTTTCACTCTTGCCGTCTGGCCTGTTTCCCATCGCCATCTCTCAGCCACATGCAGAAGCGCCTTGGTGTCTCTGCCTTTGCGCTTTCAATTTTCAATTTTCACAGACCCCTGCAGCAGCCACGGCTCGGACTGGTCGTGGCCATCGATGTGTGCTGCTGGCTGTTGCTGGCTGTTGCTGCTGGCTGTTGCTGGCTGTTGCTGCTGGCTGTTGCTGGCTGTTGCTGCTGGCTGTTGCTGGCTGTTGCTGGCTGTTGCTGGCTGTTGCTGCTGGCTGTTGCTGGCTGTTGCTGCTGGCTGTTGCTGCTGGCTGTTGCTGCTGGCTGTTGCTGCTGGCTGTTGCTGCTGGCTGTTGCTGCTGGCTGTTGCTGCGCACAGGCCTTCTTGGCCTGCCGCTGTTCCTTTGCCTCGGACATTCCCGCTCCTCCCCGTCGCCAACTCCATCCGCCATGAGCACCGGAAGCTTCAATGCAAACAAAACCAAGGTGTGTCGCGGCGTCCCTCCCCCGGCTCAGTCGCCATGGCTCTCGCCTGTTTTCTGCATGACTTGTGCTTGACTGTTGCAGGGCATCCGCAAGGCATCTGCGTGGGTTTTACAGCGTTTCTGTGTGGGCTTCTGCATGAGCTTTGCTGGGCCTCTGTGTGGGTTCTGCACCATCCCGCCACCGTTCCCGCTGGCCGCCATTCTTCTCGACCCACATATCACATATCACATATCACATATCCACATATCCGCATATCCGCATACCCACACGACCAGCACCATCGCCGCTCGTGTGTGCGTCTCGATCATGTTCAACCCCTTGCTCAACCTCCATTTGATTCCCTTGGCCCATTTCGGCATCTCCCGTTTCCTCGCCCAGGTGCTCCTCAAGCTGTCACTCAATCGCTTGAAGCTCCTCCAACAAAAGAAGGCCCAGATGGCCCAGCAGGCCCGGCGCGAAATCGCAGTCCTTTTAGAAAAGGGCAAGATTGAGTCGGCCCGAGTCCGGGTAGGCACACCATGCAAATCTCAGATCGGTGCACTCCTCGACAACCACCTGCAGGCGTTCGTCTCTTCAACTCCAGACTTCCTCACACTCTTTATTGCTCATATCTCTTCGCCAGGTGGAATACATTATTCGCGAAGACTATAATGTCGAGGCCATGGAGATTCTCGAGCTGTATTGCGATTTAGTTTTGGCTCGCTTCGGCCTCGTCGAGCAGATGAGGTCAGCACCCTCCACGACGGCTTCTTCCCCATCTGGCATTTGCTCTCGTCCTGCTGCGTGAGCTCCAGAATCCGGTGTGTCCTTCTGGTAACCAGACTTTCCCGAGGCAGACACTGCGATCCCGGCATTGCTGAGGCAGTCAACACCATCATCTATGCCGCACCGAGAATGGAGGTCAAGGAGCTCTCCCAGGTCCGGGATCAGTTCATGCTCAAATACGGACGCGACTTTGCGTCTGCAGCCATCGAGAACATTGGCGATATCGTCAATCCCAGGGTATGATCCATGCTCTGGCACGCAACGTGTTGTTGGATTTGAGACTCGTCGATTTCTTCAGTATCTGTCAAGGATGCCAATACTTCGATGCTATGATCCTCTGGTGTGCGTGTGTTTCCTGCTCGTTTCCTGACCCTCACATCGTTGTCGCTCTTAGGTTGTGAACAAGCTTAGGGTATGCACACCGGAGAAATTGCTGGTCAATCAATATCTCAATGCCATCGCCGCGGCCTACAAAGTCGACTTTGTGTGTCCCGAGGAGGACCTCGAGTAAGTTCGGCGTTGTTACTGCCCTCGCCTTGCTGGTGATCCCTGTCGCCTTGGCTCGTCCGTGCTCGGTGGCCCGAGCCGATGCAGTTTTGAGCCGTGTCGTAACGCCAGGGACTTTCTCTGATGCTTGCTACAACATTCCAACATGTCCATAGACCCATCCCGGATCTTCCAACTGGACCTGACGCTGGACTTGTGCAATATGCGTCCACACCGATGTCACAACCGTTTGAGCTCTACCATCCGCCGAGTGCAGCGACAACTGTGGCTGCAACGCCTGGAGTCCCAAGGCTCAACTTTCCCTCCCCCGAGGACGCCCTTGCCAGTGCACCGATTTCACCGTACGCCCCTGGATATGCACCACCCACCGTCTCTCTCCTCCCAAGCCAGCTGAACTTTCCGGGGCCATCGGATGTCCGATCAGTTCGATCTGCTGTTATTCCTGGGCCTGATTCGTTGCCGCAAACGGTAAGTGATGGCCTGACACCCACAGTGTCCAGGTTGGCCGTCCTGGCACTTGCATCTCGGCGGCCCCCACTTGCTCATGGCTTGTAAAGGGGGGTACGAGTTCTAGGATGAATGTCCCGATTTCTGGCATATGTATTCCTACGCTCACGATCACGGGCGAGGCTCTCCTGTCAAAGAGCAGATCGATGGAGTGTCATGACATATCGTTTGACCGTCATCAAATATCGCTCCTTCCGTCTCACCTTTCATGTCGCTTTGTGTTCGATCGCTCATCAGGGTCCAACCTTTTCGATCCATTCGGCGCCATTGCCTGGAAGAGATGCCTTCCCTGGACCATCAGTGTCTCCTGATCCACTTGACTCCGTTCAGGATGACTTGGAGAAGCGTAAGTTGATGGACGACTCCTGATGATCGCACTCCTGCAGCCATTGTGAGGCGATTGTGGCCACTTCAAGTTCATGGCTGAACCATCTTTCGCTGGCCTCATCCAGGACTTGCAGCCCTCAAAAAGTAGACGATTGATTTCCACCTCTGAACCACTCGGCCTGATTCACTCGTTTGCTGCTGGATGTGGAGCTGTCGAGTCGGTCGCTCCCAACGTGTGTCATTACGTGCATACATACGTGCTGCCGATGCTGCGATCTCGCCCAGTGCACCACGCAGGCTGATGAATGCCAAATAGATCATTCGGCGGAAACAATTCATTTCCGTCGAGGCAGCGACGAGATGGCTTGTTCAAATCACATGTGCGGTTGACGGAGTGCGTGCTGGCCTTGACTTTTCGGCTTCATCCATTAATGGCCGTTTGTGCTGATACCTCGGGCAGGCCGGCGAGATAAAAGGCCACCGATGTACTCACTGTGTAAATCATGCACGCCGAGCGCTCTTTCGAGTGATGTATGCGTGAGTGCACGGCATATGCCTGAGCCTCTGTTGTTCCGTCGGATGACCAGGCAGATGAAGGCCACCCAGACCCGCCCATCAAATGTCATTCGTCACGGACGCGGACGCAAATGCAAATCACATCCCTCACTCCATCTGATCGCCTGGGATTCTCGCTGGCCGTCCCATACACATTTCCTGCCGCAGACACCTGCATCCAGCGCTGCTCCGAGCTGGATCTCCAGTGGCCACTGCCGCTGCGCCTTGCCAAAAACACACAGCCTCTAGATCCATCTTGCTTCAGCAGTCACAGCCTTCACCTGCTCGACCTATCCCGCCAGCATACAACCTCGTCGATTGACAATGGACGGCCACTCGAAACGCAAGGCCGAAGATGATGGGCGAGAGCTCTTGCCTCACCTGGAGGACTTCCAAGCGATTGTCGAAACGCTCAAGGCCGAAATGTCGTCGCTGAGCCATTGCTATGAGCAGCACCCGATCGGACTGCCCGTTCCCCCGGCCGGTCTCCACAACAACACCGTCAACCTGCTCAATAAGATCAGCCTGAGCTTTGCCGATCTCTTGCAGATCTCCCGAGCAACAGTGGTGCACACCAAGTCCACCAAGGACCAAACCAGCAAAATCAAGCAGAACCTCGACCGCTCCCAGATCTCGCTCCAGAACCTGAATTATGAGCGGCTCCATCTGAAGCGACAGATCGAGCTCTGCCAGGATGGGAGGTGAGCCTCTCTGCGCCCGATTTGACTCGACGAGCGGGGGGTGCTGATCGACCGCCGGGCCATTTTCAATCGGCTGCTCCTTTTGTCTCGGTATTTTTGTGCGGCTGTTGAAGACCTGGCAGCAGATACCCGTCATTCATCGCTGCTCGACCAGCGTGGCGGATCGACGGACACTCGACTTGCATTTATCGGAGCGAAACAGACGCCCCATGGTTCGGATGGGCATGTCCACTCAGTATCTTATGGTGCTGGTTCTGCATAACCCCCTGCCCCTCGTCATCGAAGACAGCTGCTCGGTGCTGAGCCGCGTCATTTGATTGAGTCTTATGGTTGGACCACAATGATCTCTGACGGTTCGCTCTTCGTTTCACCAGCAACATCTATCAGGACATCGACTTGATTTCGGAGAGCGAGTTCCAGTCGCTCTCAAAGGACAGCGACGCTGGCCTCGATCCTCACGCGAGGATGCTGGCGCGGCTACAGATGGAGCTCGCTGAGCGGATCAGGTAAGGCGAAAGGGGGATGTGTTGTCTTGCTTGGTTGCTGGATCGGTGCCTGGAGTAGGGACTGGCGGTACTAAGCGAGTCGATCATTCATCAGACTGTCGGAGGAAGAGAAGCGACTGATCGAGGTCCGCGATGCCCTTGCCAAAGAGAGTGCCGCCAAGGCTACCGAACTGGACCAGATCGACCGGGATCTCGAAAGCGTGGTCAAGGTACTTCCTCCTCGGTCCAGCAAGCGAGGGATTGTGCTTGACTGCGCTAGTTTCTCGTGCGATATCATCGACTGCCTCTCGGAGGATAGCCTCCTGACTTACCGACACCTGCGCCGTACAGTCGACTCTGCCCCTCCAGGAGAAGCTGGGCGTGGAAGTGTCCACGGCCCGCAAGAACAACCAAACGGCACGCTGTCTGCCGAGCCCGCTCTTGTCGCTCTACAAGCATTTGATTGGATACAGCGAGTCATATCGTATGTCTGCGTGCACATCTCTCTTGGATCGACGGGTTCATACGTGCTTGTTCGCCAAACGCTTACTGAGTCTTATCTCCTCGCTGGCTTTACCACCGTCTCTGTATTCTCGTGCATTTGTCGGATGCCCTAGCCAACACAGTCGAGATCCTGGTTGTCGGGGACGAGGCCAGTGCATTGGAATTGATCAACGGTCACTCGACGAGCGAATCCCCCGCGCTGCCCACACCCTCGAAATCTTCGAATGACATGGACACGGACGGGCCCGGGGCGGGTGACGACGTTGGTGGCGACGAGGTTGTGGGCGTCAAGCGTGTAGCTGCCGAACAGGAGCGATTCTACGAGGCGCATCCGATGTCGGTTCAGGTGGCGGTACTATCGGCGCATGGTAAGTTGAAGGGAGGGGGGCGCTTGGCCGGAGGGTATCTGCGGCAGCATAAAAGTGCCCGTTGTTGTCGTTGATATGGGAGGCACTCGGCAATGCATGGCACACAGTCGCTGGTAGATGGCTGGTAGATGGCTAGGTCTCATTCCAGGGCCGATCTGAGTGTGCTTGAGGTTTTGGAGTTTCCTGACACATTCTGTGCCGGACGGTATCGTCTCTGTGGTTGTGTGCTGCGTGTCTGCACCCCCACATTCATGTGCTCCCCTCTAGAGCCCAAATCGATCCTCACGACCTTGGAGTTTGTCTACCTGATGCATTTGGATCTTGTCGTTGTTCGATCCGGCTGCCCCGAAACGCACGGATCTGCCTCGCACTTGCTTCCGATCGACCAATGTCTTCTCAGCGGACTCCTCGACCAGGACGATGGTGAATTCGTCATCAAGACTTCACACCGGCTGATCGAAGCTGGGGTCCGATTTGACTCCGTGAAGGCGCGTGGACATGCCTACGAATGGTGCCAGAGCCTGTGCGGTTACTCACATCACGCCAGGCGACCAATATACTTCCGAAGGATCCTCGAGCTCATCCTGGCTCGATGGACCGATCTCCGGCAGCTGGAGGAGCAGCTCGCCGAGTTTGTCGGGCACGACGGATACGAAACGAGCGGCAATCAAGGCTCTGCAGGCCCCATTCATCGGTTTGAACTTGGGGATCTCGACATGCGGAAGTGGCAGGAGGCCGAGCCCAACAGCCGCCGATGCGCCAAGAGCTTCACGTTCCTGATCGCACGCCGATCCAAGGGAAGCAACGGCTCCCAAGGAGGTATGGGATTGCGATTAGCGATGGCGCATGATTTGGGCGTTCTTTGGAACTCAGAGATTCGCTCCTTTAGCTGACGGACGGCGCGCATATCCCTCAATCAGGGCGCACTGTGCAGTGCCGAATCGATATCCCCCGGAGTTATCCGGTCAGTTCGCCGGTATTCCAGCTGAGCGACGATGACCAAGATGCAAGCCCAGATAGAACCGAGCGGCTCAAGGTGAGCACTCGCTGACCATTGAGGGGACCAGCGACAGGGGGGGGGCACCATGGCCTATTGACGCAAGCGATACTCTTAGTGCCATTCTCCCCGGCCTGAAATGTCGCAAATACCACCGAACTGTGCTAATAGGTCAATGTTCTTGTAGGATATCGAGGCTCAAGTCAACCAAGAGACAAAGGAGACTCATGGCGAGTCGCTGACGAACGCGAGCACCTTGTGGGCACAGCTGAGCCGGCTGGAGCGCTGCCTGGAGGAGCACTATTTTGGCACGGCATGATCAGCCTTCCGCAACCATCACCGACACCTGCGATCGCGCTGCATGGCGACACGGGTTCTGGACGGATAGGACGTTTCAGCGCATCCAAATCGAAACAGGACGCCCTGTTTTGAACCGAGTGCGACCCCCCCTCTCTGGGTCCTGAATACATCTCAACTGCGATGCCACAATGCGGGGCGATGTTGGGGACTCGGGTGCTCTCACTCGAAGGTTGCCGAGGCGGTCGCTTGTTATTGCAAATGGCTGGCTATCGCAGACGCCCATCCAGCCCCGGAGGGAAGTACTGCCCTCGCTTGGACTTGGCGTCTGTTCCCACGACCGAGGACAGAGCGAGACCGCACGGTCCTCTCGCCGGGACCGCCTGTGCCGGCCGCGCGCAGCCTGTGTGTCCTCGCTGGTGTCTCGCTGGGCAGTGCAAACAGATTCAAAGCCATCGGCTCCAGGCAACGTTCGCCAACCTTCACCATCTCTCGCCATCTGCATCGGTCTCCTGCCTGCCATGCGTCCCGGCAGCATCTCCACCGCTCTCATTGTCTCGCTCTCGGCCGTCTCGGTCTCGGCCTCGGCTCCCGTCTTCATGGAGGGATCTCTGCTGCAGCGATGGCGGGATCTGAGATGTGAGTCTCGCTTTCTCCAGCGTCGCAACTGCTTCGGCTTCACCTGGGCCGCAACAGGTCCCTCTCCCCCTTCCGACGGCCCGGGTTGTTATCGGTCTGACAGCATGGGCACGGCTTGCTTGTCGTGCTTTGGTCGTGCCTAGACTCATGCAGCCAGACTCTGGCAGCTGGGGCCGGGCCTCAAACACAGCTGCTGTCTCTGTTCCGACTTGCGTCTGTGTGCATGGCTTCCGTTTGTCTGATCCGTTGTTGCATCGATTTTGCTGCATCAGCCCTGGCGTCCGAGGTCGACCTCAACCACTGCATGCTCGAGCTGGTGACCACCTACGATGAAGCAGATTCCATCTACAACAAGACCGGCATCACCAGCGACGTGAGTGTTTGCCTGTGTCTTGCTTGGTTTGTTGGTCGTCCTGGGGATGAGAGCAGCGGCCCGGCCAAGGAGGAAGGATGGGGCTCTTTCGTGTGCCGTCGTTCTGTTGCTTTATCAAGTACCATGGCCCAGACATGCAAGACAGCCTCTCAATCGGCCACGCCTCTTGGCATCAGCCGTTCATGCGTCTTCTTATTGGCACGGATCGATGCCTGAGCCGAATCGCCTGTCAGCCGCTCCGTCTATCTTGGCCCACTTCGTGCTCTAACCGGCAACAATGTCCCGGCTTCCCCCCGTCTGCTCCCAGTTTGTCAACTATCTCAGCGCTTTGGTCACTGTTTCTGGCGATGTGCCCGACACGGCCGACTTCCGGGGCGAGCTGAACGATATTTCGGGCGAGATTCAGATGCTCAACAGCCTCTCTGCACAGGACCCATCCGGCCGCAGCATGTTCGGCGTCCGCTCCTGGGGCTGGGCTGCTGGATCGGCAGTCGGTGGTCTCGTTGTCATGGGTGCCGTGCTTGCGGCTTTTTACTGAGCCATCGAACTCGTTACTCCTCTGGATCTCCCACACATGGAGAGCGCAGAGGCTCGCTTTGGCCGATTCCTCTCTACACTCCATGTGCTCAACTCGTTAGCCCTCCTTTCTTTGTTGCTTTCTTCTATCCGTCCAGCTCGTTTTCCTCGGCTGTCTCCCCGATCGTCCTTCTTTTTCTGGCAGCGCTCGTAAAGAACCAACGTGGTAGTCGACTGTCTTCTCTAATTTGAACACGACTTTGAATTTGTTTTGTCGATTTTACAAAGCGCAACTCTGGTGTGAGGTATAGCGGGTTTGGATGTGGGGGGTGCTTGCTTGGCCGTGTCCTGAGCCATTTTCGATGGCTGTTTGGATATGTGTCTCTGGCAGCGCTGTCATCCGAGTTCCATTCGTACATGGTCCAAGACCCGTTGGCTCCTGGTTCAAGCTCTACATGCACGCAGCATCGCATTTCATCCACACATGGCAGTCGCACTGGCGAAGGGGGCTGTGCTTGTATTTTGACGCTGAAGAAATGACATTGACATTGGCATTGCGCCGTCTCACACCAATACCGATCCATCCCACACCGAGATGGGACCAACCGTCAGCAGCTTGGACGTTCCCCACCCCTCGAACACTCGCTGGCTTTGGGCCGCTCAGATAGCGCGGGCGAGCTGCTTCTCGCTCAGGTACAGGACCCGCGAGGGAGATCGGCCGGGCTCTTTGTACATGACGAGTTTCTGGGCCAACTCCTTCCGCGCAAGGCAGTAGCCATACTTGAGGGCCTTGGCCTCGCCACCGGCCCAGTGGCGGCCGGAGCTCGTTCGGATGCCGCAGTGCTTGATGATGCCCTCATCCGACCATGTCACCCCCGGGATGCGGCAAGGGATCTTGTGGGTCGTGAGGTTGAAGAGACCCGACTTGAACTGCACAAAGTGGACACCCTCGAGGATGTCGGTGATGAAATCACCCGAGCTGCTGGGCGACGGGTGGTGGTCGTTGCCGGAGGCGCCCCAGAGATAGCGCAGAGTGTACTGCACGATGCACTCGCCAAAGAGCCTGCAGCTGGGCAGAGGGAGGGCGCGGATCTGCTCCTCGTACTTGAAGGTGAAGCCACGGGCTATGCCTTCGGAGAGCTGTCGTTGGTCGTGCGGCGGCGGGTGAAAGTGGTAATGGGTTAGGTAGGCCAGGATCCATCACAGTCTGCGCCCGCTGTCGCCTCGCAGGTTCTCCACCGTACACAAGCAGTCGAGCGTCTCGCCTCCAGCATCTACCTGGTCGATCTCGCCCGTGGTAGTGGTCAAGGACGAAACGGTTGCGATGCGATCGCCCTCGACCTTGTCGGCATAGAACTGGGCACCCTTGGCAATCCATCCCACGACGGCGCTAGCGCCAGGCAGGGGAATGTGGTCGCCGGCGAGAGCAATGTACTTGGCGACCTTGTCGGCCTGGCTGTAGTTGTCACGGACGACCATGCCCGAGTTGAGCGACTTGCAGGCCACAAAGACCTCGACGAGCTTGGAGATCACCGTCCGGTAAAACTCGCACAGGCCCTCGTCCACCTCGATGTACTTTTTCTCGTTCAGGTCGCGCTGCTTGCGGTGGTACTCCTCCATGAGGAGCTGCTGGTCGCTCTTGAGGGAATAGAACTGGCCGTAGAGGTCCTCGGTCCACTGCTGCTGTTGGGCGACGGTGTGCTCGATCGCTTGCAGCTTGGCATTGATCTCGGCTCGGTGCTCGGCCAGGGCATTGTCCAGCTGGCTCTGTTGCTTCTGGAACTGGGCCGCCACCGCATCAAAGTTGGCTGCGGTCTCGAGACGAAAGTGGCTGAGGTCCTTGGAAACGGTCTCGACGGTGGCCTCGATGGCACGCTGGTCTGTACCCGAGGAGACAACGAAAGATGAACAGGAATCAGAGTCAGATTCAGAGTCAGATTCAGAGTCAGAGTCAGAGTCAGAGTCAGAGTGGGGTGAGGATCGGCGAATGGTTGTTTGAGAGCGGGGCTTGGACCAGGCGCACGTTTGTGTGTTATACGACCCAAGCGCAACACCAGGTCGGCTGGCTGGCTGGCTGGGGGAAGGGAAATGAGGGGAGAAACTGCGCCGTACCAGCAACTTTCTTTTCTTCCAGCAGCTGGTTGATGAATCGGATCTTTTCGTCGAATTCGGCGGTGCTGCGACGGAACCTAGCCGCGGGAGTGTCAGGATGGGACGCTCGTCAACATGGCAAGCCAGTAGAAAGGCAGACACTGCTGCAGGAGGGAGACGAAGGAGGAGGGAGGGAACAAACAATCTTACTGGTCTCTGGCGGTGTTGACCCTGAACTGGTGGAGATTGATCTGGCTCCTCCAGTTCTGTTCTCCCGGCTTGCCCTTGTCACGCTGGAGATACTTTTCAAAGTTGGAGAGCTGGAAGGCGTTGAACTTTTCGGACTGGTGGTACTTGTCGGCCTGCAGGAGGGACACCAGAGTGGAAGGAATGAGCCGGCATGTGCAATATGCGATATCGGCCGAGGCCGCTCGATGCAGCCAAGGGGACACTCTGTCGTCACCAGCACCGTACCAGCTCAATCTTGCTCTGCTCGAGCTGGGAGAGGACTTCCCAGAGCTCTTCGGAAGTCGATTCGATCGAGTACTTGGACTGCAGGTCTTCTCCGAGCATGGCGAATTTTGTTGTCAGCGGGATGGGAGGAGGGGGAGGGCCAGATGGAGGGAGAGATGGGATGGCAAGTGCAGTCGAGGCGGCAGCAGCCCAGAGCAGCGCCCAAAGCAGCGCCATGTCCCAGAAGAGGGATACATCCGGGTCCGTTGTCCCCTCTGTGCTCACCTTGTCGCCAGGGGCACGAGGACAGGCTCGCGTTCTGTTGTTGCCATGTGGGCGAATTCGGTGTTTGTGGGTGGGTTGAGGTCGAGACCTGTGGCAACGCATGGCGATATCATTTGCGAATGGCGAGACGCACTGAGATGTGCATGTCGAGACAACAGCTTGGTCGGCTGTGTTCCTCGCATCCCTCTGTCCTGGTTGCAGCCCACGCACGCCCCTCATCGACTCCAACCCGAGAACATCCTCTGCTCTGCACTGCATTGCCCTGCCCTGCATTGCACTGCGCTGCTGGATTGGCTTCTGACTTGTTCGGAGTGGACACGCCCAAGAGACAGGCTCCTGCCCGTTCTGACCCGGCGAGTCAATCAGTGAATGCCGCGAAACCGCATCGCTGTGGATACTGAGATGTATTGAGGAACAGGCACAGCCTCGATCGACCTTGCCACTCGATCGGAAAGGAGATGAAACGGAATAGAGTCGATGCTGCTCGCTTGGATGGCTTGCCTGGATGCTCTGCCTCTCTGTCGATCGCCCGCTGCGACACAGATGCTGCGAGTTGGCTTTTGGGAGAAACTCGTGCATCAGGGCCACTTGCCGAGCTCCTTGAGACTCTCGATGGCCCTTTCGAAGCCTTGGTCCGCGGCCTTGCGGAGCCAGAAGACAGCAGCATCGATGTCCTTGGCCACACCATCGCCTTTCTGGTAGCAACTGCCGAGCAAGAACTGTCCGTACCGATTGTCCTGTTCGACCGACAACCGACACCACTCGACAGTCTTGGTCAAGTCCTCGGCGACATCATTTTGCCAGTAGTAACACCGAGCAACTCCCCATTTCCCATACGAATTGCCTTGCTCGGCAGACTTGCTGCACCACTCGATTGCCTTTGGGAGTTCTCGTGACACTCCCCAGCCGTAGAACCAGCACCGCCCGAGCCAATGCTGGCTGTCGCTGTGACCTTCGTTGACGAGTTGCTCAAAGATACTTGTGGCTCTCTGCATTCCCCTTACGGTTCCGAATCCAATAGCCAGAAACACGGCCATAAGATGCTTGCAGAGCCAGTCTCGCTCGGATCCCAGTTGACAGAGTTGATAGATCTTGGTGGCTGCGGGAAACATTGACTTGACACATCTGTACCCAGCCAGACATTCGCCCTCGCCGAACCGGAAGTCGTCCGATCTGTTCTCGCGAATAATCTTGATACCTCTTTGTTGGTCTTGTTGGATGCCCCGGCCAAGGTAGTACATCCATCCCACCATGTGGGTGGCAATGGGCTTGAGGACTGAGTCAGAGGATTTTGCGCTGACTTCCTGCCAGTCGTTCAAAGCGCCAACGTCGCTCTGTTCGAGGCCATAGCCAATGAGCGAGAACCAGCCGCGGAGGAACACGACATGGAGACGGCCATCTTCGCTTCCTTGGTCTGCAGCGTTGATGTACCACTCAATGGCTTTGGTAAAGTCTTGCACGACACCCTCGCCATTCTCATAGCATCGACCGAGACCGACTTGGGCTGCTGCACATCCGCGCTTGGCGAGATTGAGATACAACTCGGCGGCCTTGGTGTGGTCTTGACTGAGTCCGATTCCGTCGCGATAAAACTTGGCCAAGCGAAGCTGGGCGATTGCGCTGTTTCCGTTCGTGGCCTTAGTCAGATACTTGGTAATTCTCCGACGGACACCCCTTCGTTTCACTCGGTCTGTCACCAAACGCTTGTCGATATCGGATTGGAGTGTCTGAGCCAGGAGAAACGTGGCTGCGGCGCTGCCTCGGTTGACCTGGGCAACTACCCAGGATTGGTAGGCTGCGGTTTGATCATTCCAGCGAAGCGAGAGGGCAATCTTTTCACTGGCTGTGAGGCCGATTTGCAGCTGTCCGTCGGGATCACGGAACCCTTCCCTCAGGAACCAGGCGCAGAAGCGAGCCACCTTGGAGCCCAGGAGAAGCCGGGTACGTTTGCACACGAGGAGCAGGGCCCTGATGGTGGGAAGATCGAGTGCCAGCCGAAAGTCGTCGTTGAAGCAGACGATACTGAAGGCGTCTGGATACAAGAGGGCCGGCTCAGTTGTGTTGAAGGAGAAGCGCAAACGACCAGCCATGTCGATAGATACGGAAATCAGAGGTGTGCGAGGTTGATCCGGGCAGACGATGGTGTGAAGGACAGGGGTGCGGACGGAGGTCAAGCCAAGACCCAACATCCGCAACCCATGCCCCGCAACATCGCATTCGATCCGGATGCATTTCCGCCCAGGGTGTGTGCGCAGCAGTCCGCCTGTGTTGTCTTGTCCTGTCCTGTTCTGCGATATCGAACGGCTCGTTGCTCTGCCCGTCATCTGGAGACCTGCACCCGCCCGATTGACTGCACCCGCCCGATCGACTGCATCTGCTGGATCGACTACTGCAGTACTGGCGCACCCGGTCGTCCTCTATCTCTGCGGATTCCCCATGAGCCATACCCGACACAACACCCATCTCGGCACTGGAGCGGCCTCATCGCATCCACATCGCACACCAGCGGATCCTCCGCCGAGCTCCTCTGCTGCAAGGGCAGGTCCTCACGAGCCCCGCTTTGTGGCCCATCCTCCATCCAACCACTCAGGACAAGTCTCCTATCGCTATATTCCCTACAGCAACCCTCGCTCGCCCGTGACGGTCGCTGCGCAAGATCCAGATCCAAAGCTCCATTCGGGCCAGAGTACACGGTCGACGGATGACTATTCAGATCTGCACTACTGTGCGTAATCCCTGACCCCTCTCCAGCCTCGAGCTTCAAGGACTCCAGCGAGGGCAACCGAGGGAGTGTGGAGTTGGCGTATCGTGGTTTATTAACGATCTCGCTTTATTTTCTTCTTTTTATCTCGGAACCATATTCGAATCGATGCGTCATCTGAATTGCTCGCTTCGCTCGTCGACTCCGGACTCGTTCCTCGGCTGTGATACGATACGATACGATACGATACGATACGATACGATACGATACGATACGATACGATACGATACGATACGATACGATACGATACGATACGATACGATACGATACGATACGATACGATACGATACGATACGATACGATACGATACGATACGATACGATACGATACGATACGATACGATACGGTTCGATACGGTTCGATACGGTTCGACTTGCTTCCCCTCATTCTCTGGGCTCGCAGCATCCGTCGTCTCAAGTTCGACGCCTTTGATGGACGCTTACTCGATAGCTAGTGACTACCGTTCTGGCTCACGCCAACCAACACGAACGACAGCGGCGGCAGGAATGTCAACATCAACATCGACGACAACCCTCACCAAAGCAGAATCTGCTTCAGAAGGCGATTCAGCAACAACGCCAACTATGAGGCCAACCCCTGTAGGCAATGTAAGATTCCCCGTCGTTGGTGCGCAGTGGATTGCTGGCCACGGGCCAGATCGACTTCCACACTCATATCTGATTCAGCTGGATCGCACATGCCCGCGGTTTGCTCGATCGCGATATTTTACTCGACTCTGATGCTTGTTCGATTTCGGCCTTTGCCCTCGCCGATATCAACGGTATTCGCTCAGGCAAGACCCTCTCCTTTGGCTCCAAGTCACGATCGCCCAGTCCAGCGATACGAGTCCGTTGAGCTTACCCAGTGGCTCAAGAACCCCGCCACCCTGGCCGAAAAGATTCACTATTTCGAGGAGCTCAGGTCCCTGGCCGACAGGTCGGGTGACCGGCTCAGTACCGGGCCTGAACCAGCGTCGAGGCCAAGCCGTGCGGAGACATCCGGATCCACAGTGTGCTATCCAATCACCCCCCAGCTGCAGTCGTTGCTCCAAAATCCAGACAAGGTAGAGGAGATGCGCTATCGAGTGAATCGGCCCCGTAATGATGGTAAGTATTGATTGCGACCTGTTTCTGCGCCGTTTTCCTGGTCTATCCCGCCTGATCCTATTGTCGAACCGATGCCATGGCCATCAGCTTCCCTTCAGGATATCTTTGATGGAAACTACTACAAAGTACTTCAGAAGAAGCGCTATTTTTATCAAGATACAGATATTGAGCTCGCTCTCAACGTCAGCTTGACTCAATCCAACGGACTGTGAGTTTCGGCAATCGCCTACCAATGGCCTGTCAATGACCTGTCAATGACCTGCCAATGACCCTCGACCCCCGCTCGTTTCCACCCTCCTGTTGTCGACTCGTATTCGGACAAAATCCGCATCCGCCTAGCAATGGTTTCCAGCATTATGCGGCACGCCTAGTCCTTTGGAATGCTCAATGCTGTGGCTTTTGATTCCTGATGCAGGCTCCCCCAAGACTCCTGGCTCGTGACCCTGATCAACCTTAACCTGAGCCCTGCGCTCCGAACACTGGACGAAAATGTGATTCCTGCCGCCCTGATCCCTGGAGGAGTGCTTCCCAGCAATGTCAACGAGCTTCTGACGCCGCTGTTGGAGGAACTGGCCGAACTTGAGCAAGGTGAGGTAACTCTGCTGCCTCTGATCCACCCATCTGAGCCCACATTCCCGAGCCAAGCCAGCATAATTCTGTGATCGGATGCGGGGGGGGGTGCTTGTGGCATCAATATGCGGAAACGGTAGTGGGTGTGAATATTCAATCGCCTGCTTTACGTCACTGTGACGCTTCCGTCAATGTTGTCCTCTCCTTCCAGGCATCTCGACTCAGATCGAGCACCAAGATGGGTCCGCGATGCGACTCACCGTGTGCGCTTACCTGGTTGTTTGCACCGGAAGCGCACCTTTCCTCTCTGGTCTCTCCAGTATCCAAGGATGCCACCCGGGCCACGGCTGCTTCTTTTGCCTCGCAAAGGCCCCTCTTCCAAGAGAACATAGTGTTTCTGATTCAGAGACTGGAGGTATTGTGAGGGCAGCGGCGGGGATAAGCAGCTGATGCTCCTAAATCTCTCGGCTGCGAGTAGCCATGTCGATGGCTGTTGTCGTTGGGGTCAGCATCGTAGTGCATCGGCATCTGATGCGAGGTATGTCTCTTCCTCAACCCTGCAGCCGACAACGGGGCAGCTTTGACTACTTTTGCAATCCCAGCACTCGAGTTCGGAGTTCCTCGCCTCATCAACATCTTGAAGCTAGCCTCCGACATCGGCTCGCTCATGTTTTCCATTTGGATCGGAGAAACGTCTGTCCCCCAAGGCTCGATGCTTGCCGAGCCTCTGGGTGCAGGTACCCTGGCAGAAATTGGGGATATAATGGAAGCAAGTCGGGATTTTGTGCCATCGTCGTTTGAGGTGCGGCCTCGCAACATCTCAAGACACTGGAAGTCCTTTTCACCAATCGAATGGATCTACTGGATCACCATGTACTCACTGCCGCTGCTCCGAAAGGCAGGGCTGCCCCAGAAGCACCTGTGAGTCTTGTGGTTGCATTCAAGAGCATGACGCTGGAACCCAAATCGCCACGATTTGCCCCCATGCTGGCCAACTGATACGCCGGTGCTCGTGTTTGCTATTGCAATCCAACGTCTCGGCTTGTAGGAGCGGATGGAGTCAGTTTGTGCAAGTCTTGAGGATAGCGCTCCTCAAGGAGATCACAGTGCCACAGCTGTCCCAGCTCGTGGAGCACACCAACAACTTTATCGAATATTACAGCCGGTACGAGCGGTGGGGGTAGAGCAACATGTCTTGTGCAGTCGTGGCCTGTCCTGGCTGCAACTCTCATAGCCAATACGGGGGGAGGGGCGGTTCTCGCTTCTCACCCATCCATAACCCCTTCCTCGACTTGCTCCAGCTCTGTTACTGCCCTCCCGTGGCCCCAGAGTGTCATCGACGTTGGTTCGTCGCAGCCAAGCGACCTCCATATGGACTGTATGCATCTTCTGAGCCACGTTCCCGAATGCGTCAGCAACTTTGGACCCATGTATATCTATCAGGAACTCAGCGCCCCCAGCACCAGCGCAGCAACGGATCCTTCAGAATCGCACTCTGGGTCGTCATTCTCGGTTGCCTCCGAAAGATCAAACCGAGTCTACAGCCTCACCCAGCCCATCCTGAAGCTGCTTGGACCTCGCATCCACGACGACGCTGGGAAGCAAACGCTCATGGGGCACGGTCGGTCCATCACTCTCGATGCATCCAGCGTCCAGCTGCTCCAAGAGGCCTATGCGCAGCTCTATCTTGCACACAACCCGGTCCACAGCGACAACCACGCAATCGTGATGGAGAGCATCCGCGCTTTCTGGAACGAGGATGCACTCTGCGCCGTTTGCTATGCAGGATTGGCCACTGACGACGGGGAGCTATTTGTTCAGGGCCAGCTGTTCAGCCACGAATTTGCCAACACCCGCATGGACGCCTTTGTAAAGGTATGGTTCTCTGTTGCTCCATCGGTCCGGCTCAGATGCTTCCTGACCGACTCAGCCTCCACTCTTGTCTTTGCTTCTTCAACACCACCAGGCTGTCTCAGGAAGGCATGATCGAAATACCCCCCTGAACTTTCATCCGCCCCTGCGACACTATCGGGTGGAGTACCTTCTGAGCCACACTCTGCGCGAGACGACAACCTACTGGGCCTATTGCAGCATCCCTGAGATTGATGCCATCTATGGCAACTTTGAAATCGGATACCAGCCCTGTCCCTTTACTCGCACGGTTTGCTTCAAAACTGTCGAGACCGAGCGCAAGATCTTCATCCCTGCCGCGACAATTCTGTCGACAGTGGGTGTGCTCCGGGTCGGCGAGGGTGAGTTGCTCTGAATATCAGAGCTTTTGGATCTAGCAGTTGTGGTCGCAGTTGAGGCCGGCAGAATTGGGAAGAGGGCAGACGTGGTTTGCTCCTCGTCTCAAGACGACAGAACAGCTCGGCCAAGTCAACGTCGCCCGCACCCATATCGATCCTTATGGCTGCTCATTTCTCCTCCATCTGACTTCTCGAATACGCTGTGTCTGACAGACAGTTGCTATGTGCTCGACAAATACGACCCAACATACTGAGGAAACTCGGCTGTGCCGGGACCTCTTGGGTGGTGAAGCCGAGTAACCAAGACCTTGGAAGGCCGGTGACCCCGCCCCCGAGGAAGCCGGTCCACGGAATCAATCCCGGCAGTGACACTATCGGATTTGAATCGTCGGCGCTGCTCGTGGATACCCTGGCCTGACACCGACCTGATACCATCGACCGCGACCGCCGCAGGCATCACCCTCCCCGGTCCACAATTAGACATGGCCGCTTTGGTCACCTGGAGATCAGCCACCGCTTTGTGCTCTGAAACAATGCTGTCACCAAGGCATCCCCACCCAATAATCCATCTCTAGTCTTGAACGGCAGATCCTCACCAAGGCCTTGTCTGTGGAGTGTTGCGAATCTGTAGCATCTATCAGCGTACCGAATGGGGCGAGGAGGGCGAGGTGCATTTCAGGTGCGAACAGCACCGTTGATGCCCCAAAGATCGGGGGAAGGCGACCTCCGATGATAAGCCCTGACGCCGGCAGTGCGATTGATGTCAGAGATACCAGAGATACCAGAGATATCATCGATTCCCTCGATCTCGTTGTCGTGGTGGCAACGCTGTGAGATGGCAATGTGGCGATGAGAGCAGAGTGGCTGGGATGGGATAGCCGTGCGTCCCATCCCTCGCCGCATTTGGCTTTGGCTTTGGCTTTGGTCGTCGCCATGAAAGTATCATTCAGCAAAGTGCGCTCCGCTGCCTCCCTCCCCGGCCCGTCGCAATTCGGCTCTATGTATGGTGCATATTGTTTCATTGATGCGACAGAGGCTGTTAAATCGGCGTATGTTGCAGGTTCCCAGTTCCACCATTCTCAATGCGCTGCAGCTGCTGCATGGCCAAATCGACGACACCGCCCTTGATTTGCCGATACCAAAAGATGGCCTGTCTCACGTTCCGGGGGGTGCCCTTGGCGTAGTCGTAGCAGAGTGCAAGGTTCCACTGCGACCGCCAGTAGCCCTGTTCCGCAGCCCGGGTGTAAAGCTGCAAGGCAAGCGTGCCGTCTTGCTTGACGGCCCTCCCAGTTTCGTAGCAGATTCCCAAGAAGTTGAGGCTGCGGATGTTGCCTTGCTGGGCCGACTTTTGGTACCACTCGATTGCTTCGGCGCTGCTCTGGGCGGTGCCCTGGCCACTCCAGTAGCAATCTCCGAGGCTGTTTTGGCCATACGAATTGCCTTGCTCGGCCGATTTGCGGTACCATTCGACGGCGATGGCATGGTCCTGGGAAACGCCACAGCCTTCTTGATAGCAACGGCCGACCATGTTTTGTCCGTACGAGTCGCCACGGCGGGCCACGGCGAGATACCACCGGTAAGCGGTGCTGCGGCTCTGCGGCAGTCCCCAGCCCCAGTCGTAGCAGCGGCCGAGCCAGTACTCGCCGATTCCGTGTCCCTGCGCGGCCACTTGGTCGAAGATCTGTGCGGCGCGCTGGCGATCCATGGGTGTTCCAAAGCCGTTCAGGGCACAGACCGCCACCATGGTCTTGCAGAGCCAGTCGTGCTCCGATCCGGCCTGACACAGCTCGAAAAACTTGCGGGCTATGGCCGTGTCCAACGGGATCACACATTCGGTGTGGATGCTGCCTTCTCCAAGGGTAAACTCGCTCGTCTTGCTCTGCTTGATCAGCTCGAGGCCCAGCCTTGGGTCGGCGGAAGTACCTCGACCGAGATAGTGGCACCAGCCCAGCATAAACGTGGCAATCGGCTTCGTGATGACATCGCGGGATCGGTCGTGGACCTGCTTCCAGTACCACAGCGCGCTTCGATCATTCTTGCTGATGCCCATGCCAGTGAAACAGAGCCAGCCCATCTGGAAGCTCGCCTCGAGATTGCCCTGGTCGGCGCTGATCTTGAAGAGCTGGGCGGCAGAGCTCCAATTGGCTCGCCCGGAAGTGACCTCCTCGGCGACGATTCGCGCAACTTCGAGGCAGGCCGCAGGATCGCCTTGGCGGGTCTGGGCGAGGATCGGGCCAGGAACGGAATCCAAGGACTCGAGATCGGAGAGCAGGCGCTCCAATGATTGCGATCGACTGGCGTCGCTGGTGGACAGCCGCGAGCTTCGAGTATCTGCCGGACTGTAAGCATATCCAGAGCCAACGCCGGCGACGTTGCTGGTGCTGCTTGGTCTTGACGACAGCACCGACTCAAGGCGGATGCCGATTCCGCTTTGAGGGGCCGCACTCAGATCGCTTGACGCGGACTTGTAGGGTTGGAGGTGGTCGAGGATACGTGTGAAAGCAGGCCGCTGGACGGCATTTTGGTGCCAACACAGCTCGATAAGGGCCCAGATGTCGTCCGGTATGTTGGCGAGCCGCTTGGGCCGATTTCCGCGACAGACCTGCCGCTCGATGACGCTGTCTCGCATGGGGCTGCCATCGATGGCGGTCCAGATGTGATTGCAGCTGTTGAATACCTCAAAGAGCATGATGCCAAAGGCATACACGTCCGTTGCCTTGGTCGAGCCTGTGGGGCTTTCGTCATCCAGCATCTCGGGCGCCATGTAATCGAGCGTGCCTCCAGCGGTCTCTCGCGACGCCATGCGCCTGGAGACAGAGGCGCTGGCTTTGGTGCGGGACATGCCAAAGTCCGATATGACGGCGTTGAAGCTCTTATCGAGGAGGACGTTCATTGACTTGAGATCGCCGTGAATGACGTTTTTGCCATGGAGATAGGCCATTCCGGACGCGGCCTGGTACATGAGCTGCAGCCTGTCGCGAATGCTGCAGTTGGTTTGGGGATTGGAGAGGTACCGATAGAGCGAGCCATTTTGCATCAAGGGCGAAACCATGTAGTGTTTGTCATCGGCGTCGCAGGCCCCTAGAAGGGGAAGGATATTCGGGTGGTTTAATCGAAACCAAATGCTGATTTCGCGGTTAAAGTTGGCCAGCTCTTGTTCGTTGTGTGAGCGGAAGAGCACCTTGACGGCGACGTCCGATCCATAATACGAGGCTGTGTAGACTTCGCCGAATCCTCCGCGAGCAATGGGAAGAGACGACAAGTTGGTGATGGCCTCAGGGCAGATATGCCAGTGATTGTCGCTGTTCATTTTTGGGGTGGTCAAGATGGGGACAGGCGAAAGGCGAGTGCAGGATGGTTCTGGGAGGGGGGGGGCGCACGAGTGTCTATTCGTTTACGCACTCTTTTTTTGTTCCGCTCGTGAGAAACAATGTGCGAAGAAAATAGCAGTATGTGAACAGCAGCGTATGGGCAGCAAATGCAGCGCCGGGGGTACGCACGGCGAGAGCTTTATAGCCGGCTTTCTTGGATACCGAGCTGGTGGCGGGATGATCTCCACCGCACGACAGCGAGGGCGGGGCGGAGTGGGGCAGTTTTGGACAGGGGCAAGTGGATACCCATGAGATGGCTGACGCATCATCACGTTTGTTTGTTTGTTTCCAGACCGAGTGTTTGGGAGGTCCACACACCTCGCAGCAACGACACCGACACCAAAGCAGCCCGGCTGGCACTGTCCGAGAGAGCTCTGATATTTCAGCGATCGCCCCTCCTGAAAACGAACGAATGCGGACTACACTCGGGCTGTATCGACGGCGCTGAGTTCAGGATAGATTGCGAGTCCCAGTGCAGTCGCCGCATCTCTCGTGCCGGTGTGTGGTGGGTGAATGGAAGCAATCAATGACATGGAGGCGGTGGGTGGTATGGATGGTATGGGTGATATGGATGGTATGGGTGATATGAATGGAAGGGATGGAGTGAAGGGAAGGGATGGATACCTGAGGCTTGGTGCACTCGGAGGCGCTGCTGGTGAGTGAACGGAGCAGCAGCGGCACTGCATCTCCATACCATTTGGACGCTGCAACACAGCGCATCGCTCTCTGCCCCTCTTGTTTCGTTGCCTCGTTGATCAAAGGGTTGTATTGAAACAGCCGCAGCCGACAGGAAATCAAGGCATCATAGACGTTGTCAACCACTGTCGAGTGCACCGTACTCACGAGCGATTCGTGTGGATAACGACCGGTCGTCGATGTGCCATCACAAGAGCCCCCGATGCCGTTGTCTGGCGATTCGACCAGTCAAAGAGAGAGAGTGGAATCTGCACAATGCATCGCCCATGCCGGATCCACTGCGAATGCCGATCCTGCACGATCCATTCGGCCTGCTCCTGCTCCACACGGCTCCAGCCCGAAGCAGTGCGATGATTCCCAGGTGGCTCTGATGGGACAAACAGATCATCGGCGAGATGCCAGAATAGCTGCTGGCCGCACCTCTGGGTGACCGCGATAAACTGTCGGCCGGCAGCAAACTCGACAGACTCCAACGAGTCGGCACAGCTCTCGATCACCTGCACTTGCTGCCACCGGGCTGTGTCCCAGATGGTGACGGTGCCGTCGTGAGACGCCGTCGCGAGCATGCTGCTGTCAGGCGAGAAAGCAACGGACGCCAGATTCGCTCCGTGGGCCTCAAGGATGTGGGTTTGTTGGCCAGCTTCGGCGTCCCATATTCGGACGGTCATGTCGTTGGACGCAGAAGCAATCAGAGAGCCGCTGGGTGAGGCAGCGATGGTCACGATGCGATCAGCGTGCCCTTGGAGCTTCCACTTCAGCCGACCCGAGCTGAAATCCCAAATCCATAGGGAACTGCCCTCGGCGTTTGCTGCAATCCACCGGCCATCGGAGGTGACAGAGATGCTGGTGACGCCTTCGGATTGGCCCTCCAGTTTGCGCTTGAGATTGCCGGTAGCCGCATCCCAGAGCTCGATAGGATTGTCGTCAGATCCAGTGACGATGGTGTTGCCATCAGGAGTCAGAGCAACGGCTCGAACGCAGCGGCTCTGTTGGTTGGGCACAAAATTGAACGGAAAGGATGTACCGTACACCTTGATGGTTTGATCAGCCGAGCCCGAGACAATCGACTCGCCATCAGGCGAGATCGCCACGGAGATGACACTTTCTGTATGTCCTTCGAGAGTGCGTCGCAATTGGCCAGTGGCGACATCCCACATCTTGATGGTCTTGTCGTCAGAACCAGAGACAATCCACCAGCCATCGGGTGAGATCGCCACAGAGGTCACACGCTCTGTGTGTCCGGCGAGGATGTGTTGCTCTTGGCCCGTGGACGCATACCATATCTTGATGGTCTTGTCGGTTGAGCCTGAGACAATCAACCTGCCATTAGGAGAGATGGCCACCGAGTTGACATCGCCTGTGTGTCCCTTGAGGGTGCGCTTTACATGGCCATTGATGGCATCCCATACTTTGATGGTCCGATCAGTTGAGCCAGATACAATCCACTTGCCATCGAGTGCGATTGCCACAGAGGTAACGGTGCCTGTGTGTCCCTCGAGACTGTGCTTCAACCCGCCAGTGGAGGCATCCCACAACTTGATGGTCTTATCACCTGAGCCAGAGACAATCCATTTTCCATCGGGTGAGATCACGACAGAATTGACGCCGTCCGTGTGGCCTTCAAGAGTGCGCTTCAGCTGGCCCGTGGTGGCATCCCACACTTTGATGGTGCCATCTTGAGAGCCAGAGACAATCGACTTGCCATCAGGCGAGATTGCGACTGAGTTCACTTCGGCTGTGTGTTCTTCAAGAGCATGTTGATCTTGGCCTGTGGTGGCATCCCACAACTTGATGGTACCGTCATCAGAGCCCGAGACAACAATCTTGCCATCGGGTGAGATCGCAACGGAGTTCACTTGGCTCGAGTGACCAGTGAGTGTCACCTCACACGGATCCCAGGTGGGTGCTGGACCGCAGGTGACCAGGAACGGGATCTTGTCCTCGAGCTGGGTGGCATATGTCTTGTAGATCGCCGTCTCCTTCGGTGTGAATGCATACCCCGAGTTGTACACCTGTGGTGCACTCTTGATGACGGGATCGGCAAACTCGCGGATGAATCGATACGTGTCCTTGACCAGTTCCTTTGTGGTGTCGTCGACGATGGTGCTGGGTGCCTTGGCGATCACTCCTCGCAGCACAGCCAGTTGCTCGATGATCGGCTTGACCACATGTGTGAGCGACCCACACTCGAGCCAGAAGAACACATGCGTCTTGACGAACCGAGTGAGCACCGCTGCCACATCGACCATCTCGGTCGACTGCCACACCAGACTCGACTCGGCCACTCCGTCCACACACCACACAAAGTGTGTGATCCAGTGGGCGATGCTGTATCGCAGCGACGGTGTGATCGTGGCTGAGACCCTGTCCTCGAGGTCTGGGATATCGTCGTGAAAGTCGAAGATATCGCAGATGTTGATCACTGGCTCGTGCGAGAGGATCACACCGAGACATCCCTGGGCAAACACCGTGTGGAACGAGCTCGACACATGCCACAGATGGCCAGTCGATGCGTCGCCGAGGAGATAGTCCGCCACCGACTTGTGGTTGAACTTGACCTCGGTATTGGTGGACGGGCTGCCTCGGGGACCCAGTCCATTGGCGCCAGGATCGAGGACCAGACTGAGGCTCTTGAGACACTCGCGAACGACGCCGATCTCGAGTCCAAACACATCGGCGATGATCTGCGGGGTCAGGATCGACTGGGCCGTGGCGATCGCCGACACCACCGTGACCAGCTCGGCCGGGTGGCTCGACTGCGAGTGGATCTTGGCGAATGTCTTGTGGTACAGCTGGCCGACATCGGCGGCGCTGTCGCTGATGTCCTTGATTCTCTGGAGGATCATGCCCAGCATTGGTTCTCTGTTGCCAGCTGCCATGCTTCGATGTTGCTGATGGGGGAAGATGGAATCGAGATTGGGGCAGGGGGAGGACGCTGCTGGCTGGCCTCTCTTGGTGGCGGTGCGCTGCCGGATCCATCCAATGGCTGCTGCGCACCCGTGCTTGGTGTCCCCATGGCCCTCGGGCCGGGCAAGGCAATTCGTATGGGTCACTTCTGGCAAAACGATGTCGCCGAGGACTTGACCAAGACTGTCGAGTGGTGTCGGTTGTCGGCCGAACAGGGCCGTCGAGAGTCTCAAGGAACTCGGCAAGTGGCCCTGATGCACGAGTTTCTCCCAAAGGCCAACTCGCAGCATCTGTGTCGCAGCATCTGTGTCGCAGCGGGCGATCGACAGAGAGGCAGAGCATCCAGGCAAGCCATCCAAGCGAGCAGCATCGACTCTATTCCGTTTCATCTCCTTTCCGATCAAGTGGCAAGGTCGATCGAGGCTGTGCCTGTTCCTCAATACATCTCAGTATCCACAGCGATGCGGTTTCGCGGCATTCACCGATGTTGCCTTTGTGGCCAAGCAGCCGGTCCAGAGCCAAGGCACGCATGCATTTCAGCGTGCGCGACATGCCCGTCTCCCCGCGCTGTGCGTGCTCGGGCTTGGCCAATGGGAAAATCGGCGGCTCGGCTGGGCTGGTCCTCGGCAAGTCATGTCGGATGAGAACAGGACGAGAGCGGTGTTGGCAAACGGCGAGATATTCGCATCGGACGGGATGCGTACTGCAGGAACGAGAGCGGGTCAGAGGACGAGTCGACGGCGCCGAGTGTAGGATATCAACTGATCGACTGGATAGTCAATTGATCGACTGGATAGTCAATTGATCGACTGGATAGTCAATTGATCGACTAGATAGTTACGAGCAGAGCGTTGGGTCTGTGTTGGACGTCGACAATCCTCCCTAACAATGTCCATTCTATCGCAGTCCATACTCTGTACATTCAAATCCATGTTCTATCCATTAACTTATACTCCACAATCAACTTGTACTTCTCACGATATTCTTTCCATCCATACATCCATCCATCTATCTATCTATCTATTTATCTGTCCATCTTTCCATCCAATCCAATCCGCCGCTCTTGGCCGCCGCTCTCGCCCGCCCCTCGCCGCCGCCCTCGCCGCCCTCTCGCTCTTGGCCGCCCAGCCACGCTTGGATGTGTTGATCACACCGCATTCAGTCCGTCGCATTGAGTCCGTCGCATCATCTGTCGCATCATCCATCGCCCTGCTGCATCGATCGCATCCGATCCCTCCAAGGCTCTGTTGCACAGGGTGACTATTACCCGCACCATACTTTAACACATTAAAAATCTCTTTTAACACATCCTTCGACTCCATCCATCCCATCTCCCCCGATTGTATGTGGAACCCCCTCCGGGTCTTCTCTCCCCGCTTCTGGATCGCCGTCCCCTCGCTCCTGGTCCATCTGCTGGCCTCGTCGTACTCGCTGCTCTGCTCCGTCCGCATCTTGTCGCTGCCAGTCCCTCGCTCGCTCCGGTCCGCCATTTCGTCCTTCGCCCCCATCCCGTCTTCGGCCTCGCCTGCGCTCTCGACCGTGCGGTCTCCCAAAACCCCTGACTCTGGCGACTCTACGACGTCGTCTCTCCCGTCTTCGTTTCTGCCATCTTCGCCTTTGCCTTCTTCGTCTTTGCAGTCGCCGTCCGCCACCTCCCCCGTGACTGCTGACCCGCATCCCGGCGCCGTCGTCGAAGCCTCCTCCTCCTCATCCCCGTCGCCGCCTTCGTCGTCGTCGTCGTCTCGAGCTCCCCGTCCTCCGTTTTCGCTCTTAACTCCAAGGACCTTCACGGCCTTTATTGCCATCGTTCTTGCATCGTCGCTCTCATCGTCTCTTGCTGCCTGGCTACCCTCGCTTCTTTTCCCGACCTATACAAAGTTCCAGGTGAGTCACCGAAATGGCAGGTGGGCTGGTGGGTCAGTGGGCTGGTGAGTCGGCACTGGCGACAGACTGCAGGATAGGGAGGCGGAACAGGGCTTGGCTCTGAGTCGTCTGCCTGCACTGGCTCGTATGGCCATGTCTCGCATTGCCAAGTCGGACTCTTTCGATTGTAGTCCCCTTCAATATGTCTCCAGCACATCTACCAGCACATCTATCAGCACATCTATCAGCACATCTACCAGCACATCCCCATCAACCTAACTCCATTCCCACTTCCTCGCACCGCAGCGCCAGCAGATTGACGAGCGCACCATGAAGCCTCCCAACCCCGACAAAATCAAGCCTGCCATCCCCGACAATGGCCTCTCCATCATCGAGCGCATCTTTTACAACTCGGCCCCCGGCCGACCCCAGGTCATCATGGGCATCATCTTCCGCATGCGCTGTCCCAAGCAGGTCCCCGAGCTCCGTCTCCAGCGCGTCCTCGACATTGTCCGCCTCGCCGCCGCCCAGCACTACCGGCTCTGCGTCTCCATCAACCCAGAGACCATGACCACCTATTCGCTCGCCCAGACCGCCGACCAGCTCCCCATCATCTCCCGCGCCGTCGTCGACGATGGCAACGACAACTGGAAGGAGGTTGTCAAGGAAGAAATCAACACCAACTTTGACATCAACGATCCAAAGCTCCCTCTCTGGAAGTGCTGTATCGTCGGCAGCAAGGAGCTCGTCGAGACGGGCAAACAGCGCCACTCATCGCCCCTGGCCGATGCCAAAGGCAAGGGCGTCGATCGCTCTGGCGCCGGCGTCCCGCCCGCAAAGTCCGCCTCGGCCTTCGACCTCGAGGTCGTCCACGACTCGCTCGACAATCTGGTCGAGGCCGAGTCCCCGCCCTCGCCCACCTTCACCATGTCCCGCTGGTCGCTCGGTCGCTGGCGAAACCACTTCCGCAGCAAGAACGACTCCACCAAGGTTGTCGACGGCATCATCAAGCACGGCTCCTTCCACCATGACGCCATGGACGACGGTGCCCCGTCCTTCTACGTCATGTTTTCGTTCCACCACTGCCTTGGCGACGGCCTGTCCATGCTGGCCTACGCTCGCACCTTTTCCGAGTTTTGTGACGACGCCCACTTCAACCCCGACAACCTGCACCTCGAGAACATCCCCGTTGCCCAGAGCCCCCCGCCCATCCTCGACAACCTCTTTGACCCGAACGTCTTTGAGGTCCTGCCGGGTAAGGCGTGACCTCTGTGCACAGCACTTGCGCTGCATCATATCGCATTGCGCTTTATTGCACGGCGTTGCCTTGCACTGCATCCCATTCCATGACCTTGCATTGCATCCCATTCCATGACCGTGCATTGCCTTGCAGTGCATTGCGTTGTGTACAATCGTTATAATCGCTGCTCGGTTGGCAGTTCTTTGGCCAACCTGTGCACCAGAAGCACAGCAGACCGCGCTAACGCTGTCTCGCACCCTTTGCCTCGCCCCCACAGCGGCCACCGCCATGGCCTTCAACTTCTTGAAGAAGAAGCCAAAGGACAGAATCAAGGGCCGCACGCTCTCCATGCTCGTCAACGAGCAGGGCGATTTCGAGCTCGATCCCGATGACGACGATGACTTCAAACCCACCCCCAAGCAGATCGACTTTGCTCAATACCAACAGCAGCAGCAACAACAGCTTCAGCAACAGCAGCAGTCGCCGACCGAGATGGGCCCCTCCACCGTTGTCGTTGCCCCCACTGCCGTTGGACAGACAGTCACCTTTGCTGCGGCCACTGCCCAGCCCGCTCCGTCCTCGTCCGCATCCTCATCCGCGACCGCGGGCCAAGTCGTCGTTGCAGCGGCCTCTCACAGCCGCAACCGTAGCAACCCGCAAACCTTGATTGTGTCTCCCATGAAGCCCCTGCGCAACTACACCAATGTCCGCCAGATCTGGTTTGACTCGGACTTCACCTCGATCCTGCGCAAGCGCGCAAAGGCCGAGCGCACCACCATCGCCGCCGTCCTGATCGTCACCGCTCTGGGCGCCGTGCGCACGTCCTTCTCGAAGCTGCCCAAATATCGACACCGCCCGCTGCCCAACCACCAGGGCTGGGTCATCACCTCGTCGGTGCGTTTCCTGATTCCGGGATCCAACCTCATGAACGGTGGCGACCGTGCCTCCGACCCGGCCCTGCGGGTCTTTGGCGGCTACGGCGGCTCCATCATGAATGCCAACATGGCCTACGACGACTACCACGATTTCTGGGAACGCTGTCGGGCAGTCAGTCGCTCCATCCGCACCAGCTTCCGCGCCTCGATCTCGCGCATGAAGCTCGTCAACTACGCCTACCGCCACCCCAAGCTCTGGAAGTGGATCGAGTCCAAGGCCGACCTGGCCAAGCTCTCGCGTTCCTACAGTGTCGAGCTGGCCAACATTGGCGCCTGGGACTACCCCATGGCCCCGCCCAATGCCGACGATAGCGACAGCCGCCTGCGCTGCGATTACTTTGGTGGCGTCGTCAACTCCAGCTTCGATGGCGTCCGCGGCCTCTACACCCTTGGTGTCGTCACCCTTGGCGGCAACATGTCGGTCTCGTGCGCCTACGACGTCTCGGCTGTCCACGAAGTCGATGCCGACAACTTCCAGAAGAACTTTAGTGAGATTATGCGGGCTATTGCCGCCTGCGAGGGCAAGATCTCTGTCGGAAAGGCTCGCGAGCAGGCTTGACGCGCCAGACCTGCCCGCATTCGCATGTCCTCCTGCTCCTCCACCTCGTCAGCTCCATCGCCCACCCCCTCCCTCCTGTCCTCGCTGACATTGTCCTTGCCCTCGCCCTCCGTTCCTTCATACGTCGATCCCTTCGCGACCTGCCCTTAGAACCCGCCCATTTACGCGCTTTGCCTTCCCGCTTTCTCCGGCTGTATACATCCGCCTGTCTGTCTGTCCGTCCTGTCCGTCCGTTGCTTGCACTCTCGTTTCTTTGATCATCGCCTACCCGCTTCCGTCATCGTAAAGTCACAGACGAGAGTGCAAGCGAGGAGGAAGGGCCTTTTTGTTGCATGTGCTTGTGTGTGTCTGCCTGAAGAAGGAAGCAAGAAAGAAAGAGAAAAAACGATAGATTTACTCTGTGCCCTCATGAAGAATAGGTTTCGATTGTGTGTAGGCGCAGAGACGGGGAAAGGTGTGTACTTCGTGATGAGTCGCCCTGCAGTCTATCCCGGTGCACACCGCTTCATCGGGCTACCTCTGCTCGAGGAAGGGGAGAGTGATTTGGTTTATCAGGCTACCCGCCGCCTGAAGCAGAATGAAACAGAATGAGACATAAAATGAAACAAAAATGAAACACATGAATCTAATGATATGATATCAACTCGGCCTCATGGTTTTACTGTTATTTCGGGCAGCTGGACGTGACATCGGCAGCGTTGACGGATGGATTCAATGGGGCCATTGAAGATTGCCATCCCAACATCAAGCGACATTGTGTTTCGACCAACAGTTATCACGGGCACATGATCGCGGCATTCCCCTCCCTCCTCCCCATGTGACAAACGAAACCAAATAAACTTGTTGAAGAAATGAATGAAGCGATTGACAGTCTATGCTCAAAGATGCGTTGGAATGCCACACTAAACGAATTCAAAGGCGGGTGGGGGCTGGGCAGCAGCAAAACGCATTCCAGACAGCCAGTAAACAATACTGGTGGGAAATCGTGAGAGTGGGCAATGCGGGCAATGTGAGCAATGTGAGCAATGTGAGCAATGTGAGATGCACTGATGCTTGCGCTCTCAGGCTTCGGAGGTTCTGTGGATTTTGCTGGGGCCCTTGCTTCTCGTGGCGCACTGCTCGCAGATATCCTTGACCCTCTGCTTGTCTTCCTCATTCTTGGTCTGCATCAGGTACGTCTTGCCACCCTTGCCGGCCGAAAACACGATTGTGTCGGAGCCACCGCCATCGGCAAACGTGCAGTTGGGCAAATAGACGCAAATCCCGGGCTGGAGCGGCAACAACGATGAAAGTCATCCATCGTCAGCTTCAATACCACAGTGTCCATTCCAAGGACTTTGCCATCTTGGCGGCGGACACATATAAAAATTAGGAAATGAACCGTTGGCTCCGACAACGTTTACCTTGGTGATGACGGTGCGCATCTTCTTTTTGGAAAACTCCTCGAGGTTGCCGCCACCACCGCCGCCACCACCGCCAATTTTCTCCTCTGCGACGGCCACCGGAAACATGCAGAGGGCCATGTGCTCGGCAACAAAGATGAGGCGACGAGCCTCCCAGGTCGAGAACAAGTTGCCTTCCTCCTTCACCACGACATCAACGATGAAGGCGTAGTTGGTCTCGGACTGCTTCGTGGGCGACGCTGCCGTCGACGTCTGGCTGTCTCGAGGTCTACTGACGTGATTTGCGGAGGACTGAACTGCCAAGATCAGTCGGCCAAGGTGGCAGTCTGGGCGAGGTTGGTTCGGGGCGTGAGTGTCCGAGGATGAGAGCGGATAAGCAAAAAAAAAAGCAACAGATGCGCATAACACTGCTGGCCCGATAGATTTCACATCCAGAAGGGGCAATTCAACTTACAGAGCGTGACGAGGATGGCAATCAAGAGAACAATGACTCGGATGTAGTACTGCAGAGGGGAGGTGTACATGGGTGAGAATGGGTTCGGTGGGGACGGCCACGGGAGCCGCGAGTGGCAACTCCATCATCGATTTGTCGATGCGTACATTGCCAGAAGGCGTTCCGTTGCCGGTGGAAAGGATGATGATGACGATGGCTCCACAGAGGATGTTGAAGAGCGAGGTGTAGGTCATCCACTTGCTCTCACGGTAGACGCTGTCGACGTTTTGGGTCTTGTATGCAAAGAGCAGAACAGCGAGCTGAAGGACGCTATCGAAAGCAGAGATTGGATAAAATTAGAAACAGAGGCCAAGGCCAAGCACTTGAGGTCAACCAAGGAGAACCACGAGGCACAAGCGATTACAGCGATACAAAAACTGGACATGATGTTGCCGCTTACCCGTTGTACGCTATGAGGGTGTCCATGATGGCATGGCTCGCAGACGTAGAGCTGACGCAATCGTAATAAACGTACGAGCCATTGACGGTGATCAATGTCGGAACAGGCGGATCAATCGCCATCCACACCGCAAGGAGAATCACATTGACGGACACAACCAGAGCCGTGTATCCAAATAGAACGATGTTGGTCAGAGCAGATTTCTTGAGCTTCTGATTGTCTGGATGACAAGGATGTGTCAGTTCAACGCTTGGATGTGCTGCTCTTGCGCTGTTGATGCGATGCGCTCGCAGTATCCGTGTGGTGCTCGCATACCAAAGATCACCCAGATTCGATATGCCTTGACCAGCTGGCTGCCCGTGATCTGGCCGCATGGGCAGCAACGGGATTGAGGGATTGTGGGAGTGTGGGATTGTGGGATTGTGGGAGTGTGGGATTGTGGGATTGTGGGATTGTGGGAGTGTGGGATTGTGTGAGTGTGGGATTGATGGTGAGAGTACATCATTGGGAGAGTTGGTATTGTGAGAGTTGGTATTGTGAGAGTTGGTATTGTGAGAGTTGGTATTGTGAGGAACATCCGATGCTCGCCCAGGTCCAAGCACACGCTGTCGATCAGACTGGCTCGGTGTCCCGCCAATGCCTTGACTCTCATCCGACATTCCCTCATCGTCGACACTCACAATCGAGAAGCCGAGCCATCCGAACCAGTTCTGGAGCTGACAGCTGACAGCCGACATTTTTCCTGTGAAGCCAAAGACCGTCAGCCACAGCAGGACGAGTCCGAGCTGGAGGCAGCGAGATTGGGTGAAGTGAGATTGGGGGAAGTGAGATTGGGTCAGACGACGTTGGATCGGGAAGCAAGAACACAGATGTGGAGAGGTCAGAGACATGGCGAGAGTCGTGGCTGGCAAAGCAAGACACAGCGGGCCAGCGAGCCACTCACGCTGATGATCTGGAGGAACGGAGGTGACATGGCTTTGATGGCGGGTGTGTTTGACTTGATCAAGACGTATATCCAGCAGAAGAGGGTCGACAGCAGTCCTGAGTGGGTGCGAGTGTGGGTGTGGGTGTGAGTGTGAGTGTGGGTGTGAGTGTGGGTGTGAGTGTGGGTGATGGATTGTCGGCAGCGATGACGCTTTGCGATTCCCGCACCACCTCACACATTGCACATTGCACATTGCACATTGCTTACCAATCATGTAGATGATTATCAGGACGATCGGAGCCGGGTCGGTGTACGCAATATACACCTCAGGGAGGACTGTCGGGTGGCGACCCAATCGCGAGTCAGTCCAATGTCGCTCACCAAGATCACAACCAGTGAGTTCCCTGGCCTGGCCGATCCGGTCCCTGCAACATCACCTCGCCGCATCGGTTCCATCGCTCGGCTGTGGCTGCTCGTCGCCCAGGTGTTTCAAACCAGCACCTTACCGATGTGGTCGGTCGACGGCACGGTCAGTCCTGACGGATAGATCACCGGCTGGATGTCGGTCACACTGAGGTTCTGGCTGACCACAGACACAAGGCTCATCGCCGAAGCGTTGAAGATGTAGTTGCCGACAATGTAGTTTCCGATGCGCTCGCCTGCCGAGAATGTCACCTGGCCGGTTGAGCCAACGAACGGAGTCAGCACCGACGTGACGGCCATCGGGAAGCTTCGGCTTGCAATTGCTGCGACGGTGGTGTTTCCGTTTGCGAGGAGCTGGGGTGTTGTTGGGAGCCGGGGACAGCACCGAGGCAGCGACAACGGCGGCAGCACCGAGGCATCGATGGCATCGGTGACATGGACGACATGATATCGAACGAGAAGGCGATGGTGTCAGTGGAGCAAGATCGAAACCGAGAGCCTGATGCATCACCAAGCAGAGCCATTCTGACGGCAATATCATCGCCACAGAACAAGACACACCTGTTTGATGGCGTATGCCATCCCAAGGACACTGGTGAACGCAACACAAGTCAGCGACAAAGCAGCAGGACAGCAGGACAACAGGACAGCAGGACAGCAGCACGAGCAAAGGAACCCCGGCCCAGTGATCCACGGCCTGTGGAATGTCGCTGGCAACCAGCAAGAACTGGATTCCTCCACGCAGCCGCACATACCAGTCGTATGTGAAGAACATTCCCGGTCGAGGTGCAATGTTGCCGTGGGCCGCCACAAAACTGAGGGTCGAGGGATGTGTTGGAGTCGAGTTGACATGGCCGAGTCGGTGGACAGAGTCGAGTTGGTGGGGAGTCAAATGTGTTGTGGGAGGTCAGGAATGCAGCTGAGATGATCAAGTCACAGAGAGTTGCCAGTTCCTGGTCCAAGTGTCAACCAGACCACACCAGCACACCAGCACACCAGCACACCAGCACACCACCACACCACCACACCACCACACCAGCACACCAGCACACCAGCACACCAGCACGCCAGCGTCCATGCCATCGCACTCACCGGTTGTAGATTGACTGAGCGCGAGTGTTGAGAGTTGTTCCAACCTCTTGAGGCATGATCGAAACCAACCCCGAAGCCAGCTGCATGTTTGCGGTTGTGTTGTATGGGGTCACGCTGGTCAAGGTGTTGGAAATCGAGTAGGTCGCATCGGATCCAATATAGGTGTATCTCGGACCAACAAAGTCATAGATTCTGGTGGTGTGGTTGTGTTGTGGATGGCAGAAGGACGAGATGGCAGAAGGACAGAGTGGCAGAAGGACAGAGTGGCAGAAGGACAGAGTGGGTGAGACGAGAGAACAGCCGTTCAGGTTGCCGTGACCTGGTCCCATTGCCGTCGCATGGTTGGTGCGCCATCAGCATCACTCACGCTGCTCGCTCGAGATACAGAATCAGGTCAGTGTCGACCCCGACAAAGACAATGATCTGGTATCCCGTTGCCTTGAGCTTGATGATTTGGTCGTCGATGTCGGTTCCTGGCGGGACATGATTCAAGGCGGGTGGAGGAATGAAGCAGTGCAGCAGTGCAGCAGTGGGGCAGCGGGATAGAGTCAAGGTGAGAGACAAGCACGAAGGATGTGAGAAACAAGAGATATGTATCGACAAGAACAACAAGAGATGAGACCAGCACAAACAGGAACAGCATCGAGGTCATGGCGAATGTCCCGTGGCTCGTGATCGACCAAAGACTCGCTCGATGGCAAGTCGCTGGGATGGAACGACCCATCAAGCCACTGCAGCTGACCTGTGATCGGGGCGTTGTATGTTCCGATGGCCTGGACGGTGATCTGCATGTCGATGTATGTGAGTGTGCATCTGGCCATCACCACGAATGCAATGTGTCTGGCGGCTGCCATGTATCGCTGCCACTGGTCGCAGGCCCGTCGCAGGCTCGTCACAGGCTCGTCGCCGCAACCCTCGACAGACTCACCCCCATCCCAGGTGCGAGTTGCTGGATTGCCGCCTGGATACCAAAGCCATATTGGTTTGCCTGGGTTGGGCGAGGTGTGTTGAGCGATTTGGATGGTGAGTGTGAGTTGTGTGCAAAGCGAGGTGAACAGCGTCAGTTGGTGAGGTGAACAGTGTCAGTCGATCCAAGTGGTCCGCCACCATCAAGCAACAGCGGTATCAAGTAGATAGTGTCGCAACGGTGCCAGCCGGCCACTCACGGCAATCATCAACAGGATGTTGGACCATCCGCGGGACCGCACAAAGGCCAAGATGGCCGGTGCCTGGAGATTGTCGTTCGGGATGGTTCTGAGTGGCGACGGAGAGGCAAGTTGGTCAGTAACCAGCACCCACCAACCAGCACCCACCAACCCAGCACCCACCCATTCACTCACCCATTCACTCACCCATTCACTCACTCACTCACTCACTCACTCACCTGAAAAATGTCGAGTACGAGGACTTGTCCGTCAAGGTGGTTGTGCTGAAGGGGCCGATCGATTCAGGACCGCAGAGTGAGTATATCGTCATTGGCAATCTCGGGGAACCAGAGGGCAGAGCGCACACCAATGCTGTGCTGATTCGCGGTGTTCGGCCCGGCTGTCCCTGTTCGTCACTCGTGTGTCCTTACGTGCTGGATCCGCTGCATTGAAGAATCTGTGGCGATGGAATATTGTCATTCCTTTGCCATAGTGTTGTCCTGACCCATGTATACACTGAGCATACTTACATTGAACACTTTGCTCACGGGCGCCATTGGCACGGTTATAGTAGAGTAGCTTTGCCCTGTCGCAGCACGCGTTAGCAAATCCTGTGCTCGTTCCTCCATACCCTCCATACCTCCAAATCCTCAAATCCTCCAGGCCACGTCGCCGTTCCGGCGTCGATTGATCATCACCTATGATTCCAACAAGCCCTGAGACGCCTGAGAAGCTGACCACGTTTTGAACCGCCGTCCCCTGGATTTCCAAAATTGAGACGCGTGAATTTTCCATCTGGACTGGTTCATCAACCCATCCTGCACCTATACTGCCAATATACTCCCGCTACCTTGACCAGTACTTACCACCGACCAAGAGTAGCCCATCCTCGTGAGAAGCGTGATATTGGGCAGAAGTGTCGGATCGCTGTTGACGTCGTTCACTGCCATGAGGGCAGCCTCGGTCATGGCCGAAACTGTTCAAGCATTCTGCATCAGAACAGTGTCTGTCCACCCTCTCCTCCCATCATCGCTGCTTGGACACGTCTCTGGCTTCGGACTGCTGATACGGGGGCATTCTTATCGCCTTCGCATTCGAGCCCCGACATTACTTACTCGAGCCGACTTCGGCCAAGGCAATGCCAATGGTGAGGTTGGTGCGCTGGGCATCTCCATGACCAACACAGCAGAGGAGCCAAAGGAGGAGTAGTCGCAAGCTGAGCAGCTTCATTTCAAGCCAAGCCCGCGGGAAATTCGAGGTTGGAAAAAGATACAGGGCGAGACGAGGAGTGTTCGGGGAAGGCAGGCGATCCTGCTTGATATAGGTTGCCGGAACTTATCTCAACTACGGGCGCCTTGATTGACACCCCGGGTCGACCGCGGGCAGTGTTGGCTCGATTGGCATCGTCCATGCATGACGGCACCAGAGGGACATTGCATCCATCGACCCCTGTCCCGCTGGGCTGAATCATCCCGTCCGGAGCAGCCGCACGATAGGAATCATCCGCTGGCGCTGCGGCTCTGATTCTGCTGATATGGCAATTGCTGACTGCGGCATCAATGCGCGGATCGTCGATCGGTATCGTCGCCCAAGAACGATATTGCGAATACTTCCCGACCCTCACCACCCTCACCACCCTCTTGCTGCCTCCCACTCCCATCGTCCCACGGGTGCATTTCGCCGGCACATCCGATTGGGTTGCCTCTGATCGCTGCGGCGTCTGCGCAGCATTGTCATTTGCCGGCCAATCACCAGATATCAACTCGCTGCTCACGACATCAGGGCTGCTGTCGAGGCTGCTGCTCTCGCCCTCATCCTCCAGCAACATCCCGCCACCATGAGTGGCATTACCGTCGTTTCGCTGTTTATCTACCCCGTCAAGTCCTGCAAGGCCGTCCCGCTCCAGGAGGCCACGCTGAATGAGTGTTAGTGACGACGTCGATGGCCGCAGTCTTGAACGATCTGAGCCTGCAAACGGCGCTGCTGCACCAACTTGAAGAGGCGCTGCCGCCCCGACTGACTCTCCTGTCTGGCTCTCTATCTGCCTCGATGGCCACGATTGCCTCTATCCAGTTGGGTTTGAGTTTGACCGTTTCTGGATGATCGTCAAGGCTGACAACAGTCGAGAAATGGTCACCCAGCGGACCGAGCCAACCCTGGCCCTGGTTGCTCCTCGGCTCGAGGTCAACCCCGGACCTGCAGAAGTGGGTGCATATCAGCGAGGTGGCCAGCTCATCCTCTCAGCCCCCGGCAAGCCCGAAATCTCGGTCCCGTTCCGAAAGTAACGTACTGCATCCGCCGCATCCAGTCTCGCGCTGCCCCGACGCTGACCTTTTCCCATCGACTGCCGCTCGTCGTCACAACGGCCACCAGGTCCTTTGACGGCGTTGCCACTTTCAAGACCTCTGTCTGGAAGCCCGACAACGTGGAGTGTGTCGACGAAGGAGATGACGTCGCCCAGTGGCTCTCGGATTATCTTGGAAAGCCCGTTCGCTTGGTCGTCAAGTACCCGCATTCGGTCCGGCCCACATCCCTGCGACACACTCCCGAGCCTTCTCACTTTGAGCACACCGTTCAGGTATCCTGTCGTTCGACCAAGGGGAATAGCACACACCCCGCGTCTTGGCTGCGGATCAACCGTCACGGCGGCGCAGACCCAGAACATGCCTGGTGACAGCTGTCGTGCCATACCCCGCCAAGACTAAAAGCGCATTGCCCTTCCCAGACGGCCTTCGCAGACGGATACCCGCTACTGCTTTGCACGACGTCCTCGTTGGAGGCCCTGAACGTCCGGCTCAAGGAAAAGGAGCTCGATCCCGTAACGATCGTACGGTTCCGGCCCAACGTGGTGGTGCAGGGCCCTCCCGCCCACGACGAAGACGAGTGGAAACGCATCGAAATTGCATCGCATCCGTTCTTCGTATCGAGCCGATGCACACGCTGCATTATGCCCTCGAACGACCCCGAGACGGGCCGTCTGGGCAGCGAGCCCACCAAGACGTTGATGGGTTATCGACGAGTGGACCCAGGGGCCAAGTACGAAGCCTGTTTCGGAATGAACTTGATTCACGGCAAAACAGGCGTGGCTGTCCGGGTCGGTGACTCCCTCTTGGTCACCGAGCGAACGACACAGCACAACCGGGCAACGGGGTTGTGGCAGAAGGACCCAGTGGCCGAGAAGAAGGCGGCCGACAAGGCGAGAGGGCCGGCCAAGAAAAGGGACCACTCGGAGAACCCCCGGAAGCCCCGGAAGCGCTCGGCCATGGACCTGATTGCCATCGGTGTCAGCGGCGCCGCTCTGGTGGCCGCCGTGGGTGTTGTTCTTGCCGTTGCTTTCGCCCGGGCCAAGTAGTATGACGGGCTGTCCCGATGGCCGATGGAGCGCCTGAATATACTCATTTTGTTTCGGCAATCGACATCGTGCCCATGCCACTGCAGCGACGATGGCCCCGATCAATGCATTGCCCAGAGCAGCCATCAGGGCCACGGACCCTGGTGTTTCGTTCGCCAAGGGCAGCCGCTTCGGCCGCTTCGCCACTCTGCCCCCAATCTCGCTCGCTCTGTCCCTGAAACCACCACCGACCGTCTCCAGCCTGCCAAGGATCGGAAGCCATGGTGTGTGAACAAATAATCCACAGCACCCTCTCGCACCGTTCACCGAGCTTCCCGTCCTGACCCAATTCCGGTCTGCCACAACACTGCTGCATCTGTAGGAGCTGCCCCATCTGGGAGAGCACTGCGATGAAGCCTCCTGCCATCGACTGGGTGAGTCGTGTGGATGGCGCTGTCTCAAATTTGACAGACATACATTGCTCCGATGCGGAGATCGGGCCTCTATCGAGACTCTAGCAGACATCGACGCTGCTTGGAGCAATCGCCAACCCGGCCTGGTTGCGATGAGCATCATGGCCAGAGGCTTGAGCTTCCGGCTGGCTGTGCGGCTGACTGTCTGGACTCTGTTAATTCTCTTGACACTGCTACTCTCGCCCGTCTCCACTCGGCATTCACTCGCCGAATCGATCGCATCGTTCCAGACTTTCTTCCGTACCGCTGCCAATTCTGCACAAAGGTATGGGGCCGATTCTTCTAACGACAGTGACTTGAGCAAAGCAATGATCGACTGCTGTGTCGTTTCCCTGCGATTGAGTTGGCGTTTGGTATCGTGCCTGCGACTCGGAGCCGATGAGGAATCTCCGAGCGATGAGGAGAGTGTGTTAACCATGGCTCTGCTCCTCGTCTCCTCCGGTGAATGCTTGCGCTCTCACTTGCGCTCGCACCGGCCTCGTCATGCAGACTTTCTGGTGAGGCACTGTTGATAGTATCTGGAGCCGTGCTCACTCGATGCTCCAGCCCTGCTGCGATATCGCCGACGCACTCGCATCTTTGATGAAATGAATCGGATAGCGCATATGAAGGACCCATCGGCGATCCAACTGACTCGATGACGGCCAGGAGCATCCACTCACCGGATTGATCCCTTTCGCTGCCTTTGCTTCCGCAGCCAGGACCACTATCGGCCCAAAGAGCATTCGTGTCCCAATGTCCCCGAGACCCTGGATCGGCAGGCAACCGTCTGTCCGGTCTGCTCGAGGGTTGTGCCCGTGAACCGAGACGAAGACCCCAACATCCGGGTCGAGCGACACATTGCCGAGGGCTGTCCCGACCCAGGAACATCAACGCTCTCGGCGCCATCAACGAGAACCAGCTCGCCGGCTGCAAAGCGACCCGGAACCTGCAGCATGAAAAGGTGCACCAAGAAAGAGCTCGTTCCGATTCAGTGCCCAAGCTGTGGCCGGACGTTTTGCATCCGACATCGCCTGGACGTAGACCACCACTGCGAAGGGATTGGATCCGGTGCGAATGGATCCGGGAGGTCGCCGCTGCCTCGAAACACACCACCTTCGAATCGCAAAGGGCCAGCCAGCAGTGGGGCCCAGTCGAATCGGTAGGCTCATTGTTCCTCGTCTCATGGAGTCGAATAGAGCGATGTCGGCGGGACCAAATCGAGAGTTCGAATCAGGGGCGTTCTTGCTGGCACTATTAGCCGACATTCGTCGGCGATGATGTGGCTCGACCATCGGAACGAAAGCTAAGACAGATTCAAACATCCCCTCGCGGCCATCAGTGGATCCCAGCCATCGCAGCAGCGACAGCCTACTTCAGGCAGCAACCGGAGCGCCGGAACGGTATGGACCCATGCTTTGTCATTTCGATCCATCGCCGTGTGAATGTGATGGCAAGGCAGGATGCGAAGCTACCAAATAGCCATTGCGTATCCAAGCAGATTGCATCGTCGCCTTCGTGAGTACCATCCACATGACCCCTGATTACTTTGACAATCGATCCGTGCTCGCACCCAGAATCTCACCGAGGAAGAGCAAATCGCCCTTGCGATACAAATGTCATTGGAAGAGTCTAAGCAAAAAAATGTGAGATGATCGTCCAAGTGGCATCCTGGAGGGGGGGGGAATCAAAGGAAACCGCCGATACCAACCGAGCCAAAGTATGAAGCAGGCGCTGCATAGGGCCAGTGACTTGGCTATTCGACAGCCAACGGATGTGATCAGATTGAGCTGCTTGTTGTTTGGCCATGTATCGAGAGTCCACCACACTAACAAAGCGCTATACCGCATTCCTCGGTGTTCTCTGTGGCCATCCTCATACTGTCCTCTCTCCGCCATAAGCCGCCGTCGGATGCTGGATGCTCGATTTGCTGACGGCATCCCAAAGCTGGTACTCCAGGGTCAGGATGCCGTGGATGGCCGCTGACTTGAATGGCCAAGAGATCGTGCCTTTCAAAGGAGCTGCTACTCATGCGGCAGCAATATGGGACACTCTATATATTGGGGAGAGCCACAGCGGGCGCCTCCACTCCATGGATCCGTAGTGGCTATCGCTATGATGCCGAATTGCAAATAACAAGTTGGATTCAACCAACAGACAACCTGCTGTGCGAGGCGAAATAATGAGCTGCCGCAAGTTGATCGTATACCCTGCCGTGGAAGGGAGGAGGGCACAAACCGGCATCGATTTCTCAGACACCGTCGCTCGAGCTCGTCGCACTCGGCTCAGGAGTGAATGAGGCAGTGTCCTCGCTCGTGCACAATCGGCCTGTACACCGATATCATGCCCAGGACCGGACCGGACGGGACCGGCGTGCCGTCAATCGATGACTGGTGTTCGTCCTGGCCGAATCGATGGGTGTCTTGTGGCAGCTGTTGCCTGGGAATGGATATAGGAGGCATGGCAGCCACGGATATCAAAGTAGCCCGCCACATTTCTTGTTGCCTCGGCTGTTGTTTGCAAATCAACCCTGAGTGTGAATAAAGCATCCAACACATCGTGGATGGTATGTATTCAAACTGGTATGCACATGCTCAAAACAGCCGGAAACCCAAGCAATCCAGCCATATGCCTGCAGGACCACACCGAGCTTGCCCGTTTAGCCTAAAGTCGAAAGCCGAAACAAAAACAACGATATGCTCTGTCGGGGCCGAAAGGTGCGTAATCAACGTCCGAGAGATGTCGGGATGGCGGGTTACAGGCTGCGATACACGGTACGATTGCTGATTCTTTCCATCACAATAGGCGCTGTGTGTTTTAGTCGTCGGTCTTGACAATGATGACGCTGGTGCTGGAGTTGTGAGCGAGGTGGTCGGAGACGCTGCCCTGGAGGGCTCTGTCGGAGATCATGTCCAGAGCATAAGCCGGCCGCCACGGTAATAAAGTGCGAGGGCGTATCAGCAGGAGAAACGACATACGGTGGTTGTGACAGGGCGCAAAGCGATAACGACCCAGTCGGCGATGGGCAGCAAATCGGGCCACCCTCTCGCCCAGAAACTCGATCAACCAAGCAACCAGCCAACCAGCCAGCCAGCCAGCACAATCTCGAGACGAAAGCAGACCCACCTCTGGAACGCGCCGATTCCTCGCGATCCGACAACGATGGCGACGACACTGGCGCTCTCGGAGAGTCGAAGGAGCGCATCCCGGGGATCGCCCTTCTGGATGGTAACACGCAACTGGATGGACTTTGCCACTTCGGCGGAAAGGTACAGCGGGAGTGCCTGGTGGACAACGTCCTCGACGGTCTTGAGACGGGAGGTGAGAGATTGAGAGACCATTGCAGTTCGCATATTAGCCCGGAGCACGCCAACAGAGTGCATCGAGTTGGGCATCCTTCAGGATAGATCCGTGCCGCCCTCGAAGCGATGGCGCTGGGCAAGGCAACTTACGCGCTCCATATCTCGGAGAACATCGCTGCTCATGTTGTCGGTGACGTGCCCGCCGGCGAGTGCCGGAGTGGCCAGTGACTTGGATGCGTGGACCAGGTGAATGGTGTCTCCGGGACGGACAAACTGGCGGAGCGTCCAGAGCAGAACAGGCGAGTTTTTGATGCCGTCCTTGGAGATAGTGTCGATGCCAAGAAGGATTTCGCGTTGAGGGGCGCTCATGGTGCAGGCTGGGTGGTGTTGGAAGCGGGGGGGGGAGACTCGAGAGCTCTGCAAGAAGAAACGACGGTGTGCCGGTCGATCGATTTGGAATGGTCTGACTTGGGCGGATGGCGGTCTCTGGGGAGCGGCGGGGAGGGCCGGCTTTTGAGAACGGCTGGCGGCCTGGATGACAGCGAGTCACGGTGACGTCGGTGGCGGTCAGGCGGCCCGGCGAATGAATGCGATCCGATGAACCTCGGGGCCATGCGGGAGGCGGTATCCAGCCAACCCATTCCCACCCGCAAGATCGGTCTGCTCTGCGGCGATTGATCCGAGCAAGCGCAGGGATGCGTGCCCATCGCGGCCGCTGTCAAGGACGTATATTCCGCACGCAGCACGGATACTTGTTCTGCGGATTCCACATGGGACTGGGGCGGGCAGCACCGCGACGCATCTGCGATACCCCGTTGGTCATCCACATCGGGCGAGAGCCTGTTTGGATCGCATGGTCGGTGTCCCTCATGCTTCCACTGTTCTCTTGATGCTCTTGGAGTTCTTGAGTCGATACGTCGCAAGTTCCTGCAAACACAGAAGCTTCTCCTTATCCTCGCTTGTTTGGAACTCAATGACATAGGTCCGTCCTCCGTGGCCGGTAGAGAATATCAGCTGGTCGCCCGGAGCATCCTCAATGCTGCAGTTCCTGATTCTGGCGCAAATGCCCGGCTGGATGAAGGAGGCAAGCAGGTAAGCTGTGCTGCGATCACATTGAGGCAAGAAGCGACTTTGATGCGGCCGATACCGGTCGCATACCCTTTCAATGGCCACCTTCTTTTTGGGAGATTCCGGATGGTCGATGGCTACGGTGTTGGTAGCTCTCACCAAGTGCGTTGGATACAAACAAACGTTGGTCTGGTCATTGGAAATGATCAAACGTCGCGCCTCCCAGGTGGAAAATAGGTTGCCTTCTTCCTTGACGACAACATCCACGAATGTGTCCGTGCGGGAGTGGGTGGTCTTGCCGGTCACTGCCGATCCTTCATGGTCGTTTTCCATGTGCTTTCCCCACACCGTGCTCGACGTGAGGATAAGCCGCCCAACATGGCAATCTGGAAGCGAGAGGACATGGTGAGACCGAGGAGGGCAGTCAGACCAGGCCGGGCCACCTCCTGTGACTTACAAAGATTCAAGAAAATAGCCAACAGCATGAGGATGGACTTGAGGAAGAACTGCGAACCAGATCAAGAGTCAATGAGGGGCCAATCGAGATGCACCCCAAGGCAAGGCGTGAGCGCCAGCTGATGCGTACATTGCTACTGAGCGTCCCGTTCCCAGTCCAGATCACTATAAAGGCGATGGCTCCACAGAGGATGTTGAAGAGCGAGGTGTAGGTCATCCACTTGCTCTCACGGTAGACGCTGTCGACGTTTTGGGTCTTGTATGCAAAGAGTAGGACAGCGAACTGGAGTGTACTGCAGAGGAACAGAGCGTCAGTCGAATGATTGCGATGCAAGAAAATACGAGCCAGGAGCGGACATACATGTTATAGGCAACGATTGCTCTTGAGAGTATGAATCCCGAGAATCTGGAGGATGAACAATCGTAATACTGATAGGCTTCATTGACGGTGATAAGGACGGGAACCGGGGGATCAAGGATGGCCCATACAATCAATAGAATCAGGTTAACAGCCACGATAACGGCTGTGTAGGTGAAGAGAGTGACGTTGCTGAGCAGAATCATCTTGAGCTTCTGATTGTCTGGATGACAAGGATGTGTCAGTTCAACGCTTGCATGTGCTGCTCTTGCGCTGTTGATGCGATGCGCTCGCAGTATCCGTGTGGTGCTCGCATACCAAAGATCACCCAGATTCGATATGCCTTGACCAGCTGGCTGCCCGTGATCTGGCCGCATGGGCAGCAACGGGATTGAGGGATTGTGGGAGTGTGGGATTGTGGGATTGTGGGAGTGTGGGATTGTGTGAGTGTGGGATTGATGGTGAGAATACATCATTGGGAGAGTTGGTATTGTGAGAGTTGGTATTGTGAGAGTTGGTATTGTGAGGAACATCCGATGCTCGCCCAGGTCCAAGCACACGCTGTCGATCAGACTGGCTCGGTGTCCCGCCAATGCCTTGACTCTCATCCGACATTCCCTCATCGTCGACACTCACAATCGAGAAGCCGAGCCATCCGAACCAGTTCTGGAGCTGACAGCTGACAGCCGACATTTTTCCTGTGAAGCCAAAGACCGTCAGCCACAGCAGGACGAGTCCGAGCTGGAGGCAGTGAGATTGGGTGAAGTGAGATTGGGGGAAGTGAGATTGGGTGAAGCGAGATTGGGTCAGACGACGTTGGATCGGGAAGCAGGAACACAGATGTGGAGAGATCAGAGACATGGCGAGAGTCGTGGCTGGCAAAGCAAGACACAGCGGGCCAGCGAGCCACTCACGCTGATGATCTGGAGGAACGGAGGCGACATGGCTTTGATGGCGGGTGTGTTTGACTTGATCAAGACGTATATCCAGCAGAAGAGGGTCGACAGCAGTCCTGAGTGAGTGTGAGTGAGTGTGAGTGTGAGTGTGAGTGTGAGTGTGGGTGTGAGTGTGGGTGTGAGTGTGGGTGATGGATTGTCGGCAGCGGTGACGCTTTGCGATTCCCGCACCACCTCACACATTGCACATTGCACATTGCTTACCAATCATGTAGATGATTATCAGGACGATCGGAGCCGGGTCGGTGTACGCAATATACACCTCAGGGAGGACTGTCGGGTGGCGACCCAATCGCGAGTCAGTCCAATGTCGCTCACCAAGATCACAACCAGTGAGTTCCCTGGCCTGGCCGATCCGGTCCCTGCAACATCACCTCGCCGCATCGGTTCCATCGCTCGGCTGTGGCTGCTCGTCGCCCAGGTGTTTCAAACCAGCACCTTACCGATGTGGTCGGTCGACGGCACGGTCAGTCCTGACGGATAGATCACCGGCTGGATGTCGGTCACACTGAGGTTCTGGCTGACCACAGACACAAGGCTCATCGCCGAAGCGTTGAAGATGTAGTTGCCGACAATGTAGTTTCCGATGCGCTCGCCTGCCGAGAATGTCACCTGGCCGGTTGAGCCAACGAACGGAGTCAGCACCGACGTGACGGCCATCGGGAAGCTTCGGCTTGCAATTGCTGCGACGGTGGTGTTTCCGTTTGCGAGGAGCTGGGGTGTTGTTGGGAGCCGGGGACAGCACCGAGGCAGCGACAACGGCGGCAGCACCGAGGCATCGATGGCATCGGTGACATGGACGACATGATATCGAACGAGAAGGCGATGGTGTCAGTGGAGCAAGATCGAAACCGAGAGCCTGATGCATCACCAAGCAGAGCCATTCTGACGGCAATATCATCGCCACAGAACAAGACACACCTGTTTGATGGCGTATGCCATCCCAAGGACACTGGTGAACGCAACACAAGTCAGCGACAAAGCAGCAGGACAGCAGGACAACAGGACAGCAGGACAGCAGCACGAGCAAAGGAACCCCGGCCCAGTGATCCACGGCCTGTGGAATGTCGCTGGCAACCAGCAAGAACTGGATTCCTCCACGCAGCCGCACATACCAGTCGTATGTGAAGAACATTCCCGGTCGAGGTGCAATGTTGCCGTGGGCCGCCACAAAACTGAGGGTCGAGGGATGTGTTGGAGTCGAGTTGACATGGCCGAGTCGGTGGACAGAGTCGAGTTGGTGGGGAGTCAAATGTGTTGTGGGAGGTCAGGAATGCAGCTGAGATGATCAAGTCACAGAGAGTTGCCAGTTCCTGGTCCAAGTGTCAACCAGACCACACCAGCACACCAGCACACCAGCACACCAGCACACCAGCACACCAGCACACCACCACACCAGCACACCAGCACACCAGCACACCAGCACACCAGCACGCCAGCGTCCATGCCATCGCACTCACCGGTTGTAGATTGACTGAGCGCGAGTGTTGAGAGTTGTTCCAACCTCTTGAGGCATGATCGAAACCAACCCCGAAGCCAGCTGCATGTTTGCGGTTGTGTTGTATGGGGTCACGCTGGTCAAGGTGTTGGAAATCGAGTAGGTCGCATCGGATCCAATATAGGTGTATCTCGGACCAACAAAGTCATAGATTCTGGTGGTGTGGTTGTGTTGTGGATGGCAGAAGGACGAGATGGCAGAAGGACAGAGTGGCAGAAGGACAGAGTGGCAGAAGGACAGAGTGAGTGAGACGAGAGAACAGCCGTTCAGGTTGCCGTGACCTGGTCCCATTGCCGTCGCATGGTTGGTGCGCCATCAGCATCACTCACGCTGCTCGCTCGAGATACAGAATCAGGTCAGTGTCGACCCGACAAAGACAATGATTTGATATCCCGTCGCCTTGAGCTTGATGATTTGGTCGTCGATGTCGGTTCCTGGCGGGACACGATTCAAGGCGGGTGGAGGAATGAAGCAGTGCAGCAGTGCAGCAGTGGGGCAGTGGGATAGAGTCAAGGTGAGAGACAAGCACGAAGGATGTGAGAAACAAGAGATATGTATCGACAAGAACAACAAGAGATGAGACCAGCACAAACAGGAACAGCATCGAGGTCCTGGCGAATGTCCCGTGGCTCGTGATCGACCAAAGACTCGCTCGATGGCAAGTCGCTGGGATGGAACGACCCATCAAGCCACTGCAGCTGACCTGTGATCGGGGCGTTGTATGTTCCGATGGCCTGGACGGTGATCTGCATGTCGATGTATGTGAGTGTGCATCTGGCCATCACCACGAATGCAATGTGTCTGGCGGCTGCCATGTATCGCTGCCACTGGTCGCAGGCCCGTCGCAGGCTCGTCACAGGCTCGTCGCCGCAACCCTCGACAGACTCACCCCCATCCCAGGTGCGAGTTGCTGGATTGCCGCCTGGATACCAAAGCCATATTGGTTTGCCTGGGTTGGGCGAGGTGTGTTGAGCGATTTGGATGGTGAGTGTGAGTTGTGTGCAAAGCGAGGTGAACAGCGTCAGTTGGTGAGGTGAACAGTGTCAGTCGATCCAAGTGGTCCGCCACCATCAAGCAACAGCGGTATCAAGTAGATAGTGTCGCAACGGTGCCAGCCGGCCACTCACGGCAATCATCAACAGGATGTTGGACCATCCGCGGGACCGCACAAAGGCCAAGATGGCCGGTGCCTGGAGATTGTCGTTCGGGATGGTTCTGAGTGGCGACGGAGAGGCAAGTTGGTCAGTAACCAGCACCCACCAACCCAGCACCCACCCATTCACTCACTCACTCACTCACTCACTCACTCACTCACTCACCTGAAAAATGTCGAGTACGAGGACTTGTCCGTCAAGGTGGTTGTGCTGAAGGGGCCGATCGATTCAGGACCGCAGAGTGAGTATATCGTCATTGGCAATCTCGGGGAACCCGAGGGCAGAGCGGACACCAATTCTGTGCTGATTCGCGGTGTTCGGCCCAGCTGTCCCTGTTCGTCGCCCGTGTGTCCTTACGTGCTGGATCCGCTGCATTGAAGAATCTGACGATTGTCATAATGGCATTAGACCCAAGTCGCTCACACGCCCACACCGTCACGTAGTCTTACATTAAACACGCTCGAAATCGGAGCCATCGGCACCGTGATAGCAGAATAACTTTGCCCTATCAACATAGATTATCATCAGCGTCAGTTTTGCGTTCGATCGTTCGCTTCAGAAAATCGTGGATGCTCCTTACCTATGATTCCAAACAGGCCTGGTATTTGTGCGAACGAAATCACGTTCCGCACCGCCGTTATCTGCCGATTATCAATCTCCGTGAGAACCACCGTGCGCCTCGACCCCTCTGACGGCCACAACCATGCGCGTCACATACAATCGACCAGGAATGAAGCGTCGTCGCGACAAGTGTGATGTTGGGCAGAAATGTCGGATCGCTGTTGATGTCGCTTATAGCCATCTGAGCAGCTTCATTCATCGCCAGAACTTGTCGTCCGCACGATTGGGATCCGGTGGCCAGTGTCGTTAACATTTGGTTGCTGCACATCACCACGAAATTCCCAGGACCAGCAATCACAAGAGCATCGATACTCACTCGAGCCGATCTCAGCCAGCGCTATTCCGATGGTCAGGTTCACATTCTGTGCCATTCCTGGCTGAGCGATCCTGGCTATTACCAGGAAAGCGAATAACTTGCCCCATAAACGCATCAGAACTCGAATAGCTGTAGGTGGTGATATGGATGAACTCGAATAGCTACTGTACCGCCTCGGCAAAAGCCAGACCCTCCCGTCGAAAGCAGCCAAGTTGCCAGCTCATCGCGATGGATGTGATTGGTATTGCCGGCGAATCCTCCGGGCCTCCCAACAATCGGGATTGATCATCCTTGCGCCGCACCACCCCCTTGACGCTTGCTGAATTGCGTGTCTGACAGCCGCCGATCGCCTCGAAAATGATCAACTCTACATCATTCTGGTGAGCACACCCCCGGGCTTGGTATAGCCGATCACCATTCCAAGCAGCTTCAGGTTCCCCACTTGTAGCATCGCGGCGAAGCAGGCGGCAGACTCAAACGATAGCCGATGCACACGGCAGCGTCCGCTGCATCCACTCTGCAAGAAATGAGCTATGACCAAATCGGCATGCATCGTGCAGCCCCTCGGAGCGAGGGATTTGGTCGTGCATGTCCTTTCGAGAGCGAAAGGATGGATGGAACCCAAAAAAAAACCAGTACCCACGGCGGGGGTCGAACCCGCAACCTTTGGATTAGAAGTCCAATGCGCTATCCAATTGCGCCACGCGGGCCTCGCCAATGTCGTACAAAGTCTATCCAGTTGAGCCAATCAAAGTCCCGATAATGTACATACAATGGCAATGTCGTGGATATTCCCAATCCAATAACCAACGGGACACCCCGGATTTTGGGCATTGGTGAATATTTTGATTCAAAACATCGCGCGCTGGGTATGACCATTCAGTGATGTGCTTCTGGATCTGAACCAAGGACGCTTTCTCGCACAGATGGCTCCCTGCAAGCGAAAGACACCACCCAGGCGACGGCGATTCAAGCGACTCGATCTCCAGGTGTGCTCACAGTGCCGGAAAGCCAAGCGACTCGAGAAAGCCGAGTATCTCGATATCGATACACCATGGAGCTGTCCAGAGAGTCGAGTGGATGCACCACACAAAGAGATTGCCAGCCAGGACGGGAAACAATCGCCGACTGGAGCCTATGGACCAGCAGACTTGTGTCGCTGATGCCAGAAAGTGAATATCCCGTTTCTCTTTGGATTGCCTGTCTATTCAGCGATTCAAACTCACGCGAGTCACTCCCAACTGCCGCAGGCGGCCAAGGCATTTGGAAAGTTCTCGGTCGAGGTCTTCTTCCGCCCGCTCGTGGTTGGACATGTTTTGTTGCGTCTTGCGCTGTAGATCCAGGAGCCCACCCAGCTCTTGGATCCGCATCCTTCCGTCGGCCCCAGGGCCATTGGGGTTCATGCCTGACATGTCCGTCAAGATGGTCGAGTTGATATGCTGAAGCAACTTTCGCAAGGTTTCTTGGTCGTCCTGGAGCTGAAGCTTGGCTTTCTGTATCTGCGTAACTCGCGTCTCCAGGAGGCGAGTCTCGCCGTCCGCAACCGAGGCAGCCTCGCCGAGTGTATTACTCGGATGGGTATCTGCCATTTCCCTTCTGGGGCTCACCCAACCCCAGCGGGGCTCGAGCTGCTCGCTAGAGGCACCTGCTTGGTTGTGCGATGCGGCAAGTTCCTCTTCCCCATGGGTTCTTGGCCCTTGGTTCTCCAAAGGAGCGGCGGTGGTGCATCTTGATGGATTGCCAAAGTGGAGCGACTTTGTCTGGGCTCCGATTTGAGTCGAACGTGAATTCGCTTGTGACCGAGACAAAGAAGTGCGAGCAAGCCTTTCTTCCGTCCCAATCGCGCGGCTATTTCCAAGCTCAACAGCGACGAGCGGCTCCGTAGCTTTCTCGGCGGTTCCTGGCGCCCCCGAAACCCGGTGGGTCGAGTGCAGAGCACCGCGAGCTGGCGATTCCCAGGATTCTCTTGTCTTCCCTTGATGCATTCCTGGCTGCTCTTGCGTGGTGCTGGGTTCGACGAGGGTCTGGCATGTATCACCCGAGCCATGATCAATGCGAACCGAGTCCTTGGTACCTGCGTCCACGGGCTTGCCAAACATACATCCGGGCTCCAGAAGAAATTTGGGCTTTCGGGGCTGTGGTCTCGTTGAGGCTGTTCGGGCCACAGCAGGCACGCCAACAAGCACAGACCCCACGCCTAGCTCTGAATGGTCTTGTGGATCCAGATGGGCCGAGCGTGGCGAATCGGTGTCAGGAGGATATATAGTCGTAAAGCGCGAACGATCCCCTCCGGTTTCGGGTTTGCTCTCTTGTGCCAAGCCCAGGTGTGTGCCCACGACCCTGTCGGCATCACGAAGCAGTTTAGCAAACAGTACACTGGCTTCATCAACCGTTGCGGTTGAACAAGGAACCAACCTGTTCAGGCCCGTGTCTTGTAGAGCAAGGCTGATTTTCTGGAAGAGCAGCTTGGTCCCTGCCAGGTGGAGTACAGTTTAGAACATGTACCCCTGCATTCTATGCATGTACCATCGACGCCTACCATCTGGAGCACGGCCGGATGCACGTAGACCAGTCTTGGCCTTCCAGAGCAGCGCATATTTCCGGGCAAGTTGCCACTCGGTCGGCCCGAGATCGTGCTGCTGCGAAATGAGCATCTTTTCGTACTGACAATCCCATCCCTCCACAGCCTGAAACATATCGTATCATGAGAAGCACGACCATACCCACGTGTGAGTGTGGCTGCATTGTGCCGCAGTACGCCCATCTATAAAATACCCATTCGATGGTCGACATCGCTTCTCCCGACCGCCGTAATCAGCTCGTCGATGTCACCCACGAGATCCTACCTCGATCCACAATGCACATCCATTCCTGAGCACGCGTTCGCTCCTCCACATCTCAACGTCAGCCTTTTGAGCTCGATATCGCTTCTTCTGCTGGATATATGCGGCCCATGAGCTGAAGCACTTGGACATCAGATGGAGGCTCCAGTGCTCGATTGGCATTGAATAGAGACGATCAACGACGCTGTGCCAGTCTGGCCTGGACTTTTTCCAGACGCCGTAGGCCCGCCGGGAGAGTGACTTCCGTCGGAACTCGTCCGCGCGTCCATTTGACATCTGGATACGATCGAACGCAGAGCTGGGCGGTCAGCACTCTATGGAATCGATCAAGCCCAATATACGAGCAAGGTCCATGGGCGTGATCTTGTGGCCGAGCACTCGGCATTCCGCCACCAAGCAACTTACCCGGACCCAGGCCGAGTGCAAATAGATCAACTTCCATCGGCCCCAATATGTGACCGCCAACTTGGATGAATAAAGGGAATCGGCCTCGAGTTTCATCATGTGAACTGTCTTTTGCGATTCGACGTATGCTCGCCAGGCTTCAAAGTGTCTCTGGAGTTTGGCTGGGCAGACAATCAGCTGGGGGCACATGATTCCAGGTGATAAAACAGCCGCATCATACTTACAGTATCCCAAGAGAATGCCGGCCTCACGCAGATTTTCGTTGACACGCCGCTTGTTCTCGGCCCTGTGCAGAGTATAGATTCTCCATCTGCGGAGAGTCTGCAGCGGCCTCAGTTTCAACGCTACAGCGAGCGCGTCGAGTTGCGGGAGAAAACGGGCAAGGTCCCAGCACCTACTTGTCGCAATAGCTCTGATTCGACCGAGGACTGAGCCGTGTCTATGATCGCTTGCATCTCGCGGTTTTGGCGGGCCCTGTGCATCCAAAGGCCAAAGGCCTGGCACTGAATGTGGCGATTGCGGTGCTCTGTCCAAGCCAAAACGATCCTCCGAAATGAGTTCTGGTCGCGCGTATAGTCCTGGCGTCGCATGGTTACCATAGATTGACCTCGCATGAGTAGGCATAAGCACAAGAGCCCTCCTCTGCCCTCCATCCATCACAAGTTCAACCGTGCATGTCGTCATAACGCACCACCCAGGCGTATAGGTTCTTTCGGAGCCGAATCTTGCTGTCTCGGGAAACGGCAACGTCCCATTTGAGACTGCTCTTCTGATGATCCAGTAGTCGCTGAGACCGAGATTGTCCGATTTCGGTCAAACAGGGGCTTGGTGCAGACAGAGAGCCGCAAGTCTTTGCGTACACTGATCCGAACAAACCTTGATCCATCCGCGAAACCAATATCGCAGAACAGTGGTTCGGCGATACACTGCAGCAGCGTGCTCCATAAGCTGCCACGTTCTCATATGTTGCGCACGCTGAGCCCATCGCCGTAGGACGTGCCTTGCGATGTTTTGGCTATGCTGGACTGCGACAAGATCCTATAGGCATCATATTGCGGAGCTGCAGTTACTTGAGGAAACGTCACGATCTACCCAGGCAGCAAAATGCGGGCCCCGTCCTACCTCAGCCTGTTGCAACTCGTGAATGAGCGCAAGGTTTCTCTGGAACACGAGAAGGCCACGATAGAGTAGCCGCTTTCTATCGTGACGCTGCGCCTGGATAAATCCATGAAGGCTATGAGCAAGCAGCCAGGATCCGGTGCTGTCTCCTCAGGCACTGTGAAGCGCATCAATGCTTACCGTCTCCATCTGCTGGCGCTCATAGGACTTCTCGATCCAGCATTCAATCCACCGCATCCAGCACTTGGAAATCAGATTTTGGCGAAGCCAGGTCTGAGCGATCAGGGCAGTTTTGTACTCTTGTCTTTGAAACTGAAGCTTGGCGTTCCACTGTCTCAGCGACCGTTGCAGCAGCCGATTTCGGTACAGGCCGACTGCCATTCCAAGCCGTTGCTAGAGACCCGTGATCGTGAGGACAGCTGCCGATCAGCATAGGCAACACAGATATGGTACTGATGCTTCCGTGTGAGGGAGAGGGAAGGGTCAAACCTTTTGCTGCCGCTGTGTGGCGAACTCTAGCTTCCATCGCTGAAGTGTACGAATGGCGAGCCGCGATTCATAGAAATGGATTGCCGGCAAGAGCCGTGCCTGTTCTCTACTTGCTGCTGCCTCCAGCACCTTATCCTGCCATCGCTTCCAAAACTTCGATACAAGCTATTTTGGACGATACGGAGGCTCTGTCAAGGGCATGTGCTGCGGTAAATCCAGGGCCATAGACGAGTCGATTCCACGCTACCTGCTGGGCATTCCACCTCTCGGCACCTTCTTGTCGGACCAGTGCTGCTCTCATTCGAAAAAGCACACATTTCTGTCCAAGGATCAGCACCAGTACCATGGAGCAGTCACGATCAGCACCAGTGCCATGAAGCGATCAGGATCACCATTAGTACCATGAAGCGATCAGCATCAGCACGGCTCAACTGATGGTAAGTCACATGCCTGGATATGTTGGTTGTAAAACTGGTCCGCCTGCGCCAGTTGTCGGTGCATATGTTGACGCTTAGATGTAGCTGGTAACAGGACCAGGTTACATGTCGGTTAGCGGCACAGAAATCCCGCGGGAATAGGGGCCGATGGCGGACTTACATTCCCTCCAAAGCTGAAATCCGTGACGCAGCGAGCTTTGGTGTCGACGCCGATCCGAGACAGCCATCTGATCCTGGATCGTCTGGCCCCTTTGTGCCTTGGAGTGCATCGAGTGGAATGTGGAGGCAAGGAGCCTACTTTCGTGGTGATGCACAGCGACGGCTTGTTTGGAGCATCATGCACCGGCGATGACAGGGAAAGGCTTCAGCGAACGAAACGGTGATCGGAATGCTCTGTCGTCAGCTTGCCGTGCTTGAGCCACAGGGAGGGGGGGACTTACAGACTCGAGCGTGCTTCTCTCTTTGATACTCCACATAGCTGACCCAGGCTGCCCACACCCGCCGCTTTGCGTTTGTGCTGATAAGGGCACGAAGCAGCTCGGCCTTGTGTGTGGTCTTCAGCTGAATCGTCCAACGAAGCTTCCAAGCTCGCAAATGCCGAGCGATGATGGCTTTTTGGTACGCCTGGTCGCCCATCCGAAGATCTCGCTGAAGCTTGATGTGCAGATGGTGCTCGGCCGCCCAGGTCTTGAACATGCGGCGACAAACTGCGGCTCTGTGGAAGTCACTCGCATTGCGATAGAGTTGCTGTTTGCGTTGTCGTTTGAGATGATATATGAGCCAGCCGGCATAGGCCGTGCGGATCAGCCGCTGCTCAGCTAGTGCAGCACGATGGCCGCATTGATGTGATGGGATGCATCAGAATCAGCCCGATCGCCGAAAGGCAGTCCTGGCAGAGCGATCGAACAGAGAGCATCGAGGCCACCCACCGAAACGGAGAGCCTTGCCGAGCTCCAGCTTCTCGGAGCGCTGCAAGAGCACATACGCTCTCCAAGCAGCCCAGGCTCGATCGCAAAGCACAAATCTGTGCCTGACATCTGCCCGCACCGCCAGCTTCCAAGATTCTCGGCTGCTTGAGGCGAATCGGGCTTTCCAGCAAGCAAAGCCATCGCGCTGGAGCGACCTTTGGCGGAATTCCTGGGCTCGGCGGGTCAGAACGAGCTGTCGCCACGACCTGTATGCTCGAGAGGCAAGCCAAAGCTCTCTCTTGGAGAGGGTGGAGACACTGTGGTCATCTTGCGATCCGTTTGTTGGCGGTTGGATTGGTATGGTTGAAGGAGCGGATGCTGCATGGGCCGCGAGCTCAGACGGTCGAGCAGGGCGAAAGACAGGGATGCGAGACTCTCGGGATGGCGCAGCCTTTGGTATGGATTGCAGATCCAGATCAGAGACCTCCGGTGGCAGCATGGAAGCGTCGTCAATCGCAGGCCGAGCAGAGGCCAAGCGGGCGGGGTGGATCATGAGGAGTGAGCGAGAAGACAGCACGCGGCAACGGCAAATCGACCAGGTTTGGCCGGCGAGCCCGCTCGAGCCACCAAACCAGCCATATCGATCGCCGAGCACCCCTGCTGCACGATGCCATGCTGCAAGGCTTGACATGCGAGAGATCATCTATCCTAAGAATCGGCAGCGAGCACCGACCCTTGGAATGAAAAGACTGCAGTCCGACCCATGGGTGGAGCGCTTCTCTCTGTCGCTGGCGCATTCGACTGGCTGCAATCCAATTCACACATCCTCCGGTTTCTCCTCTTGCCCCTCGCAACCTCTCGCAACCCCATCACCCGGCCTGTGCAGCACATGCAGAATCGGGTATTCAACACAGCACGGCTTTCATTCCATCAAACAAGGGTCGACACAAAGTGTTTCAAGGTGTAGTTCCCATGCCCGCTCATGACTACGAGGCTCTATCGTCCCCACAGTAGTCGGATTGATCAAGACCAGGACACTCTTGCAGGTCGCAACGGCATCATCGACTTGTGGGCCATCGTTCATGCGACTCTCTGCGCCGGATCAAACGCACAACATCCAAACGATGGCACTACTTGGCCATGGCCATTGCTCAGAGATGCTCAGAGATGCTCAGAGATGCTCAGAGATGCTCAAAGTCAATGAGCAGCCCGTTCTTCAGGCCATGAGTGACTGTCTGGATTGGCTCGATAACCTGGTTCGGTGTCATTGTGAAGTTGAAGTGTCGGAGAATGTTTGCCATGACGACCTTGATCTCGATCATTGCCATCTTTTGGCCGATACCTGCGTGAGGACAGCACAGGCGTTAATCGACCGTCGGCGACCAGTCGCTCGATCGGGCTGGGTGGCTCGATCGGGCTCTTATCCTCTGAGCAAAGGATGCAACGTCGACCGTCCGGCCCACCCGACAACACAGCCCTCGAGCAATGGTACTCACAATTGTGCTGGCCGTCACCAAAGGGCAAGAAGCTGCCAGGAACAATTTCGTCCTCAAGGAACCTCTCGGGGCGATACTCCTCAGGACTCTTCCAGTACAGTTCGCTGCGATGAAGAGCCTCGATCTCGACCACCAATCGGGCACCCGGAGGAAACGTGCGGCCCAGGACGGTCACCGGCTCCGTGGCGATCCGGCCAAGCATACAGACGATTGGGTGAAGGCGGAAGGTTTCCTTGACGCAGGCGTCCAGGTATATGAGGGACGAAATGTCCTCCCACGAAAGCGGCCGGTCATTGCCAAGGACCTCGCGGAGCTCCTGACGGATCCGGTCGCAGATGTGTGGCCTCTGGCAAAGATCGTATAGCATCCAGGTCAAAGTGTTGGTCGTGGTTTCGTGACCAGCAAAGTAGAAGCCAAAGACTTCGTCCATGATCTCGTCATCGCTGAATTTCTGCGTGGCAGAGTACGGATAAGCGCAAACGAACAGAGTGTGAGTATCATTGGCGCACCGCCGCCCCCTCCCCTCATAGCAGAGCCGGTTCATTAACCAACCTCCGACTTGGTGCCTTGGCCGACGAGAAGACGATCGAGGAGATCCATGTCCTTCTCGTCCTTGGTCTCGGAAGAGTCGATGGCCCGCTTCTTGGACTCGATGATCTCCCTCAGGAACTCCCGGATCGGGGAGGCGATTCTTTCGACGTCGGCATGGCCGTATCCTCTGAGGCTCCAGAGGGGTTTGATGGGGTCCTCGATCCTCTGATCAGGGCGCGGATGGAGGACAACGCAGTCATTGATTATTAGTAAAATGGGTCCAAAGAGCAAGGGAGAACACACCCACAAAGCAATCAGATGCTCGAGACTTGCTGGTCAAGCGGCGTGAGAAGAGACGTGAGAACGCGTATGCAGTCCGGTAATGAACAGGCTGCAACTACCGATGCTAACCTTGACGATGACAGTCTCCATTTCGTTGATCAATTGCCCGACACGGACAAGCTTTGGGTTCTTGGCCTTCTCGTCCACCATGGACAGCACCGAGTTGAAGTTCTCGGAGAAGGCCACCTTGCCGCTGCGTCGTCATGGAGCGAGTTTCACACAGATCAGGAAATGGATGCAGCAGCAGGATCTGTGTCGGCGGTCACTGATCAAGCGGGACTCACATCACATCGATGGTCAACATTTGGAAGATATCAAAGACGTTCAGCGACCGCTTGTCTTGGATACTGGATCGAACAGCGGCCTCTAGATGGACAACAATCTCGGCAGTGGCCTCAAAGACTCGCTTGAGATGCGTGGGACTGAAGGCCGGCTGCAAGCTTTTGCGATGTCGTTTCCACGCCGCGTCGCCTTGGGCAGTGGAAAGAAGAAAGAGGCTTTTGGCAGAGAAGCCCTCGAATATAGAGAGGACTCGCTCGTCTCGAACCAAAGCCGCAGGCGTATTGAGGATGCGCTTGGCCGACGGCGCATCGACAACGATCACCAAGGTCATGCCCATTATGGTGACCTCAAAGATCGAACCATATATCTGGCTCTGCTCGTAAAAGTAGGTGTGTGTCTGGAGCTTTTGGCGGTAGGGCCGAATGTCCAGCAACGAGCCGATAACGGGATATCCCTTGGGGCCGGGCAGGCCATATCGGGCGCCAGCGAACGAGCTGAGAACCAAAGCGGCCGAGGCAAGGGCCGCTCCGGTGAGCAGATACGAGGGCGGGATGCGAGGTAGCTCGAGCAACATCAAGCCGGTGATTCTTTTACTAGGTAGTAGTAGTAGCGAGGAAGGGAGAGTAGATGCTCGTAGATGAGGGAGAGGAAGGCGGGCGGACGGAAGGCCTGAAGGGACGGAAGTGCGGAGGGAGCAGTGGTGCTGCGGGCATGGGATTCTGGCGGCGAAAGGGATCATGCCCGGCCGGGATCTCGACCACCCGAACGAGCTCCGCGCCGATCGTCTCCCGGTCAACAGAACCGTTTAGGGGTTGTGGATCAACCTGGTCGAACTCCGAGACATGAAATCCACAGGAGTGCGGCTGGGATAGCAAGGTCGAGAGACAGGGAGGAGCTCTGGCGAACCGTGGGAGGAGTGCTGGGGAGGGATGGGGGTGGTGCGGATCGCAATTCTGGTGCATCGGATCCGTCAGGAAGAGGCCCGCAATAACGAAAAAGTGCGGTAGACACAGCCGATGTGATCGATACGACCGATGCGGCAAATGGAATCGAAATGCAGGTGCATGATTTGTGGGAACAACCCGATGAGGGCGATTCAAGGTATCGCTGCGGGGGACTTGGAACTCAGAGAACCACACGATGCAGTCGACTCCATTCGATCTACAAACAGTTTGGATACTACTTTCCGGTGACCATCGCGGGCAGTTCGCAGGGTGTCGGATCGATCCGGACGGACATATCCATCGTCATGTGCGTCTGCTGGAGCACGGAGTGTCCACGAGATGAATTGCATTCGACAAGGGGCTTGGATTGCTCGCGGGTGTGTGCCAGAGCCATTCGTGGGCGACATCAACGTCGAGCAGCCTGATTTCGGCGCTGGTATGATGCTGCGGATGAGCGAGTGTGAGCGATGCGGATGGGTAATGCGGTGGCCATACGATTCATGGTTGCGAACATTTCGCATATGCGGCCCAAAAGCCTCGTTTGGGCATGTCGCACTGGTGCAACAGCGGTGGGGTGTGGTCTTGCCAGGGTTGGATTGGCTTGGCTTGGCTTGGGTCGGTCTGGTCTGGTTGCTCTGCTCTGCTCTGGTCTGGTCTGGTCTGCTCTGGTCCGATGTCCTTCGGGGATCTGCCCTTCTGCCCATCAAGCAAGGGGCGTCGCTGTCTCAATCGCTCGCCGGTATGTTCGCCACACTGCTCGTTTGCTGGCAGAAGCATAGACGATATGGTGCAGGACAAGCGGGCCGCCTCGGGCGGAATCTGTCTCCTGTGCCAATGCCGGTTTGAAGTCTCACTCTGCATCTGCCGCTCGGCTTGGTCTCATGCAAGTCCAAGACTCTTGGGATCGAAGACTCTTGGGATCGAAGACTTGCAGTCGACTCGGTGCCCTCCTGGTACGCCTGCAAGCCAGTGGGTCCAGAACGGCCAACTGCAGGTGAGCGAAGGCAACGCCCATCGCCGAGCTGCGGCAGTGGATCATGCCTGACAGTGTCTAGTCCCCCGCCGGACTCCTGCTCGACTCCTGTTTGACTCCTGCTCGACTCCTGCTCGACTCCTGCTCGACTCCTGCTCGACTCCTGCTCGACTCTCGCTCGACTCGCAGTTCCGGGTGGCTTGGTGTCGAATGAGCAGCATATTAGGGGATATACTCCTGAGACGTGGCCTCCCACTCGACAAATCGGCCGCATGGCCAAATGGATAAGGCGCTTGACTACGAATCAAGAGATTCCAGGTTCGACCCCTGGTGTGGTCGCTTCTTTTTTCGACATGCGCTCTGTTTCCCGAAGCCAACGCATTCCGGCCTGGCATCTCGCAATTTTGTACGGGACAGATTCAGAGACTCGCGCATATTGTCGAGTGCTCGCCAGACTTTGCCACTCCATGATGCTGTGGTGCAATGGAAACGCCACTGCCATGCCGCCCGCGTGGCGCAATTGGATAGCGCATTGGACTTCTAATCCAAAGGCTGCGGGTTCGACCCCCGCCGTGGGTGTTTTTGCTTTTTTGCTCTCACTCTCTGCGTTTGTTCTCCCATGAATGTTCTCACGCCCCGGGCGGCAAACTGATCCGCACGCTGCTCTCAGAGCACCGGCGTGCATCTTCTGCGTTTACACCCCTGATTTGCGCCTCCGATTCAACGTAAGGTTTGTCTGCTCAGATCCGCCGCAACCCCCATTCGTATGTGAATCGGCTCCGCCAATCAGTCTCAGTCCCCGGAGCCTCATGCGCTCTGGTCCGCTCGTCTTCCTCCTTCCCTGCCACGTTTCTCCCGTATTCACGTCCAAACGAATTCTCTCGCCGCCAGAAATCGTTGCCGCTTGTCCACGTTGAGTTTGCAGCAAAGTCAATCCTCCCGACCACACATCCAATACGCTGTCGGCAGCTGCTTGCACATTCACACTCGCCTTTCAGGAAATTTCCCCACCTACTCCATCTCGTTAGAATCTTCTCGAACGATCCATCAAAAAAAAAGTGAGGGATGTAGGTTCAAGTGTGCTGCAGGGCCACAGAGAATGTACCTCCCGCCTATTCCCGCCCCATGCCTCAGATGCCGATATAAAAGAGCTCCTTGTCGCTGCACTTGAGCCCCGTGTGCTCCGAGTCTTACATCCGCTGTTCTGCACATTCACAAGCCACCTCAAAACACACGCCTATATCGCCAATATGACCAAAGTATGTTTCTTGTGAAGTGGTAGCACCTTCGCACGCCCCCCTTCCAACCCCGTTGCTGTCGTGCCGATGAACATTGAACCTCACCACCACGCGCATTTGACTATCGCAGGTTAAGGAGGCCGAGAACCAGCTCACCGCCATCATCGATCAGCTCAAGCAGCTCCAAGCCAAGGGCAACTTTTCTGGTGATGATGGTCCGTGAGCTCCGTCCCATCTTGCCGGACTATTGTTGCGAGAGAATGGAATGGAATGGAATGGATGGGAATGGGAGGGAAGGGACTGGTGAGAGGAGGCAGAGTGTCCATATGGACCGCTGTCATTCTCCAACCCGCCGTTCCCAGCAGCAAGTTTGCACCGCGCATTCACAGACACTCCCTGCATATTGCGCTTATCAAAGCGGACAAGGCCGAGCATTTGATGCTCAGTCACTTGCTACTCACATCATGCTCACGGTGCAATTCTGCCTCTCCGCCTCCGCCGAAACCACACAACCAGTCGCCAGGATCCAGGACCGTCTCCATGTCATCGACGAACAGGTGAGGGCACTTGGTGCAGGTTGGGTCGCCCGGATTCATGGCCTCGATTCTGGGCATGTGCATTTCATAGAGTATCTCGTATCTCGTATCGAATGGGTTACTGAGCTCACGGAGGACGCAGAGACTAATACGAATCTCGGTGCACTCGCATATCGGTTACAGTGGGACGATGGTGCCGTTCGCGGTAAGTCCGGGATGATGCACCCACTGAGGCTCTCATGAAACTACCCCAAGGCCATGCGCTGCAAGGAGGATCTTGATCGCGTCTGATGCCCCCGATTTTCTATCACAATCACTCTAGAAGACGACGGCGTTATTTCTGAAGGCCAAGCCCTTGTGTAAGTCTCTGCTAGAGCGTCCCCCCCACAGCCCCTGCTCCTGCACGCCCCTGCTCCTCCATGGCCGCAGACACTAACGACCGATTCATGTGTGCGTTCCTCTACCATCACACTTCCGCAGGAGCGATTTGATCTCCAACGCCCACGACCTCATTGCCGACCTCTTGGACTCTATTGAGGTCGAATAAGCCCCCCCCCGTCCCACAAGCCGGCATCGCGCCGATAAATCGTGCTTGAGGTCGGGGACGATCATGTGTGTGCACTTCTGACTCTGTTGTGTTTTATGCGAAAACCCCCCACCCGATTCAACCAAACCACACATGATGATTCTGTCTCGACCCAGCCATGCATGCATATCCTGGCGCGGTGCCTGCTGCCACGAGCGACGGACTGGCCAGGTCGTTTGGACGGAAATGGAAGAGGAATTTGGATATATTTCAAACAAAGGATACATGGATATGACATTTGTGCCCTCCGTGTCGGCTGCCTTCGCACAACGAAGAGGGCGTGGCCACTTTGAACTATGAGACAGTCGGAATGGGTCGACCGACGTTCGACTCGGTCCGTCGGTTGGCTTGCGGCTTCCGGCAGCTGTTGGCATAGTGGCCCTTTTCGCCACACTGCCGACGAGATGAAAATATGGCTGTTAGTCCACACGAATTGCGAACGAAGGAGGAGGATAGTGCGTGGTCGCGGTGCATGGCGTCCGCGCTGCCAGAAACATACCCGGAAGCAAACCAGATCCTCCCTCGATCGTCCTGGGGGGCGTCCAGGTCCTCCCTTGCCGTCGTGCCCGTCTTGATCCGGGCGATCGTTCATATTCGGCAGCTCGTACTTGGGACTGGGAATCAACATGAGGGTTCGTGAGCAAGAAATGCCATCAGCAGCAGGCCCGCGTACGGATGAAGGGCTGCGATCAGATTGATACACTATCGGAATTGATTGCTGGGCACTTACTGGCCGAGCGCGCAGTCGGGTCCCTTGGGGCAGAATCCAGTCAGATAGAGTGGGCAGATCGCCTTTCGGACGTGCTTGTGTCGACACTTGGCACCTGGCAGCGGCGAGAACGGGGCAGGATGAGGTGAGCACGACGGCCATCGTAGCTGCCCGCCTCGACCAGATCAACCGCATATATCACAAAGCACACGCACGGAGCCGGGCCGGAGGGAGAATGCGGCAATCCGGAACGAGCCCTGCGCGGGTTTCAAAGGGGACGGCGAGCGCACCACCACCTACCATGCTTGCAAAAGCCTCGATCGTACCACGGACAGTCCTTCATCTTGGAAGCGGGATCGACGTGGAGATACATGCACTCGGGATTCGAGCACTCGCCATACTTGGTGAAGAACCAGCACTCGGGCATCTTCTTGAGGTTGTACTCGTGCCTGGAGAAGCGCGATGACGGGATGGGATGGGATGGGATGGGATGAGAGCAGGCGAGGGTCAGTCCACATCGATCGACAAGCAATTCGCCGCCCTTATCGATATCGGCAGCGATTAAATACAAACACTATGGGATTTGATTTCAAGCGCTCGTGCAAGGCAGCTTGCCTTTGGACGGCCGCGGGCAAACACCAGCTACTTACAGGAACTCGCACATATCGCCCTTCTTGCACAGGCCACGCAGCCAGTGCTTGCAGACAACGGATCGGTCCGGCCTTGCATGCTTGAGCGGACAGGCGAGGCCTCTCGGGCAGTTGCCCCGCTGGAACGCTTTGCAGATCTCGGTTGGAACGGGGCGATCGATGAACGGCAGGATGTCGGGCGATCGGATGAACTCCTCAAACTCAAAGTGGCAGATGGCCGGGTCGACGGTTGTCAGGTATTCGTACGAGGTCTCGAGCAAGGTCATTGTGGATGCGGGCTCTGGCGTATCAACCACGGAGTGCGGTTGATGCGGTTGATGCGGTTGATACGATGGATGTGATGTCGATGATGCAAAGATGCGATGGATGCGATGGTGATCCAAAGCCGATGGAGTTGTGATGGATGTGGTTGACATTGAGCCGCGGCGATCTGATTTGTCAGTGCCCCGGATCGAGGGTGGATCGACCCGAGAACTTCTTGGCTCGAGCCGAGCCGCCCTGGTTTTTGGTCATGGACTTGATATGTTGTTACCCAATATCATCGCACTGGCCATGACTATTCTGTGATGGGGTGCTTCGCCCTCTTCCATAGCCTGAGAAGATTTGCCTCCATATTCAGTGTGCCCAAGAGCACCATTCGCCGCTGGCACTCCGAGACCAGTGCAGCCAGGAGACTCTCGGACCACTTGGATCGGGATCGACCCTGGTGTGGGATCGATCTTCACCGCTGTCGTTCGAGTACCCATCCGACCAAGTGCCGGTGATGAACTCCTTCGCGGGCGATCAGATCCGCTCTCTCAGGTACAACGCAGTCATAGCGGCGGTGGGCAAGCCATAATACTGACTCCCGCTCCCACCGTTGCCCATCGCATTGATGCCAGACTTGTACCAATACCAGGATCAGCCCCACCACCTGGACAGAATCGCGCCTGTATCCATAGAACCCGGTGTATTGCTTCTCGCTCAGGCCTCCTGGATGATGGCCTTGATCGACTCGACCAAGCGAGGATCGGTGTCGGGGCACTTTTGGTAAATCTCCAGGGCCTCGCGGTAGAGCGATGTGGCCTCGGCCTCGCCCTCGGAGCCGTGCTGATCCACGGCGGCGGCCATAAAGTAGAGGTCGTTCCCGACATCGAGGTGGTAGCGGGTGCCGTGGACGGCAATGTGGATGTCCCGGGCCTCCTTGTAGCAGCGGATGGCTTCATCAAACTCAAACAGGGCGTGATGGCATTGGCCGATGCGGTAGAGGTTCAGAGCAACATCCAGATTCTCGCGCGAGGCCAGCACCTCGGTATAGGTGTCCATCGACTCCTTGAAGTACTTCATGGCCTCCTGCGTCTCAAAGGCATACAGGCATGCGAGGCCCATGCTCCGAAGGGTCTCGGCAACGTCGGCGTGCGGTGCGGACTGGTGCGCCGCCTGGTAGTAGCCAAGAGCCTCCTTGTACTGCTTCAGTGCCTCGACGTGCTTCTGCTGCTGCAGATACAGATGGCCGATGCTTCGGGTGACTTGCGCAACATTGGTGTGGTTGCGAGTTCCATGGATCCGGACAAAGGTGTCCAGGGCCTCGCGGTGCAGAGCCAGGGCCTGCTCGAACTGGGTGTGGAGACGTTCGGCATGGATGGTCGCAGTGTTGGTCTGGGCCGTGGCGACGAAGAGCTCCAGGTCGTCCTTCTTGTCTTCCTCGATGGCCGCGAGAGAGCGGTTGATCTGAATTGATTCGTGATAGAACTGGATGGCCTGCTCGTAGCGTCCATCGGCGTCGGCAACGTTGCCGAGATTGATCAGGGTGGCCGAGACATCGGTGTGGCTCCGGGTGCCGTGTCGCTCGACATAGGCCGCCAGAGCCTCGTTGTAGCGAGCCGCCGCTTCGTCGTAGTTGCCCGAGTCCAGCGCCTGCTTTCCGAGTCGCTTCAGTTTGACGATCGGGTCTGCAGAGCCCTCTTCGGGCTGTCCAGCCCTGACGTGGGCGTCGTCGCCTGCTGGGACCGAGGCAAAGAGTCGATGGGACACCATCGGCAGCATTGGCAGCATTGGCAGCATCCGAGCCGGCTGAACGGCACTGGTCACTGCGAGACGACCGAGCTGATGCTGCCGATAAAACCAGCAGACACGGCCGGCAGCGCTGGTCGTGGTGCGCCCAAGTGGCTGGCGCAGGAGACTCGAGACGACGATCCGTGATGCCATTGGGATGCGGGGTTTGCGGGTAGGTGGGAGCTCGCTGGGATGGAAAGCGATACGACCGGAAGATCGGCAGACGCTTGGGGGAGATCGTAGAACGGGCACCCGAGATGATGGGCAGAGCAGATCTCCGCACGAGCGCAAATCGGATCTTGGTTTTGGGGACAGCGGACCTTGATGCCAGGCCACCGAGAGGCGCTCCGCGAGGGAATCGACCTCTGGCTGCCGCGAATACGGATTGCAAAGACAACACAAGTCAACCCGGCGGACTCATCAGATGCACAGACGAACAGGTATCGAGGAAGGCAGCAGCACCACGAAGGATGGTGGATATGTTCACATTGGCAAACCCGCGATGATGGATGCCGGGTCCGAGTGAGCGCTTGGTGTTGTAACTTCCCGCATTACATCCAAGTATTACATCCAAGTATTACATCCAAGTATTGCGTTCAGAGTATCAAGTCTAATGATATCAAGTTTAGCGTTATCAAGTTTAGCGATTTCACCCAATAACAGCACTCGAACATGTCGACTGGGGAGTCCCATCGCTGCGCTGACAGAGCAGCTTTCTCAGCCCGCCCCTTTCGCCCGCACAGCATCTCCGGCCCAGTCTACCAAAGCCAGCGCTGCTGTGGACGGCGCGGATATCGCATTACGATACGGATATCACCCTATAGTGCGGATATTACATTACGATACGGATATCACACTATGGTGCGGATATCGCATTACGGCAGCGGTGTGGCCCTTTCCGTTTCATCACCGACGCCACTTGTTTGCGGCCGCAGCGGGCTCGTTGCCGACGCCGGCCATTTCGTCGCCGTTGCTGGTTCGTCTTGCCCCCCGATGGTCATGCGCTGGTGCTCGCTCCACCGCAGCCATGGGCCGGGACCATCATGAGACCTGCCCCGGTCAGAGGGCTGGTGCCGTCTTTTCTCTGTTGCCCATGTGCTTGAGCCCTCCTTGCGCCGCTGTGCGGCACTCAGAATCGAAGGCGGTGGCATCTCGGCTGGCTCTGCGGGTGCTCGCAGTCCAACTGCAAGACGGCGCACCTCTGGGCTTCTCGGGTCACAGCCCGCGGCTTCTGAGCGCATGACCCTTGGCCCCGAATCCTTCCCTCTTCTCCCCTCGTGCGGGTCGGCACATTCCCCGGAAAGCATCGCATGTTCGTCGAGTATTGCTGCACTTTCGCTGCTGCAGACACGCCTGGCTGGGCAAAAGAAAGGCTTGGATCACCAGGCTCAGCCGCCCCGGGGAAAACATCCAGCGGCCGAGAGCACCTGGTCTGGAGGCGCTCTGGCCCACCCTTTCTCCCAGGATCGGGGCTGGCAGACAAGCATACAGGCACTCGCTTGCCATGCAGGTGGCAGTCGTCCGGCGTGAGCGCATGTCCATGCATTCCTGCTTACCGCTGCAAAACGGAAGCAAACAGGCAGATGTATTCGCTCAACCCCACACCCACTTCCATATCCACCATGTCCCACTCCCACGGCCCCATTCTCCTCATCGCCGTCGGTGCAGTTCCCACGCACGGCATCCCCACACTTGCTCTGGCTGTCTCTCACTTCCGGCTCGGAAGCACCGCCAACCTGCTGATGCCATCCGACCGATCTCTGGAATATAAAAGGGCCTCGTATCTCGCTACTTCTGGGCCTCACCACCGGCACACCCGACTCCCGCTCAGAACCAGCCTTCTAGCCTCCGACCTCTTCTCCCTCCCCTCCTTCTCTCGCTCATCTTGTTCTGCTCTACCACCATGCTCGTCAACCTCGGCTTTGCTCTGACCGCCCTCCTCGCCCTCTCCGGAGCCATCGAGGCTGCTTCCGTCTCCAAGGGCGGCAAGTGGGACAAGTACCGCAAGTCGCTCGACAAGGTCCTCGGCTCTGCCGAGAACACGGCCAGCATGTCCAAGGACGCCAAGACCATGTTCCAGGCCCATGTCACCCAGCGCAAGGACCCCGCCTTCAAGAAGCTCGTCAAGAAGGTCAAGAAGCACCCCAAGGCCAAGAAGAACAAGGCCGGCTTCACCATGACCGATGACAACATCGAGTCCCTGGCCACCGATGTCTTTGTAAGTGTCAAACAGTGTGCTGATCCGATCTGTCTGCATCCGGCAGCCGATGGCAGCTTGTAGTCGTTGCGGCTGGATTGCAGATCGTGCATCAAGGTACTCTGCACAAACGCCATCCATGTTCATCACACTCTGGTCATTGCCAGCACTGACTCTGATGCTTCTTGGCATACAGGGCAGCAACGCCTCTGATGTCCACACCGCTGCCGTCCGAGCTGCCATGCTCCCCGACTCGTGGGATTCCCGCGACAAGAACTGGGTCTCCTCAGTCAAGGACCAGGGCCAGTGCGGCAGCTGCGTTGCCTTCTCCTCGGCTGCCACCGTCGAGAGCACCTTCCTCAGCCAGACCGGCAACAGCATCGAGGTCTCGACCGCCGACATCTTTTTCTGCCTTGCTGCTGGCCAGGCTCAGTGCAGCACCGGCTGGCAGCCCAAATCGGCTGCCGATGCCATCTCCCAGAACGGCGTCGTTGGAGCCGACTGCTTCCCTTACACCGCGGGTAACGGCCAGGACCAACAGTGCAACGACAGCAGCTGCCAGCGCACTGGTGGTCTGTCTGAAGCCTCGTTCGGCAGCGTCGACGAGATCAAGCAGCACATCATGACCTACGGCGCCGTCTTTACTGGCTTCACTGTCTGTGAGTACTCGACCGACCGACCGAGCAGGATTCTGCATTCAACTGGATGGACATGGCACTAACTCACCACACTCTCCCTTGCCCCCAACAGACCAAGACTTTATGAACTGCTGCACCAACAACCAGATCTACATGCAGCAGTCCGACCAGCAGGAGGGCGGCCACGCCGTCTCGATTGTTGGCTGGGATGAGAGCAAGCAGGCCTGGCTCTGCAAGAACTCCTGGACCACCACCTGGGGCACTGACGGCTTCTTCTGGATCGGCTACGGCCAGGCCGGCATTGGCTCGACCGACCAGACCTATGGCTTCACCACCTCTGGCGGCAACTAAGCATCAGCTTCGTCTCTGGAAGACGTGCCCACTGCTTGTGTCTGTATGCTTCATTCCATCTTCCCTCGCTAACGGTCGGTCTGTCGCCGGTCACTCGACAACCTGACTCGTACCGCCCTCGATCCCATTCCCTCGATCCCACTTCCTCGATCCCATTCCCTCGATCCCATTCCCTCGATCCCCTTTCCTCGATCCCCTTTCCTCGATCCCGCTTTCTCTGTACTTTGTTCAACTCTTAGTCGTTTCCCCCTTCTCCAGCCCTATTCCCATCTTCCGCAACCCCCTAAACGGCTTTGGTGCCCTTCTAATGTACTATGGAAATAAAGCTATACTACCCCGTCAATAGTTTGGTTTGAGCTGACAGTCTCCGACAGAATGGCTGGCGAATTGGTTGGATCAGATATCCACAGAACGACGCAGGCGCTGGCTTGAATGTGATGTTCAAAGCATTCGGGTACGCGGCTGTAGCCGAGCAGCAGCACACCCGCAGCACCAACCGCGATTGCAGTATCAGTGATCCCTCATCCTCAGCATCCACACGAAGTCTACAATCGAGCGGCCGTGTGGTTCGTTCACAGGGCAGGTTCAGGTTCAGGTTCAGCCCTGCCCTCACCACTACGCTACGTTGATCCCTCCTCTCCCTATCTCTGTCTCTCCATCCACAATCACACAGCTCTAAAAAAAAATATGTAATTGTTCAGCATGCTTCATTCATTCTACATATAGTCTGATGCTACCGCCCTCTTGGCGGAAAGCTTTTTCGGCTGTGGGGAGGGGCTTGATATCTTGAGGGCGGCCTTTGCCGGAGGGGGAAGCAGATTGATGGGACTGGATCCAGAGAGGAGGGCCTTGGTCTTGTCAAAGACTGGCGGGGGTTGTTCCGAGATCGAGTGTCAGAAAGAGGCAAGCGTCTTGCCATTCACCCCGAGACGGGTCGATGCCCTGTGTTCCGGAGGCACAAATCACAGACTCGGGTCACCCCAGACTAAGCGACCGGCGCTGTTACATACACTGAACATGGTGCTTGCCACTCCAACGAACAGACTTTTTCTCCACGGGTGTGCTCGGGGCTGACAATGATGAGTTTCATTCAGGTCGGGTTGCGGCGACAGATCCGTCAGTATGTGCGGATTCTAATGCTCTACTCTCATGAGACTGGTGAGTCATCCATGTTCTCAGCCCCGACTCCACGTGATAGTGCTGCCATCATGAAGCCTTCGATTTGTCTCACCTTCTTCCGAAGAGGCAGACGTCGTTGCTGGGGTTGTGGAAACCTTGCTTCGGTCGCCACTTTGATGCTCATCGGCGCTGTGGCTGGCCTTGGTCTTCTTGGCGGGAACGCTCTTGGCTGGTCGTGTGGACGCATAGCCACACGGGTGGTGAGCGAGATGACATGGCGACATGAAGCCGGGGAGAGAAGCAAGACAGCACGAATCAGAATACGCTCTGCAGAACTCTTTCGGCGATATCGGCGTCAATATCAACGACGACAACAAGAGCAAGCGGGCTCTGGATACACCGCCATGTACACCGCCATGTACACCGCCATGTACACCGCAGCCATCAAGAGCGGATCCCCATGCATACGACCAGTCTGTTGGGTGTTGTGCACTGTGCATGGATGGCAACGACTTCTGCTTACGCGCCACAATGGAGCCAGCCTTTCGCTTGGCTGTTTGTCCGCTAGTGCCTTCATCCTGGACGTCGGAGTCGACTTCGGGCTTGGCTGGCTTCTTGGTTTTGTGAGGCTCGGGCTCGGTGTCGGGCTCGGGAGTGGTCTTGGCGTCGGCAGCTGCTTCCGCGGCGCGGCTTTGGCCATTCTTGTTCTTGTTCTTCTTCTTCTTTTTGCTCTTGGACGCCGATGTCGGCACCGCCGTCTCTGCAGGGGCGTCGTCGACCTGGGCCTCCGATCCGCTGGGCACATGGTCCGACTCGGGCACGGCCGTGCTAGGCGAGTCCGAGGCCGAGTCGTCGGCAGTGGTATCCGGCTCCTTGAGGGCATCCTCCGATTCCTCCGCAGCCGACTCTAGCAACCCGTCCGTGTCGACACCTGTGACTTTGGCGTACTGCTCAAAGAGCGCATACATGATCTGGCGATTGCCCGATGTCGTCGAGGGCTTGGCGGCGGTGAGGAAGAGGCGCTTGGTGATGGCAACCAGGTCGAAGGAGGATGTCTTTGAGGGCATTTCTTCGTCCTCGTAGCCGTTGAACTCAAAGTCGTCGTCTGAGACGGGGCGATAGCGTCAGCCGAGCACTCGAACTCATCGATAGCGCAGCCATCGAGTGGGAGACATGCTGAGTGTGCCGAAAATAAAGTCCTTACCGGCACGAGCCAAGATGGCCTCGAACACCTCCGATTTGACACGAGCCGCGACCGTCGGTTGGATCGTGGTCGCAATCAGGTCGAAGAATGGCGACAGCAGGGCCATTCCGTTTTGCAACGACAGCTGCAGCCAGTGAGCGACCGATCCAAACACCAAAGTGTCAATGCGCGATGATCTAGGGTGCTCCGTCTGGATGTGCCGCTCCGCGAATCATCGGCCACTCAGTCCCGATAGACGCATCGGCAGAGCGCGACATACCTCGCCCTGGAGCGACTTGTCGAGCTCGTTCACATAGACTTCGCAAGTATGGTATCGGATTCCGTCGGGAAACTTGGAGTTTCGTGGGCTGGAGGGGGAGAGGCGGTTATTCCGGTTCGATTCATCGTCCGCTTGCGATGCATCTGCGACACTGCTAGTTTTACTGCTTTTCGACCCGGTGTCGCCGGTTTCGTGGCCGTTGTTATGTTCGTACCTCAAGGGTCCCTCTTTCATGATGGCCACGAATGCGTCCACATAGTCCTTCCGGAAGTCGTTCTTTTCCAGCAATCGGAAGGCATAAAAGTGCATCTTTCTCATCAAGAGATAGAATTTGTCGAGTCTACAGCGCGATCAATAGTCAGTTTGGGAACGGACGCGGCCGCAACATTAGTCGGACGAAAGCAGCCACCCAGCTGAATCTATCTCACGGCTTGCTCGCTTGGTGGTGGAGACCAGCGAGTAGGGATGGGGTATCGGTGTTGCTCGAAGGGATTGCCACCACAGTGGATGTTGCGACGGCTTGGTATCATACCTGATGCGGTCGATGCCATTCCATTCGGCTGCGATGATATTCCAGAAAGCCTCGAGAAATCGAAGTCCCAGATCGCCAGGCAGAGACTCGACCATGCCCGCAAGTCGATCGGCCAGGTGCTGCTGGACAGGCGGCTTGTCCGACATCCAGAAGCCTAGTGAGTGAGTATATGGAGATCAAACGATGGGTTAGGCAGCGAAGGCGGAGGCGGAGGGATGGGGTGCGTGAAAATGCAGCGACAGGCAACTCGGCCGAGTCCTTCGACAGAGAGCACTGCTGTCCTGCGACACGAAGGGTCCCGGAAGCCAAACGGCAGAACGAGAGAGGGGACTCAAGGCAAAGCTGGTCCAAGTCGAATCCGCACGGAGCACAAGACGAATCGATATTTCACGGCCGCGAGACCGATGCCGACGCCTTGTCATGTTCATGGCGATGGAACTGTACAGCTTCTCACAGCCATAGAGCAGTGATTTGCATCCGTTCGTATGCTTGCAGTCCAGCGGCCCATCAAGATCAGCGACGACTGGGAGGCATCGACACAGCCGGGGGCGATGGGCGATCCACGACCGCGACCACCCTCGGCATCATCGACCTGATATCGAGCCCATGGATGCATGCATCTCTCCAACAGGGGAGAGAGATTCTTGGCTGTGGCTTACAATAGAACATGGCCTTCCAGAGCTTCATCATCTGCAGATCGGAGATATCAGGCCGCGACTCCATATACTTGGTCAGCGAGAGGACGGCGTCGTCACGAACTCGCTTCTCTGTTTGGTCAAATGAGAGGAGAGCATTGAGTCGAGTGAATCCTTGCGTCAGTGCCCAGAACGAATTTGCTTTGCTGCTCGATATCGGCGAGCATGGATTCGATGGACCATTGCCTTGCAAATCAAAAGGAGCCACACCAACGGATGTGTCTGTGGCGACCAAGGCGACTGAATCGATATCGCCATTCTGGCCGAGCTTGCAGCCCTTGGATACACACCAACATGGGCCAGCCTCTTGCCGAATCCGGGGCCGGGACTGGCGACAGGGACTTCTTCGGAGGTGCTCATGAGTGGATATGGGGGAGGGACGGGCTTCTCTCGTGCGTGTCGGTCGGGAAGCTCAATGGCGGAAGATGGAGACCAGGCAGTGCGGGTTTGCTGTTTCGCTCCGGCGGCCGTTTCGTCTGGTCGATTCGGTGTCGACAACTGCTGATCGCTGGACATCTGAGGCAGACGCCGATCAGAAAAAAAAAGTTGCTCCGACCGCACGTGATTTAATAGGGAGCCATCCGCCCCGGATGCGGCGATTGCCAGGGAAGCGACCCGATCCATCGGGCGATGCACCCAGCGACCATCCAGCGACCATCCAGCGACCATCCAGCGACCAGCCCAGCGATCAGCCCAGCGATCTCCCTGGGCCACTCACCCAACGATCGCCGCAGCAACGCCCGCGCCATGTCCGCATCCACATCCTCATCCACGAACAAGGGGTTTTACTCGTCCAGCGCCGGAGACACCGATTTCCGTCGGAAATGGGACAAGGATGAGTTTGCCGAAAAGGCTCGGCTTCGAGAACAGGGCGCCCTGGAACGGGACCAAGAGCTGGAGCGCAAGCGCAAGGGCCTGTCGGCAAAGGCGTCGGCCAAGACAGAGCCCGAGGAGGAAAAGGCGCTGCTGAAGGCCCGAGAGGAGCGCATCGACTTCACCGTCAACCTCAACAAGACTCAGGTGGTGCAGGTGGCCGTCGGCTCGTCCAAGCAGCCGGGATTCTACTGCGAGGTCTGCGACTGCACCGTCAAGGACAACGTCAGCTATCTGGACCACATCAATGGAAAGAAGCGTAGGTGGACTTTGGCGACAATCGGATGCTCTGGCAGGCCCGAAAGCGCCCTGGCCGGATGCGCAAACACAGCATGCATCTGATCCCATTGTTTGATGCATCACAGATCAGCAAAATCTCGGTATATCCATGAAGGTCGAGCGGTCGACCTTTGAGCAGGTCAAGGCTCGTCTTGAGGCTCTCAAACGCAAGACAGAGGTTGCATTCGAGGGTGAGTGTGCGCTGGCGGTCGAACCAAACAATGCAGAGCTGGGCGTTGGCGTTGATGTTGGTGTGGGCTGGTGCATGTATGCGGCATGTGTCTGACATTTCTCTGACTCCATTATCTGCAGATCTGGATACCCGCATTGAGAAGGCCAAGAAGATGGACGACGAAGAGAGGCGGTTGAAGAAGGAGCGGAAGCGCGAAAAGAAGCAGGCGGTGCTGAAACAGCAACAGGATCTGCAAGACAACGACGTTGCGGAGATGATGGGCTTTGGGTGAGTGACTGTGTGAGCTGCTTCGGGGCCGCTGTCGAGATTGATGCTTGAACGAGACTGTGAGCGGTGACATGAGTGGTTTGCAGTGGCAGGGCATCGGGGGACTGTGACGATCCCCGTTCTAACAAACCCGCGCCGATCTAGTGGCTTTGGATCGTCAAAAAAGTGAGATGGGTACCCAAGTTCCATCTGTTCTCGAACTGTCGCTCCGGAGTTATCACTTGGAAGTTATCACTTGGAAGTTGTCTCTGGAGTCGTTTGTCCTTGGCCTTTTGTTTCCCATGCTCAGGCACTGCTTTGGTCTGGGCCATCGCTCTGCATCGGCGACCTGCCAGGCGTTCCTCCGATGAACTCACCGCTCGGTACCAGGCACATCGGGCATAGATGCGTCCATGCGCATGTCTGCGGTCTGACCAGCGCCAAGCCCGGCTCCACAGCCAAGATCGAGATCGCCCGTGGTCGCCAAGCAGTCGCCGTTCTTGGCCGGCTTGCGCAGATGAGTCTTGGCCACGACCCGCAATACAGAGCCCAACGATTGTCCGCGGCGATTGACACTGAGGCTTTGTGGTTGTCCTTGGCGTTGGTGTGCCAAGATCTGCCCAGGGACATCATGGCAGCACCGCCAACCCCGGGGTGCACCTGTATCGACATGGTCTCGGGGCACAGCAACATCTACACCCATGACAACCCATGCGATGGCATGAACAACCGGCCGTGTTGTCTAGTCCAGTCCAGTCCAGTCCAGTCCAGTCCAGTCCAGTCCAGCCCAGTCCATCTCCCCACGACCCTTCCCTGCCCTGTGGGTGGTCGCCGCAGTCTGTGCGAGCCCAGTCAGTGGCCCTGACAAAGCGCCAGCCATGGTCTCTGGGCAACCAATTTCCAATCCGGCTGGATATTTTGACCCTCGGCTCGCCCGCACCAACCTGCGCATCCTTCGCTGCTGCCGTCCATCTGCCAACCCGTCGATCTATAGCCCGAATGTCACTCTCGTCGGCAGCCTTTACCCCAGACAACCAGCCTGTGTCGTCGCGGGAGCTCTGGGGCTACTATGCCTTTTCGTTCGCAGTGAGTTCTCCATCCCGATTCGCACCGCCGACATTTTGCCGACAAGCGCAAGTGCCATCAGCACGATTGCCCCAGCAGTGGGCCGGGTGCTTCGTCTTTGCCATAATCATATCTTGACTATCGCCGCCCCTTGACTCCATCGCTGTTTGATTCCATTGTCGGCATTTGGCTTCATGATCCCTTGGCCCTATCGCACTTTCCTAACGTTGTTTGCCTGCGCTTCGGCGATTCGCTTTCCAGAGTCAGGGATTCTCGTAAGTAGAATCCAGACCTGCCACCACGCCGCACCCTCAATGGCCGTTGTCTCGGCTCCATCGTCTGCGTGCCTGCTCCCTTTCCTGTCTCTGGCTCGCCATAACCACAGGCCTGACCCGTTACGATCTCACTTGTCCTCTGCAGAGGCGTCTCGGTCCTGTTGCTGATGCCCGTCATCGTGCGGGGTCTCGCTGCCGAGGCCGGCTGGGATCGACTGGATCTCTCCAAGCCCTGCGACTACACTGCCGCAAACTTTTCGTGCTGTGTCCAATTCGGCTCGAGCTGTGTCGACACAGGCTCCTTCCTGTTGTATCTCAGCTCCTTTGCAACGGTCTGCCAACTGCTGGTCCTGCTGGCCTTTGGGTCACTCTCGGACTATGGAGGTGGGTGTCTGCGCTGCTTGGGATATTCCTGTCTCGGCCTCTGTCCATCCGGCTGATGGACAAGAGTCTGTGGATGTTTATTCAGAGCTTGCCGAGCGCCTGTTCGAGCGCCTGTTCGAGCGCCTGTTCGAGCGCCTGTTCGAGCGCCTGTTCGAGCGCCTGTTCGAGAAGAACCAGGCCTTTGGTTGGCATCGCCTGTGAGCCATAAGGTGTCGAGCCCGGATACTGATACACTCGCTGTTTCGCATCGCCATCGCCCAGCCCACAAAAAGCGCTTCATGATCCTGTTTTCCTTCCTCGCGATTGCCTGCGGACTCGGCTTTCTCCTCGTTCTGAGCAGCTGTAAGTGCAGGCAACATGCCGCCTTGGCCGCCAAGCCCCTCTCGGTGGGCACGTCCTGCTCGTCGATGAACACGATGGCATGGCCTATCTGCGTCGTCATTCGTCACTCGCCATCTCATCGCGGCTCGTTTGCTGTTCGTCATGCTGACACCCTCCGCCTTCCATCGGCTGTGTCCAGCGGGATTCTTCATCGCCGGCATCCTCTATATCCTCTCCTCGGTGATCTTCACCGGCACTTTTCTGTTCTTCAACTCCTTCCTCCCGATCCTGGCACGGAACCACCCCGAATTCACGGCAAGGGCGTCCAAGGAGAGCACCGATACTGTCTTTGACCTCGTCGCCAACCGAATCAGCGCCAACACCATGGCCATCGGCTTTGCGGCCGATGTCATTCTCTTTGTCCTGGGGGTGCTGTGCGTGTATCTCCTGGGCCGGATCCCCCAGCTTCCGACGTCGACGTATCCATCGCAGGTGGCCGTGGCCCTGACCAGCGTTTGGTGGCTGGTGTTCATCTTCTTCACCATCGCCTGGCTGAAGCCGCGGCCGGGACCGCCGCTGCCCGCTGGAATCAATCCCTGGACCCATTGCGTCAAAAAGATTGGCCGCACGCTCAAGACCGTGGTCTTCGAGTCCAAGTCGGTTGCACGGTTCCTGATCTCGTGGATCATCTACTCGGACTGCTTCAACACCTGCGGCTCGCTCTCGATCCTGATTGCACAGGAAGAATTCGGGGCCAGTCAGATCGAGCTGGTTCTCATCGGCATCGTCGTCAACTTTTCAGCCATCGTGGGTCTCAAGCTCTTTCCTGTGATCCAAAACCTGACCGGCGCCAGCTCCAAGACCATCATCGTTGCTCAGGCGATTGCGTTCTGTCTCTTTGCCATCTACTGCATAGTCCTGCTCAAGAACAAGTGGGAACTGTGGCTCTGTGCAGTTTGGTATGGCATCCTCAGCGGGACGGCACAGAGCTTCTGCCGGGTGTTTTACTCGCGCATGATTCCGCCGGGACAAGAAGCCGAGTACTTCTCGCTGATGTGTAAGTGTCTCGATGCATCCCATCGTCGCAGAGTACGAGCGCACCGTATGCTGTGGAGCAGTGCTCCGTCGGCTCCAATCGTTGCCCCCCCCCCTTGCGCCGAGGCATCGACTCGTATGTGCGTGTCAATGTGCAGTATTTGCGCCATGCTGGAATGCTCATTGCATATTCAATCGCTCGCAGCGGTAACGGCCACGGGTTCCTCGGCTCTGGGTCCCCTGATCGTCGGTGCCATCATCGACTCGTCTGGATCACGGCGCCTGCCGCTGTGGTTCATCTTGGCTTCCTTTGCGGTCTCGGCCGTCCTGTTTGCCACCATCCAGCCGCCCCATGTCAAACTCGGCAAGGCAGAAGAGGCAGATGTCAACTAGACGCCTTCTCATCAAGGCGCTCCGTTTTTGTTTTTTCATGTTTTTGTATTATTTTTATTGTTTTGCTTCGATTCCATCACCAAACGTACATCCACTTGATTGTCCTCCCTTTCCCTGAAGGCTTGTTTCAATCATCTACAGTCCTGGGAGCTGCCGTCTCGCTCCATGCATCCAACCAGCAAATTCTCTATTTTTGCTGTTCATGGTCCCTCAAACAACAAAGGTAGTCTAATTTCAAAAGTCAGTGGGAATATTGAATGTTTCAGTGGTGGCCTTCAGCAGCCCGCAATCCATTCACCATCGTCTCCTGACGGCAGAATGCCGAGCACCACGGGCATGTGGACCGCAGGCCAGCCGTGGGAACTTGCCACCGCTACAGAAGCAGCCGGTTTGGTTGGCTGGTTCGAGTGCACCTTGAGCAGATCTCGCTTTTCTTGGCCGCCCTCCACCCGGCACTGTTCGGTCTTGGTCGGTGTTTTGCATCTGCGTCTGCATCTCGGAGCCATCCAAAGCGCTGGTCAGCCATCTCCGTTCGCCTGCCCGCACGTACCAAGTCACTCGCACGCAGTTGATCTTCAAGCACAATGAGCAAGCCCCCGGTTCCAGAGCTGAAAAAGTAAGGCGCCATCGCTGGCTTCCGTGGATCTCCTGGCCATCGTCACCGCCGAGCTCTCGCTGCCATGCTTCATGCTTCCGGGGCTGTGCTGCGGCAGTATGTCCGTGGTATTGCTGCTCGAACTATGGCTGATCTCCCAGCGTATGGTTTGACGGTTGGATGACGGCTGGATAGCGCCTTCGATCCCGATCTCGAGCGTCTCCAACACCTTGGATGATGGATATATACGTTTATAAGGGAGGCCGGCGATCGCTTCCGTTCGAATTCCAGATCAACCGTAATGTGCTACCCGAGTCGCTGGATGTCCTCGGCTAACCGGCCATGGACACCTTTCCTTGCTCCGCCGTTGCATCTGAGCAGATACCTCGATAAGCGCCTCCACATCGGACTGAACGGCAGCCGCAAGATCACTGGCATTTTGAGAGGTAAGACTGAGGCTGGTAGCCCGAGGTTTGGATCTGGCCATGGTGCCATACGGGACGCTGAAATTGCGGGGAGAGGACTTGGAAACATAGAAGCGGCTTGGGTACACTCGAGCAGCTGCACGATTTGGCGGTCGCATACGCAGAGCAAGGCCAGTGGTGCGGCTCTGCCGACGCAGTCGTATGCCTGCTGAGTGACGTGGTCCCAATCCAAATGCGGGCTCCGAACCGAGCCGTATCCCGAAACCGGTCCTGTATAATCCGAACTTTGCCCGTGTGCTGTGACTGATTTGTTGTTGGTGATATGTACGTCTTGCCAGGATTTGACACCTTCATGAACCTGGTCCTCGATGACGTCGTTGAGGAGGTTTCTGCAACCGAACGACACAACATCGGCATGGTGGTAAGTCTTTCGGACAGCAGGAGGGGGGTGCACGATCGAGCCAGGCTCGCGGTGTGCTTGTGTGGGGATGGCATGACCATGGGTTTGCTGCCTGAGCGGGAAACGTGTACACATCGACTCACCGATTCGACCTGCATTTGCGGCTGGTGATCTAGGTGGTCCGCGGAAACTCAGTGACCGTCATGGAGGCATTAGAGAAGATAAATTGAGGAGCCAAACTCATTTCTTTGCCGTGTCAGGGCAACTCCATTTTGGTTCCTGGACCAACACCTCACCCCTCCTTGTGTGTTCTCCATCCCGCCACAATACTCATAAGGGCGAAATACACATGCTGTGGCCAACATCTCATGAGTGCCATCGAGCGAAGGCGGCCGGCTGGATGCTGCGTGGGTGGACCGGGGAGGGGAAGCGACATCAGATTGCACCGCACCGACAACAGCCAGGGCGGATTCACACACACACACACACACACACACACACACTGGTGGCTTTGTCCACGTGACGCGCTGTCTCGCCGCGGCAAACGAAAGTCTTGTCGGTTGGGCAATTCTGTTTGGTCTCCCTCTCCACCGTCCCTCTGACTTTCGATTAGTGTAAGGGTTCAAACAGCCATGGCCTCCTTCTCTACAACTGGTAAAGATATCCGTCCGTCCATCCATCCATCCATCCGCCCATCCATCCATCCGCCCATCCATCCGTCCATCCATCTATCTATCTATCTATCTATTCGTCTGTTGCTCGTGTTGGCTGGCAAAATGGCATGTCTGGTCAGCGGTCAGGTCGGTCGGTCAGTCGGCCGGCGTCACATTACGTCAAGGCGATTCGCCCACTTCGATGTCTCAAGCCTCTCCTCCGCCGTATCTGGATTCGAGCCTCGATACACCGATACTGCGTCCACTGCGAACCATACCGGTGTCCCAATCTCTCAAGCATCAGCTTCGCTGGAGGAGAGGCCGATCCCCTCCCTTTTGCCCAATAGCTCCGCTGCGTGGTGTCAACGACCGCAGTAGACCAACCGGAGGCGCAGTGTTCGGCCGTGCAGTGTGTCTTGAAGTAGAGGATCGGGTCACTCTCGACCGGCAACTGGCAGATCACGGACACAGACTACTCGATCTCGAGCCAGAATCGTCATCAACCGACCAGCCAATCGACAAGCCGACCGACCAGCCGACCGACCAGAGCCTCAGCGGATGGTTTTGCCGCCTTGACCAGGATGAGCGTCGCCCGATTATTGGGCTTTCTCGGTGTGTTCTGAACCATCGCTAACCATGTTCCTGTGATGCTTGTTTTGTCTCTCGTTGGCCGGCCCCCGGATACTGCCCACTCGCAACATAACTGCTGGATCGAATGTGTTTGTGGATCAACGCTTGTTTTGAATCTATTTCGACCCTCGTCAATGCTTGCGGAATGTGGACGAAACCCTTCGACGGTGGCTGGATTGTTTATGGATGGACCATCGCCTCGGACTGTTTGATCTCGACGGATGCACGAACCCGCAGTTTCCTCCAGCAGACGCAAGAGCCGCAAGGCCCACTTCTCTGCCCCCTCCAGCGCCAGACGCGTCATCATGAGCGCTGGTCTGTCCAAGGAGCTCCGTGAGAAGTACCGTGTGCGTATACATGCTCTCGTAGCCCGACCTTCACTCTGCACTCAGCGGCACACAATCACTGGATGGTTTGCCCGACTGGGCTATCCTCCCACACTGGCGAAGGACGGGATGAAGATCGATGCTGACTTGTTTGTTTTCCTTTGATCAGGTCCGCTCCCTCCCCGTCCGCCAGGATGACGAGGTCCAGATTGTCCGCGGTACCCACAAGGGCCGTGAGGGCAAGGTCACTGCCGTCTACCGCAGAAAGTGGGTCATCTACATCGAGAAGATCAACAAGGAGAAGGTCAATGGTAAGACGGCTGGCGTTTTCCTTTCGGGTCCTGCAGGCGCTGGCTCGTAGAATTGGTTGGCTCGTTGGTGCATTGTCCGTCAGCGTACTGACATTGCGACTCTGCCCCGCGGTTGCAGGCCAATCCGTTCCCATCCCCATTAGCCCCTCCAACGTTGTCATCACCAAGCCCAGAATGGACAAGGATCGCAAGAACCTTATCGAGCGCAAGGCTGCCCCCAGAAAGGCTTAAGGTTCGTCCGCCGGATCCATCCCTCGATGGCCTTTGCCTGTCAAGCCGATCTGAGCCGCTTTGCCTGTCCCTCAGAGCATAGCACGAGTCTTTCAACGATGCTGACGCAACGGATACCGCTCTCCTCTTGGTGCTGCTCCGACCTGATCCTCTCCACGAATGACTCGATTGCAAACTTCAGCTGTCTGATGTAACGGCTAATAAAGGAACGGATTACATTGTCTTTGAGAGAAAGCGAGCTCCACACCAGACCAGACCAAACCAGACCCAGACCCCCGGGCGGATGAGGCAAACTGGGGCAGTGATCATCGTCGTCTGGCGATCTGGCAGTTGTGGTCACTGTTGCTCAACCGTGATCGATCCGGCTGCTGGGCGCCAGCCAGGGTTTTGTATCATCGTCAGTTTCCGAGCCAAACTCTCTGGTGCCAAGCTCCTCCGTCTAAATGAACAAAGCCCAGCCACACAGTTGATCTAGAGACCGAGCTAGCTTTGTATAATGATGTATTAGATTGGCAGGGTGGCTTGGATCGCGTCTGTATGATGTTGATCTGTGCGGGGAGCGACCGAGTTGAGGAGGTGGTGTGGCCTTTGGGCCCGGAAATGCTGGACGAGCCTCGACCGAGGGCAACTTTTGGCTTGCGGTCACCGACTTGCCATGGCGCCGTTGGCTGCTGCTGCTGCTGTTATGGCTGTTGTCGCTTGTGGTGGTTTATGGGTTGCTGTTGCGAAGGGGCCACTGTTCCGAATCGCTGACTGAGTTCTCTGCCTTTGGATCAATCGGAAGCCTCAAGAGTCGGCTCGGCAGCAAACGCAGGACACAAGCCCGTCTTCTCCCTGAAAACGAACACATCCTCGGCGCTGGGGCCCAGACTCTAAAAGGCCGACACCATCACGACTCCAACCAAGAGCACCAGCGCCCCAAAGACCCGGACGTACGAGGCGCGCTGGACCTTGAAGCCCATCCAGCCCAGGTGGTCCAGGACCATGGCGGCAATGATTTGGGCGACAATGTTGGTGCCCAGATTGGTGGCTGCCCCAAGAAGCGGAATCAGAAAGGTGATCGATAGCACATAGCCGGAGCCGATGAGACCGCCGATCCAGATCCACCATGGCGAGGCTGAGGATTGCATGGTAAGTCGATGCAAGAGTGCCAGCGTGGAGCATTTGATGCCACAAGTCGTTGATATAGACGGCAACGGCAATGGCAGCGGCAATGGCAAGGGCAATGGCAAGGGCAATGGCAAGGGCGACGACAAGAACAGCGATGCCATAGCCATGGTGAATGTGTTAGTGATGGTGCATATGGCCGGGGTCGCTGCTCATCCGGCCAGCTACCGGCATCAACGCAAGTGCATCAGCGGCCCGCTTACTTGTAATGAGCTCCTTCAGATTCAGTGCCTTGCGACCGTTCGGCTCAAAGAACCAGTATATGGGAATCAGAACGTCCCCAAACACAAAGTTGTATAGGGCCGAGAACCCGGGGGTCGTCATGGTTCCCATGTACCCGCTCACACCGGCCTGAAAAGCCAGGGCGGCCCCGGCCAGGAAGGCCCCGGTCAGCAGGGCGGCGGACCAAACCCAGTCGATCCTTTCGGCAAGCTCGGGAACGGGCGCATTGGTGTCTTGGACTTCAAGGTCGGCCTGGTTGGCCTGGTCGAGCTGACCGACCGGCTTTGCTTGCTCCAAGGCCGCCGATGCTTTGGATCGATGTCGGTGGGTGATGCGGTACACCATCGAGTCGCCATACATGACCAGAGTCACTCCGGCCACCGACAGGACGATGCCTACGATCCGCCCCGGGGCCGCCGTGTGCTGGGGAAGACCAATGAGGCCATAATGGTCCAGGATGACGGCAGTCGCCAGCTGGGCCGCCACGATGACGCCGAGGCAGGCGGCGGCACCGAGACGAGGAGCCAGGACGGTGATGGCGCCGACGTAGTAGAGACCGAGTGGGCCGCCGGCCCATGCCCACCAGGGAATTGCATCTGTGCGGGAACAGAGGCGGGCTTTTGGTGAGGAAGATTGTTGCAGAGGGGCAGCCTGGGTTGACGTGGAGGACCGCTTGCCCGAGGACCCATCGCACATCCAAGGGTCCACCAACGCCTTATCAGAGGCTCATCGATGGTCCGTTGATGGCTCATCGGCGTTCTCGAGGCGGCTGTCGATCGTCGCTGAACTGCGTCCCAGCCATCATCACAAATGTCCGAATGAGGGACACTGGGATCGCGCCGTGAATTGCTCCGCTCGGGCTGAGCAGCACCATCCCTGAAACCCGAGCACCCATCAGCACCGACAGGGACGAGGGATGCCATCGGGCCTTCGAAAATGCCACCAGAGTCTCGGGCATCCCATCGGAGCCCTCAAGGACTCCGCTGGAATCCAATGCGGACGCAGAGCCGAGCAGCACGGCGGCGGGTTTGGCAGCAGCGCTTACTTGCTCCAATCGAGTCCAGGGTATTGATGCGCTGGCCGCCCTGGATCTCCACGAGCCAGTAGATGATGCACGGCACTGTTCCAGAGAGAAAGCTCCACAGCACCGCCGAAGACGACGACTTTGATCGGTTGCCGAGCGAGCTGTTGGCTCCAGCCTGGAAGGCAAGCAAGGCGCCTGGGTCAAGGTTTGTCGGTCCGTTTCCAAAGGCATATGTCCAGTTTAGTGAGGGAGAGAGAGGGAGAACGAAAGGATGAGAATGAGAGCAAAGTCGCGGCCCATGTCGAGGCGGTCGTTACAGGCTAAAGTGCGATTCACCGGCCGGAGGCATCCCGAAGCGCTATGCATCTTACCAACTATGACAGAGATGCAAATCGTCCAGCTCACCATGCTGTCGATGATGCGGAGCTCGAAGCAGGGGGTGGGCGATCAGAGATGCTTGACTGAGAGAGATTCAGGGAAGTAGCCCGTGAAATGGAGGCTTGGGTAGAGCACTTGCGGGCTCGGATTGAACTGGGGTAAGGGCGTGGTTGGTGAATGGGTTGATCTGGCGGATGGGTTGATCGCCTGAGCAACAGAATCGGATGGCTGGATATACAGACGGATGGCGGGTTGCTTCCAGGACAGATGGATGGCGGGCGACGAGATGGATGGCGATGTGGACAAAGCCTGGATGGCAGAGATGGCAAGGATGGCTGAGGCGGTGGAGGGCGTTGGTCTGCTGGTGCCGCACATGAGCACCGACGGATCCTCTGGAACGAGCCGCCGATGGCAGCCGGGCGATGCGGAGGGCTGTCAGAGGGACTACTGGTCGGCCCAGCCAGGAGCGCAGAGCCCGAGCGCAGGGGTCGGGGATTTAATGCAGAGAGCGGAGCGAGATGTCAAACGGCCAGTCGTTAAACTCAGCGATAATCAGAGGTCGGATGGCCAACAACACTCGGCTTTCAGTCTCGACTGGACTGATATGGGTCTCTGACGACGGCTGGTTCTGCTCAAGGCCAGTGGGTGTTGGACGCCGGGCGACGACAGCCCCTCCGGACGACGACAGCCGCTCTCCAATCTCCATCGCTGCGGTGCTCTGCGAACGTCATTCCAAATGTTATTTCGGATGTTGCAGCACTTTCCCGGCTGAGGCGGTGTGTATGTCCATGGTCCATGTCTATCAGCGCTCTCGAAACACACGAGCGATATATTAGCTGCATCTGTCGCTGATCTGGAAAGCACGAACGAAGCCGAGCGGGTTTCCGCGGAGGCCGTCCGTCGTCAAGACAGAGTCGCATTCACTCATATCGATGGCGGGCTCGCACACTGCGCCATCATCATCATCATCATCATCATCATCATCATCATCATCATCGCCGTAGCGCTCAGGGCCGCCACTGCCCATTGATGAATATCCAAATGACGAGATCGTGGCGGACATAATAAGCTATCATCTCTATCAGCGCGATACGATCCCCCGGCAGCGACCATGGTACACCACGGTAGCAGGGGATAGTGGGTCGCTGAGACCAGGCCGAGATATTTGCTCTTCCCAAGTTTGCAAACGAACAGCCGAGATGAGGGCTCAGAGTCCGGATCGACAAGGGGTCGTATAGCGGGTGCGAAGAAAGCGGGAAAGGCAGAAGCAAGATATATCAAAGCAACAGCAGGATATATCAAAGCAAAAGCAGGATATATCAAAGCAAAAGCAGGATATATCAAAGCAGAGACAGAAGCAAGAGCCACAACGACAACGAGGCGGACAGGCTCGCTGAGATCCAGTCCGGGAGTGTTGCTGCTCAGACACCATCTTGTGGCCAGCGGCGCTCTGCTGATAAACCAGACGAGGGTGCGGCTCAGAAGTGGGTCTCGGCGACAGATGGTGTTATGGACAGAGATTTGCGGGTGTGAACGGGGTCGGTATGATGGGGAGGACTGCTACGACAACCGCCAGTCGAGAAGACCAACCCCATATCGATTGCGGATCAATATCAAAGATCAAAGCCAAGATCAAGTATCAAAGACAGATCAAAGATCAAAGCCAAGATCAAGTATCAAAGCTAATTTCCACCACAGACCAAAGCCAAGACGATTGAAAAAAACGGACCCCACGTGATGCCGAGCCAGCCAATCGGGGCCAGCGGCCTCATTCGATCCGGCTGCGTCCTGGATCCAGCCGAGTCGCCTCCTCCTTTCGCCACCCGACTCCATCTCGATCTGTCCCTTCGAACCACATCGATCAGCCAAAGCATCGATCAGCCAAAGCATCGATCGCAGCCGTCGGCATTCCCCTTTTTCCGGCTATCAGCACCGCCATTACCATCAACACCAGCAGAGCCAAACCACATATTCCAAGTTCTCTCAATCTCCTCGTGAAAACATGAGCTCTCCTGCACGCAGCGAGGACAGCTTTGGTCGAGCCCGTCGTCCAGACCGATCCCAGTCTCCCGTCTCCCGGTCGCATCCAAGGAGCCAGAGCCCCGATCGCAACCGTCCAGCATCTTACGAGAACGGAAGCAAGCCAGAGAATCCATCCGATGCATATCGACAGCAGCTCGATCGGTTCACCAACCGCGAACGCCAGCTCAACATTGGCCGAGAGTCTGGTCGTCCAGACCGCCCAGACCGTCCTTCGTATGGTTCGCGGCGACGCGACGACTCATGGGTTCGAGATCGTGATGGAGGCCGAGAGGCTCGCGATGGTGCACGCCAGGCTGATGACCGGCGAGACAGTCAAAGTCAAGACATGGGCCAGGATCGAGATCACAACCGTGACCGCGACCGGGGACGATACTACGATCGGGACTCTCGACAGTATAGGGGCCAAGATCGGGACCGAGACCGAGACCGAGACCGGGACCGAGACTGGGATCGGGACAAGAATCGAGAGAGTTATCAGGCCCGCGACCGAGACCAAAGCAGCCACTGGGACAGGGCCCCCAAGCTCGAGGGCCGGCCCGGCGAAAGCTATGTCGAAACGTAAGCTTTCAAATCGCAGAGTCGCATCTGTCGGCGCAGCTTTGCTAGCCAGAAGCTGATCGTACCTGAGGCTTTGACACTGTCGCCGTGCATGCCATAATACTGATAGACAGTGTACAGGGATTAGCCGCATCCCTTATTGACATCTACCGTGCCTCTGACAGTCGCAACAGATACCGCGAAGAGAGCAAGGTGTCGATATGGCCCACATCGCCTGAGCTTGCCCCCAAGCGCGATCCCTCGCCGGTCTCGCGCAAGTCCAAGTCCCGGACTGATCGCGACTCGGACGCAGGCTCAGACTCGGAGGCTTCTGAAAGTAAGCCCACTCTGGTTCCGTCGTTTGTGTGCGGCCGGGCAGGGGTTCGCAAGAGCCGATGATCGCTTGGATCCAAAACGATAGCAGCTTTTCCTCGGTATCATGCGGCTTGGATCTCACCTCTGGTCTCGATCCACTGCGCCAAAGCCCGGATGGCTGAATGTGTTGCTTTTCTTTGCATACTCTGGCGCTTGGTGTCCGCCATGCGGCTCCATGGCCTCGATGATCTGGTTCCCATTGCAGTAGAGTGAAAGCAATGATTCCCCCTATCCTTCCACACCACACCATATGGACCCACGATTGCTCCTATAGTTCTAACTCTTGTCCGCGCTTGTCCCGTGTCCACAGAGCATCACAAGTCAAAGAAGCGCTCCAAGTCATCGAAATCATCGTCCAAGAAACACAGCAAAAAGTCCGACAAGAAAAAGAAGCACTCCAAGAAGCGCGAGCGCACGCCGTCACCCACACCGTCCGCGTCGTCCGCTTCATCGCCATCGTTTTCGCGCTCGCCTTCGATCGAGCGATCGACACAGGATCAGCAACTGAGGGCCCCCGATTCGCAAAGCAGACCGGAGCTCAACAAGCTCGACGCTGCCGCGGTCGAAGATTACTGGAAGGAGCGCGAAGGTATGTTCTGTGCTCACGAAACCGTTGCCAGAGCCGCTAAGCTCGATTCTAAAGGCACGGAGCAGAGTTAGTCTGATTATCACCACTTACCACTCCACGGTCGTTCTTTCGATGGTCGCTCTCGTCCGGACCTTGGTTCCTCCAGTGCAATCCACCGGTGATGGTATCGTGGGACCCGTCCCGCTTCCTGAAACCGAAATCACTTTGACCGAGCGCGATTATGGTGGCGCTCTGCTTGCCGGCGAAGGTTCGGCCATGGCCGCCTATCTGCAGGCCGGAAAGCGTATCCCTCGTCGTGGTGAAATCGGGCTGACCTCGGATGAGATCCAGCAATACGAAGATGTTGGATTTGTTATGAGCGGTAGCCGCCACAAGCGAATGAACGCAGTTCGTATTCGCAAGGAAAACCAGGTCATCAGCGCCGAAGAAAAGCGAGGTGAGTCGCAGAGTCCTGTGCTCCGTATCCAACGTCACATGCGAGACTTTCGTCAGCAGTGCATACTGATTGTGGGGGGGGGAGGGAGGTTTTGGCCCTTGATGCTGTCGCTGCAAGCCACCATTTCGGAACCTAACGTCTCTGTTCTCGTCCCATCGTATCAGCTCTTTTGATCTTCAGCCAAGAACAGAAGCTCAAGAAAGACGCCGAGATCATAAGTAACTTCAAAGAGATGGTGGGTAGACCGACCATTATGCAGTGCAGCCCCTCCTCTGGCCGGTGACGATCGCCTCTCGCACACACGACCACCTCTCTTTGCTGATCCGTACATTTCTTCTCTGCCGCCACAACCTCCAGCTCGCGCAAAAGCTTCAAGGATCCCGGAAGGAAGAGAGCTAGTTCACCATCGTGTTGTCCAAGATACACGGAGAAGGGATTATCGAGCTTCCTATGGTCGCAACGACACCAAACACCTGTTCCGACGTCGAATTGCCGCACCACCACCAACACAGGCGCTGCGCTCTCTCGCATGCGTGTATGCACACGGCAACCCCATGTCAACGACGGTGGATTCGTATGCTTCGTGGCCATTTGACGGATTCTGCTCAAATCGAGACTGCATGGATATCTGGTGCCTGCTATTTTTGATGGGTCGCATTCACTTCGCGGTTGAACATTGTCAGCCGTAAGATCTCGGTGCAGCCATCTAGTGTCGTCGATGGCGATTGCGATAAACATGTATATTCGGACTCCCGCGAGTGTTCCACGATTGATGCTGGCAGATGTCCCGCGGTGGCTCTGCGGTGGCCATTGATGATCATCGGCCATCGTCAGTCGACACCCTATCTCCATGTGCTCCCCCCCCTTCCATCCACTGCGCTCGTTGCCGATCCGCCGCTGTGCAGTATTACCATCACTCCCACCCATGCCAGCACCCGTTGCCCCCTTGGCGATGGCCGCGCCCCAATTGGACGGCTGGCCACCCCCAAACACATCGCTTTGTCGACCCCACACGGCGCTCTCCAAGCTCGATCCTCATCTCGTTTTCGTCCGTGTGCCCTTCCACCAGTCCTTTGCGCTGCCTTCCCCACCGTCGTCTTGATCTGTATCCACTGCGATCTCTGTTGCAGTGTCTTCTTGCACGCTGCTCCCCCCCCCCAAGTTCCGTCTCAAGCCCAACCTTTGTTGCATCGCCTGTCTGCAGTCTCGTTCAAGAGCCAACTGCCCCAGCCCGGCCAAACCGGTACATTCGCCGTTTCATACTTATGCAGATTCGCTGGCTCTGCGGAATGCTATCGCCGTCAAGAGAGAGGGGGGGGGCATGTTCTTGCCCTCGTCCTTCCCGGCACTGCGGTCTATTCACACCCGTTGGTTGCTTCAAATGGATTCCCTCATCCCCATTTCCATTTGCGCTGCGATGCTCCGATTCACTCTCTTCGCATTCCGCTCGACTAGCTCGTACCGATTGTGCGCATGGCCTCTCCCTTGACCCCCATGTCTCTTCCTGTGCGTGCTCGTTTATTCCTGTATCGCCAACCCGTTAACCTCGCTTCCGTATCGCTGACAATATCGCCGCTTTCGCATTGACCGTCGGTCAATCCTCTCGCTTAGCGCATTTCCATCGGCATCCATGACTGAGCTCATATCCTCTGTCGTCATCAACGCTACCGAGGTGCGAGAGTCGCCCTCTCGCCATGTCGTCTATCAACTTTCCATCCGCACGCCCAGTCGGTCCTGGACGGTCTGGCGCCGCTACTCCGAGTTCGAAACCCTGCATTCGCTACTGCGAGAGCTCTCGCCGACACCCTTCGGCTTGCCCCCAAAGTCCTTTTCCATCTGGGGCAACACCCTCTCAGATCCATCCAAGGTCGAAGCCCGCCGCCTCGGCCTCGAGACTTACGTGCAGACCATCCTCAACCACGAGAACGATTTGTGGAAGACGTCCAAGGCGTGGTTTGACTTTATAGCCCTGCCCGAGTCCTCTCGCCGCCTCAGCATCCTCGGCAGGACCCCGTCCAACGGTGGTGGCAATCCCACCGACCCGGCCGGTGTCGTCGCCAGCGCCCCGGTCGACCGCCCGCTGTACACCACCGAGTCCTGGATGGACGAGCTCCGGGATATGCAGCAGTTCTGCAAAGAAATCCGCACCAAGATTGCTGCCCGCGACCGGTTTGCTCAGGCAGGCGACACTGCCTCGATGCAGTATGCGTCGATGCAGGGCAAGAAGGGCCTCGGCGTGGTCTCAACCCGCATTTCCGATCTTGAATATGCCCTGGCCCAGCACAAGCCCGCCCCGGGCCAGGGCCGTCCGTCCTCGGTTTCGTCCGGCGAGCCCGCTGCCCTGCAGCGTTTGCCCTCGGCCACCCGCTCGACTGTCCTGACTGCCGGCGAGTACAGCCGTCGTCAGGATTTGCTGGACAGCCTCAAGGAAGAGCGCGACGTCCTCTCCAAGTTGCTTTCCAGCAACCCATCCGTCTACCGGCAGCCCCGAGTCGATTCGGCCGAGCGAAACGCCCTCCTTGGGTTTGGGTCGATCGGAGCTGGTGGCTACTCGAGCTCCGTCTCCACTAGTCCAAATGAGTCATTTGGCACTGTTCCGACGGGTTCGTCAGCGGCCTCGTCGACCGCCCGGCCGAACAATACGACGCCGCCGCGGTCGACTCGACGATTCGGCCAGCCCAAAGAAACCGAGCAGACACGCGCGCTTGACCAACAGGGTCTCCTGCAGCTGCAGAAACAAACGATGAACCAGCAGGACCAGTCCGTCGATATGCTGTCTTCGATCCTTCAGCGGCAGAAGCAAATTGGCCTCGCCATCTCGGACGAGCTCGATACGCAAAACTCGCTTCTTGAAGATCTTGATGAGAACGTCGATCGGGTGGGTCGGAACTTGAAGAAGGCAGACAAGCGACTGGCCAATGTGCGAAAGGGCTAGTGATCACCGTAAGTGCTCTTATCGGAGATGGGGAGGGGCGTTAAAGGCCGCTCGCTGTACTGGACGCTCGGCTGGACGCCGTTTGTGAGCATTTCCTGATCCGCATGACTGGGATGGGTGAGCTGTTGAGTACCCAAGAGATCTTGATATCTGAGATGTACTGGATGGCTGACTGGCTTTGGTTCCTCGGTGCCATTTGATCCCTTGAGGGGTGGGCAGGTTCCTGTTGGTTCACTGCTGCAAGGGTTTGCTTCATGCATTTTAACCGAATGCCGTTCTTGGCTCCTCTCCGGTTCCGAATATGCTGGGCTGGAAATCACTTGTTCAGCAGCCTTGATCCTTTATCGGATCAATTCATCACTACCGGCCGACCTGCCGATCGACCAACCGACCAATTGCCCGCGTCGCATCGCTCAGTCATGACCACCCCTCCCCTCCAACTGTTTTGGCCCTTGACAGCCGTTGCTTTCGCCAGTGCGGCTGTGCGCTCTCTTCCTATCTTGCCCTCCTTTCACGTCTATGTACCTGTCGATCCCATTATCGACCGTCATGGTTCCCTTGACTCCACAACTAGCCGCCACACCGAGCCATCCGCTATGTTTGGGAGGAGATCGGTGTATACAGCCGGCCAAGCCTGCTCAACAAACTAAAATCCCAATAAATACATTTTTTTTTTATTGCTGCTGTCGTTGCTATCGTCGTTGCTATCGTCGTTGCTATCGTCGTTGCTATCGTCGTTGCTATCGTCATTGCTATCGTCGTTTCGCAACGCAGAGACGTCTATTTTTAAAGGAGCATGACGCTTGCTGCAGCTCCGGATTTCGATTCATACGCTTTCTCGACCTGGTGGGAGGGATGGGTCCGGGCTCGCTCGGCCAGGTCTCCATTTCGAACGAGACGATGTGCCCTATTGTTTATTCAACAGGTTGTACAGTCAATCCAGGGAGAAACTGGACAATCACTTTCTGGCATCAGAGGCCTGGAGCCTACTGACCTGCGATTGTTTGCCGTCCCGGTTGGCAATCTTTGTCTTGTTGATTTGGGAAGTATGGCCTTGAATACACTCGGTCGATATCCTGTGTCGATATGGGAGTGTGGTGCATTCACTCGATGTGTGCGGGTGGTGCATTCACTCGATTCTCTGGACAGCTCCATGGTGTATCGATATCAAGATACTCGGCCTTCTCGAGTCGCTTGGCTTCCCGACAATGTGAGAATACCTGGAGATCGAGTCGCTTGAATCGCCGTCGCCTGGGTGGTGTCTTTCGCTTGCAGGGAGCCATCTGTGCGAGAAAGCGTCCTTGGTTCAGATCCAGAAGCACATCACTGAATGGTCATACCCAGCGCGCGATGTTTGGGGCAAGAGAATACTTGTTCAACGACCAAAATCCGTTTTTTATTGGATTGGCTGTAAGCTACCTGTAATGAACAAGAGCGAGCATTTGGAGCGATTTGGGACCGCACAGCATCCAACTTTGACAATAAACAGCATTGGGTGCTTTGCGGATGTTCATTGTGCCGTATCATATATATTACAATTGAAAGCTATCAAAGTCCGGTCGGCCATAGTTCCGTGAACAATGCCCCCTGGTGATCTGAATTGTTTGTGATGGTCGAGGGCCACCAATGGGCGATGATCTGTCTCTGTCTCATCTCATCTCATCTCTGATTCGCACGTGGCCGGCCATCAGCAACAATTGGTTTCGAACGAAGTTTCCACTATCCGCACCGTATCGCTTTCCCCCCCCTTTTCTTCTTCCTCACAGACAAGCTATATATTCACCCTGCGATCCGGATGGATTTCTTCCGCCTACCACATCCCTCGGCGTCGAAACCTCAGCACTCTGCTGTCCTTCTGCTCCTGTCCTCTCCAGCACACTTTGCTCGACCGTCCCTATCGCGATGATGATCTTGAGTGCCGCCAGTGCAGTTCTTTGTGCCACTCTTGCAGTTGCTCAGGCAACTTCATCCCCATTTGTCATCGAGGTGAGCCAAGCAAGTTGTACATCTGCTTCATCGAATGTACGCCTTCGGTCCGGTGGCTCAGAGTCTCACGCTGCGTCCATGTTCAGGAAGCGTCCATTTTCAAGATACAGAACGCCTTCGCATCCGGGGCCCTTACCTCTGCCCAGTTGGTGCAGTACTACATCAACAAAGCCTCTGACCCAGTAAGTACCCGCTGCCTCGTCTGCATTTCGAGTGTTTGCCAGGCTAACGATAAACCCACCCTCGACCACAGAAATATCGTGCATTGAACTCTATTCTTGAGATCAATCCCGACGCCTTGGCCTTGGCTCAGGCGGCCGACAGCGTCGTATGTATTTTGCAATTGGTTTTTGTCGCTCTCTTGCTGGGTGACCTTGGCCTCACATCTCTGGTCTGTAGAGAGCAAACTGCCAGAAGCAGGGTGCGTACTGCAACCTCGGACCGCTCCACGGCATTCCGATCCTTCTCAAGGTAAGCATGCAATGCGAATTGGCCCGATCAATTGCTGCTCAGCCTCGAGCCGATTTCCAACTAATCTTTGAAGCTTGCCGGGAACAGGATAACATCGGAACGGGTGACAAGCTCAATACCACGGCAGCCTCTTATGCTTTGCTGGGATCAAAGACACAGGACTCGTTCATAGCCTCTCAGCTCAGAAAGTCGGGCGCAATCATCTATGGAAAGGTACATGGTCATCCCCGACTGCTCCCCGCTATGATCGTTTTGTATGTGACCTTGACTTGGGTAACTAACCACTCGTCTGCCGGTTGATGCCGATTTAGGCTGCAATGTCAGAGTGGGCTGGGTGGAGAAGTATGGCCCCCGATTTCAACGGCTGGAATCCCCGCGGTGGACATGTCATTGTAAGTTGGCTATCTGTTCACGTCCACGCCGAGATCACTCTTTGTCGCAATCGACAGGCAGCACTTTGCGGCAGTCTTCACCAACGAGGGGGCTAACAAAGATTCCCTGTCGCTGGTTCTTCAAGAATCCGTATGTTACGGATGCCACGCCATGCGGCTCCAGCGCCGGCTCTGCTGTGGCAACCACATCAAACTTGATTACTGTCTCTCTCGGAACCGAGACAGACGGGTCCATCATCTGCCCATCGGCCGTCAATGGTCTCGTGGGCTTGAAGCCAACCGTGGGACTGACTTCCAGAACGGGCGTCGTTCCGCTCTCCCATCATCAGGACTCTGTGGGTACGTGGCCCTTGCTCGCCTCCGTGTGGCATTTTGCTGGCCAGCGATCGCTGTTGTCATACTTTGGCGCAAGCGTCGGGCTGACAATTTGTGTCGCTTGCAGGACCGATTGCTCGAAGCGTCGCTGATATTGCCGCTGTCATGGATGCCATTGTCGAGACCGATCCATCCGACCCTGCCTCTAAGGGTACTCAGGGCCGTAAGCCTGTCAGCTACACCCTCAGCCTCATTTATGGAACCCGCGGACTGGGCGGGGCACGCATCGGCGTCGTCGATAACACCTTTGACCCCGTTGGCGATGCGTTCGAGTACGATGTCGGCCAGCAAACCATATCAGTTCTGACCAATCTTGGTGCCTTTGTCAAGCATGTCAATACCTCGAACATTGACGTAAGTTGTCTCGACCGAGCTCGCAGAGAACACTTGTCTACGCCCCTCGGACCCAAGATAATTGCCGTTTGCTCAATACACTACGTTGTCTTGTTGGTGTAGCTTTCGTTTGAATTCGAGAATCTGGCCACGGATTTCAAAATGGATCTGAACCAATACCTGACCACCATCACCAACTCGCCCATCAAAAACATTGACGGTGAGTGGAGATTGTGTGCATCGGCAGTACAGTCGCATCGACCCCTGCTCATCCGCCTGCTACTTCAGATCTTGTTCAGTTCACACAAAATAATCCTTTGGAGCAAATCAAGACATATGACCAAGTAAGCCGCTCTTTCGTTGAGATCCGCAATCGCCAATCTCCATTCGATTGAGGCCGATCTGACAGAGACGCTTTCTTATATACTCGGACATTATGCAGGAGCTTCTGCTCAAGTCCCAGAACAAAACCGGATACTCTGACCCGGTCTACATTAGCGGAGAGAACTCCCGCCAGCTTGCGAAGCAGCAAATTATAAATGTAAGTGGGCAACGATACGTAGATTTCCATTCTCTGGCCATCGATCTCGATGATTCTCGCGATGGGTCCCTTGATGGGTCTCTTGGTGATACTGTCATTGAGCTGCCGATGGTGCTGTCGATGTCATATCGTGGATGATGACTATAGTCCACATTGGCTGATGGCGGAACCCTTGCCTCAATTACTGGTCCGGATTATTGCCGCACTCAGCTCTTCACTCAGAATGGTCTCGATGTGCTCTACTCAGCCGGAGTCAGCACGTCGTTTATTTCGATTGCGGCTACTCTCGGGTAAGTCCATTCACCGCCAGTCTATGGCCTTTGGCGCTGCACTGACGCTGCACCGACGTCCTAGCGCTCGCCGGTATCCCGCTCTCGACCGGAACTGGGACAGGGTGTGTATATGACCATTGAGTAACACAATTTTTTATTTTATGTTCTTTTTTTTTTTATATTACTATCGTGGGACCGACCTCCTACTCTGGTTCTCACTACCTCCACCCAGTCTGCCTATCATCACTGTGCCAGTCACCACATCCAACCTTTACCTTACCACCATGTTCACCTCTGCCAAGCTCTCTCAAAAGGCGTTCCCGATTGGCATCTCACTCATCGGGTTGCCTTACTCTGAGGGCAAGCTGATTCAGGTTTGTGTTCTTATCGATCAGTGCATTTATTCTGCATTGCTCGAGACATAAGCTCACCATTATCCGCCTTGATCGGCGTTTCGGTATCAGTACGCTTATGCCATCGAGCAGCAGACCAAGGCTCGCTTCCAGCCTGGCTTTGTCAGCGAAGTCGGTGCTCCTTACCCTTGAAAAGGGCATCTCGGACCCGGCGCTCAGCTCCACGATGAATATTCGAGGATCTACCCCAAGGCCATTGCACACCTATCGCTATCGTCTTGGCAAACAGAGTCGCTGTTGAAATCACATATGCCCGCTCCTCTCGTAGAGTGGAAGGCGACGTCCTGTCTTCGCGATGGAACGACGTTCTCGTATCCAAATACAAATACAAATATTGGCAAACGATTCATCCATTCCGGCGGGTAGTTGCGGCGCAGATGGTGCGGCTCTGGGTCCCGATCGCAGTTTTGCGGCCAACAGCTGCGTGATTAGTGAATGATGCTTCAGGATATACTGCGAATCATGATCACCTTGTGATCACCTTGTGCGGACATTGGTCTGTGTATTGGTGTTCCAAAAAACAAAAGGACCATGGTACGATGCATCACATGGCAGAAGATCGCACTTTGCTCTGCGAGCTGCTTTGCCAAGATATACGACTTGGACAGCCGCTCGCTACAGCCTTGACGAGCATACCGCTCACGGATTCGGGATCGGCTCAACGGAGCGCCCACATCGCGTGGTCGAAGATGGCTTGTACTAGGCATAGTTCAACCTGACCGACTTTTTCGAAAAGTTGACTCGGACGAAAATTCGCGCGTCTCCCTCTGGCGATTCAGCCACCTCTCTCTCCCTTTGTGCCAGTCCGAGGGTCGAGTTTGGGCACCCTTCCGTAGTGGCCGTCGCATGGCCATTTTGGTGAGCAGCCTCGCCAGTCTTGCCCGAGCGTGTTCCTGATTGGCTCGTTCTCCGCGACGAGCGCCGCGTCTGTCTCTGCACATCATCTTTTCGGATGGCTGGGTCAGAGGTAGCCGCAGGCTCGTAGTCGACCATTGCTGATGGCTCCGTCGCTATGACGCTCTCGCGAGGCGACTCCGCCATAGGCTCGAGGTAGTCGAGTATATCGATCTGCAATCCAGGAAGGCTGGGTCCAGACGCAGAGTTGGATAGAATCTCTTTGCCATCATGGCGCTGGATATGTTCCGGCTTAGGGGCTTTAGGTGTGTTGCCATCGGTATCTTGGTCATCCTTGCAAGTTATTTGAGCAAGCGGTTGCGCTTTATGGGTCGAGACGCCACGCTCGCCGCTGGCCATGTGGATAAACGGCTGCTTCAGGAGGGAGTCAGTATCGATATCGGACGTTGAAGTTGTCGAGATCTTGTCAGCCTTGCTAGGTCTTTGCCGACTGCGTCGAATCTGTCTCACGTCAAGACGATGGGCCGATTCCGCCTCTTCCTCAGAGGTCGAGCGGGTATCCACGTTTCCATCCAAGTTGCTGACCAGATTGTCGTATATCTTCAAGTACGATTGCTTGGGCTCGTCGAGGTCAGACGAGGTGTCTGATGACACAGCGGACGCAGAAGTCATAGTGGACACAGCAGACACAGCAGACACAGCAGACACTGAGGACATTGAGGACTCTGGGTCAGAGCTTCGGTTGATTGCGCCATCCTTTGATCTGTTACGCTTCAGGCTTGTGGGCCGCGCTAGAGTTTGATCGTTTACAGCGTCGCCTGTGCTGGATTTGGAGTTGTCGCACAGCGATTGACGATCGGCACCCAATGCCCGCAATGAGTCATGGGTCAAAACAGAGTCTGAATTTGTCGCCGCAGGCGGGCACTTGGCGGCTGGGCGGAGGACGCAGCGAATATCCTTTGCTTTCGCCGGGACGGTTGTGGGGACGGTTGTGGGGATGGTTGTGGGGACGGCTGTGGGGACGGTTGTCTCACTTCCGCGAGATCTATGGACGCTGGTGATGCAGAGTGTATCAGATGGGTGCCCGGGATCTGCGGATATGGGCATGAGGTCCACGTTTCTGGTGAGATAGGCCTCCACACCAAAGGGAATTTCTACTGCCATCGTAGGCGAGTTTGAAGGCCATTTGTGGGGTTGAATGGCGGCTGTATCGATCTCCAGTCGAGCCGACCCAGACAGCATTGTGCCTGCGATCGAATCAGTAACCGATATCTTGCATTTATCGGCCGAATCGGGCGCTTCAAGAGACGATGTTCCGTAGTTTGGGAGGCGGTCGGTGTTGTCAGCGAGGCATGTTGAGGAGGAGGCGACGGCGCAGTTGCTTTCGAATGCTCCAACAGGACGCGAATGGCCCCGGGCGACCACCGTGGGGATTTTGAATGTCAGAGGCGGGGTTCTGCCCAATGCGGCAGAGAGTTGTGGATTACCACCAAACTTGGCGGCATGAGGGCTTCCAAGCGAGCGGGGCACATGTGCCGTTCGAGATAGCCTCAAGGTCGGAGAGCGTAGCATGTCTCTCCCAGAGAAGGAAGAGTCAGTCGAAGGTTCACCTAGCGGGGCAAAGGCGCGTTTGTGCAAATGATGAGTAGGCGACAACGAGTGGGGCAAGGTCGAGAGGACTTCTGTTGCAAGATGTGAGGGTGGAACAAAGATGTTCTCTTCAAGGCGGTTATCAGTCTCGCTGACAGTCTCGGCCTTATCTATTTGCATGCTTGCCAGGCCACGTCCGGGACTCAGGAGAGGCTCAGGCCGGACGAGCACACAACCACGGTCGTTAGTTGTGTCTGCTGGAGCGAGGTTTGGTTGCGGTGGTTGGAAAGGGAGATTAGCTGGCTGGGCGCTGGCGAGGTCATAATATGGCCTGGGTATTTGCTGGAAGGTGTGGTGTTGCTCTTGTAAGTGAGCCTCGATCGATTCTTGAGGATATAGGCGCGTTTCGGATATTCCCGTTTCTAGCTCGTTGTTGGCATCATCAATCGCATCCGCTCGTTTTGTCGAATCGTGCCACGGGTGATTTTCGTCGAGTTCGGGGCTTGACCTAGACGGAGACGGGAGTGGCACTCGGACGATTTTCTCGCAAAGTGCATCGAGATCCCGAAACTTCTGATCGCACGAGCGAACGAACGACTGGTGTGTTGGGGTCAAAATATGCTTCCGAAACTCGTCATATTTTTCGTTGCAGTTTTCGCAGTATCCCGGTCGTTTATAAAATGACTTTCCCGTGAATCGGGGCGTGGGCTTGGTGGGTTTCAGGGACTTTCGTCCCGTTCGTTCCTGTGATGAGTTGGTTGGCCCCACATCTTCTGTTGTGTGGATATCGACCGCTGATAACTTGCGTTTTTGACTTGTGCATGGCCTGGCCACTTGCGATGTTTTATCAAGGATGATGGTTCTATGTCCCAGTGAAGGAAGGGGAGCCCGGGTCTTGCCGCGAGAGTCTTTGCTCATGGTAAGCGTCCATGCGGATGTAGTGGCCATAGAAACGAGACCAGAAGCAGCCTGCGAGTTGCTAGCGCTTGCCATGCTTGTCATGAAGCGGTGCTTAGCATCTACATAGCTAGCGGAGGCATTTTCGTCTGCAATTGGGCCTTGCTCGTCCGCGCTTGTCCGGGATCCTTGCCGATGCTTCCCATCAATATCACCATGCAGGTTGATATCCTGTGACTTCAGCGGGGAGAGGTCCTTTCCAGTCGGTTGCTTGCGAGATCGAGCCTGGTCGTGAGGGACAAAGATCGAGAGGTGGCTGCGGGCATTTTCCCACCGTATGGTAGGCCATGTTGCCCTTGCATCATCTTTGGTTGTCAGGGGGAACTCCTTTGCGATAATAGGGCGATAGGCATACGTCGAATCTTCGACCAGAAGAAACGGTGATGAAAAAGAATGAAAGTAGGGAGCGGAGCGAGAGCCATGCTTGTGGGTCGATATACCATGCATCAATTCTTGCATGACAGCTCCCTGAAGACCATTTGAGGGTTGGAGCTGATCCCGAGAGAGGCTTCGGAGGAGCAGATCCAGCTCTGGCGACGGAGAAGAGTGAATGGGAGTGGGATACAGAGTCAGCGGAGCGTTGCGTGTTCAAGACAATTCACGGGTCGAAATGCGCAGGGTATACGATCGTGTGACGAAAGCAATCGACGGAAGTCGACCGGATCGGGCCACTTGCGCTCAAGACACTCGGCTCTACTGGCTATACCCACTCGGGAGCGGCCAAACTTTGATGCCGAGTCGCTTGCATATCGTAAAGTTGTCTTCTTCTCGAGTCATGTGATCGGGGTTGCGCATCATGGCGACTTTTTCCTTGACATTGGGGTGACCGCTGACCATGTGAGTAACTTCTGCTCCGAGGGCTATTGCCACTCTCTAAATCGACGAAAACAAAGGTTCCACAGCCGCTGTTAATCGAGGGCCTTGGAAAATGCGAGGAAAGCAAGCTTCCGGAAAACCCGTCGGCAAAACGGCAGAGATTCATTCAGATTCGAATGTATATGGGGCGTGAGCTTCTGGTAAGCTTGGGCGCATGTCCACGCACGCATACACATGTGCATGCATTGTTAACGGGGCAGAAAAGGGGACGGGGCGCCACACTCACCGCTCCGAGTTGCTTCACGGCCTTGGTGTACTGTTGTACTTTTTTGACGTCGACCGAGTCAAAGAAGAGAACCAATCGATTGAACCGGGCGCGCCACTGTTGGAGGGCTTCCAGAGGCGGTAATCCTGGCACCAACTGCCTGTCTCCGACCTGAAGAGCGTGGGCAGGTTGTGTTGGGCGGCCCTTCTTGGTTTGGGGTTGGGTTGGCAAACGTGGCCGCGGGGACACTAAACGAGCAACAGGCTCAGAAGCCGCAGGAGGCTGTATCAGTTGAGTGACAGAGCCGATACTGGATCGGGAGCCGTGTCCAGCAGTTCGTGTGAAGACCGCTGAGCTTTGAGCGAGATTCGAGTGAGCTGGGCTCAAAGCGGCGCTCTTATGAGGGTTTGGAGTTTTGAAGTGAATATCAGGTTTGGAGTTGCTGCTCCGGAGCTCTTTGGACCTGAAGGGGCGTCCACTCGGATCTGTTGTTGTTGTAGGTATGAGCTGAGGCTCGGTTATGTCAAGCTTCTTGGCGGATAGTGAGTTTGGTGAGACGGATAATGGAGTTGACCTGGCGTTCGATCCAGAGTGGAATTTGGGCAATGACGGAGGAGGATGTGTGGGGGTCGTGGGGGCCAAGGGAGATGACTCGATGAGATGCGATCGACTTATTGGGGTGCGAAGAGATGATCTCGAAAGGGCTGACGAGGGTAGCGACAAAAACGAACGGGCCAGAGGAGGAGTTGAGAGCACAGAGTCGACAGATGGGCGAATTGAGCTGGCATTGGGTGAGATTGCGAGTAGCGGCATTCGGTTGTTTTCCGAAGGATCAGCGGAGACGGAGACTGCTGGCTTGAGTGCCCTTTTGGCGTCTGGGATGAAGACAGTGGTTGTAGTGGTGGTGGTCTTGGTCACCTTTCGGGGGGGCTTGGGGCGGGGACTTTGATCCATTGAGGTGAGCTGGCAACAAGTGGTTGTGAAATGGAAGAGGAACCGGATGACAGATATGGATGAGAGCGTTGAATGAAGAGCGAAGCCAAGGACAATGCCCAGGCCCGGACAAGTGAGGCGGGCGCCCAGGAAACTTGGCTGTGGACCAGCAACAGCGCCCAAAAAGGCAATATGGCATTGGACGTGTCTGGTTGGTCCGGCGATCATGTGGACGCGACGAGCCCACGACCAGGACGGAGATCCGAACAAGATCAAGGCCATCAAGGGCATCTCGATCTGACAGCCGCTGCTCGTCGAGTGCAATACCACAATGGCGCGAGCCAGTTCAGCATGAACCCGCCCAAGACGCAGGAGACAGTGCAATCAGCCGGCCATCTGGCTTGTCGTCGAGCCAAAATCCTGGTCAACACGTACATCCATATCCCGTATGTTTTCCTGCACATTCGGTGAGCACCATGTTCAAGCGAGGCCGACCCAATCAGGGATGCTCTTGCTGTGTCCTCGAGCCATCGCTTGACTCTCCGAAATCCACGGCAGCTGGGCTGCCTCTGAAGCAAGCCTTGAACGCAGAATGCACCCCGGAGTCAACACGCAGCAGAGCGTCAAGTCAAAGTCGATATTCATGTCAAAGGGTGAGCAGCTTCTCTTGCAACTCGATTCCCGGTGAAGTCATGTCTGGCAATGACTGGCGCAAGTTCCATAAAGAAATCGAGCATGGGCAGGGCTTTCGCTAGACGGTGAGTGATAACAAGTACCCCTCGACTAGTTCGCCAATATGTGCTTCCAGGACAAATCCATCGATGCACTCACGGACCTGCGTGTCGGGGTCAAGCACTCCAAGGCGGGTCATGCTACACTCGGCGTAGATATGAATTCGTGCTTCCAAGCAGCATCAAACTAGCTTTCTCGCGGACAAGATATAACCGCTATCAAGGTGGCCGGCAACGACCTACTTGAGGAGTGTTGGCATGTGACGAAGCAAGCCACTTGCGCTCCAAAATACCCATCCCGAGAGGCGACGTACATTGGTGACATCTACAGTCAAGCCCACGACCCTGCGGACATTATCACTCGATCTTGCGAGAACCGATCTTCATAACTATGGTCAGTGACTGCGAAGCTTTAGCCCCTCATTCAGTTGTGAACAAACACCGAGGACCGGATTGCACTGTATTCAGGGGGAAATGGGACACCTGCCCACAACCCATTTGTCGGCGGAGTGTGCGATGGCATGCGCCCAACTATGCCATAAGAAATATGACAAATCACTTTGGCAGCCTCCGAGTGAAGACCACCGGTCGCTCTCCGGTCTCCACAATCGACCTGCACACAGGTCTCGGAGTGCCAGCGGTGAATGATGCTCTTGGACACACTGGCGAATGGTCATGGCCGGCGCGCGATTGTATTGGGTAACAAAATATTTGATCAATCGTCAAAATCAAGGGTGTCCCGCTATGTATTGGATTGACTGTTAATGTCTGGGCAACAAAGCCATGCTTTAAATTAAATTCATTATCGCTCTCACGTGTATCATACCTTACCAAATACATCGATACTCCGACCAAAGGATTGAATGGAGTCGCTCGCGCTCAATCTCTCTTTTCGAGAAAGGCGGTTATTGTGGTTTATCGTATTCATTTGATTTATGCATATGCTTGTCATTCCCATTCACTTTGCATTCGTCCATGTGCATGGAGGATGCCAGTGGTTGAAGTTGAGTGGTTCTTGCTGCGACCCCGAAAATGGCGGCCAGTTGTAGCTCGCTGCAGCGGCTCGTGAGAGCCACACATCCCAGCCCAACCCTGCTTATATTCGGATTTCTCAAGTATATGACTTCTCTGTGCTTGGGAATCCCCAGTTACCTCAGCTGCTACAAATCCTCCCTCCGTCCCATGGTATGGCTCCAACAGCATCCCGGACCACATGGACCCAAGACTTTTCCCGCCGCGCAACAGCACCCACCAGGCTGTTGTCGTGTTCATCCACGAAGCTCACTGTATCCACCAGGCTCATTATCATGGTCGGGAAGCGATGTGATGTTCTACTCTTGACTTTCCACTATGGAAGCGCTATCGACAGTACGAAGGCGTCATGAGGCAGCCGGAAGGATCTTGGCGATGATCCACAGAGAGGACCCGACAAGGGGTGAAACTGGAAAACAAGTACTGTTCGATCCGAAGACATTGGTTGGCCAAAGCAATCCCGAGGATACCCTTCTTTGACCGCTTGTTCTGTCGGGTGAAACAGCAGCCACTTGGGCAAAGATCGGGAGTGAAAGCGATAATTTCCCCCGTCCTCTGCGGTTCGTTCGTTACGCTTGTTTTCACCAGCAACTGGCCTCATCGCGTGCCCTATTTCACCATGATTGATAAGCCCTGGCACATCCCTGAGGATGCCATCACCGACTGGTCGGCCAATCCACTTGCAGCCGGCGGCTTTGGCGAGGTGTTCAAGGCCTCATATTATGGCGCCCCTGTCGCCGTCAAGCAGCTCTATCGAGGCTACAACCAGAATGAACTCGCCGACTTTGGCCGTGAGATTGGCATCTGGCACAGACTCAGTCACCCTCATGTCCTTCCCCTACTTGGTGCCTGCGACACTACCGCCAAGCCCTTCATGGTCTCGCCGTTCATGCCCAATGGCACCCTCCACAGCCACCTTGCCACCGCACCCAATCCCCGACCCCTTGGCGAGAAGATCCGCCTCCTCTACGAAATCTCCTCTGGCATGGCCTATCTCCACGGCAACAACATTGTCCACGGCGACCTCAAGTCCCTCAATGTGCTGCTGGATGAGTCGTATCATGCCGTTGTGACTGACTTTGGCATGGCCAGAACCAAGCACACTTCGGCCACCGCCAACCGAACTCGCCGCGACCAGCCGATGGGCGGCACCCTTGACTACATGGCTCCGGAGATGCTCGATTATGAAAATCCAGTTGGATCGTCAAAGGCTACTGATGTCTATGCCTTTGGCATCACCATGTACGAGGTCCTCAACAACTGCAGGCCCATCTGGGTCACCGCCGACGGTCAGCCAATGAGGGAGAGAGTGATTGAGTCTCAGGTCCTCCGAGGCAACCGACCCAAGCAGTTCGACGACATCCCCGACAGTATCCGAGCCCTCATCGAGCGCTGCTGGCACCAAGATCCCGCCATGCGACCCAGGTTTCCCGAGATCCTCGCCATCCTCCGCCAGTCCACAGTTCTCTTCCCCGCTCAGGACGGAGAACAGAGACCCATTATCGTCACCCATCGTCGCTTGGAGTCGTTCCAGCCAATGCAGCAGACGTCCACTCCCAGGGTGTCCTTTCCCGAACCATTGACTCCCCGGACACCTCCGGCTGCTGCAGTGCTCACGTCCAAGCCAATTCCTGTCAAGAGCCTGGCAGACGCACTGCAGCTGCTCCATGTCGATGCTGAGTTTGATTCAGACGAAGACGATGACGATGAGTTTGATCTCTGGTTCGCCGTCGCCAACGGGAACGATAGTGCCAGCTACCAACGAGCCTTCACCAACGTCTATGCCCAGTCCCGCCACCAGCAGCAGCTCCCCCTGTTCATCTCGGCCATCGCCGCATAGCAGTCTCCTCTGACCATCCGTATGATTGCTGACCTCTTTGGGGTTGACATCCGAATCGTCCGTCGATACGTCAAGGAACTTGGCCCCGTTCTCGATCCCGGCAAACTGAGCCGCGACAAGCAAGGCAGCTCAGCGGCCAAGGCCCAGAAACACAAGTCGATTGCTGCCTATCTGATTGGAGTGGAGTCTGTCGAGGAGCCTTTCCACGTTCGCCTCACAGTGCCTGTTGTCGATCCTCTCGCACGACCCAGTGGTCAACATCTGTGGGATCTACGACTTTCACGACAATGTCACAGACCTCGAGAGCCGAGTCAGGGCCAATATCACAAGAGAGGCAATGTGTGGGTCGATTATCATGATGACTGAAGCAATGCTGGCACCAATCAATAATGTATGCTCCGACATGAATTCAGCGATAGCTCTGCAAAATAACTTGAGTTCATGTGATGAGACCATCAAGTTGGCGTACTCCAAGGCAGGCCTTCTGGCGAATAGTCCATTGCCCGAAGGGACTAATGCGAAATGGAAAGGCAGGTAGAGCTTATTTCGGTCGAATCCATGAAGTTGAATCGTAGAGGGAGCGAGGAAAGCAAAGATCCGTTCAAGATAAGACTTGTCTCGAAATGAGACGTGAGGAACACTCAGAGAATAAAGTAGAAGGCACATTATTTAGTCCTATTTTGAACGCTGAGGTTCGACTACACATCGCGGGGGTCAGGCTATTTATAGACAAGTCCGGACTTGGCAGCGAAGGGCGGCCAAGGGAGGGAAAAGTGGGCGATCGAGAGGGGTGAACGGGGCGATGCACAAGCGAGGGCCGAGAAGGACCACCGAGTGAGGAGGCGGGTGAAACTGGACGGGGACTATGAATGGGTCAAGGTGGGAGTTTTGGAATCAACCAGGGACTCGGCGACTGGGTGAAGCCAAGGCCGATATTGTTCCAGATCCCCACCACCAGAGGAGAGCGATGGTGCGGGCTTATAGGTCCGGCACCCTGACGCGTTGACGCGCCCAGAGTCATACAGGAGCGCGCACCATTTCCTTTTCCGTTCCCCAAACACACACACACACACACACACACACACACACAGTAACCCAGGACGACTCCCTGTATACACTACATCTTTCTCCAGGGCTACAACAGTCAGTCCAGATCCTTTCAGGATGAATTCAGTATCGTAAGAAAGCTCCCGCTCATAGCTATAACATAATGATCTTCAATTGTGTCGCTGTCAGATCACGGGATCAAGGGGAAGTCAAAAGAAGAAGATAGAGAAGGGTTTTATTGATCTTAGCAAGGCTAGGATCTAGAGTCAAGTGTGTCTGGGGTCGAAGGTGATGACCAGAAACATGAGCGGGCGAAGGCGGGCTATTTATCTGTCTGGCGGTCCCGGAGGCGAAGCCTGCCGCAGCGGGGGCGAAGCAGCGGGGCGGCGGGACAGCAGCCAGGCAGCAGCGGCTAACCGGAGAAACATGTGAAAGTCTGTGAGGAGTGAACAAGCGCAAGGACGAAGACCAAGTGCTTGGTATGAGCTTTATTAGCTTTTAGCCCCGAACACCAAAGAACAAGTTTTGTTCGAACTGGTGTTCAACATAGGCTCAGACATGCAGAGCTATTTATAGACCGGGAGAAGGTCGAGGGGCAAATGTGGGCGAGAAGGGTGGAGCATCACAGAGAAGCGAGAAGGGGGTGCGAGAGTGGCTGGTGTGCAAGCGAGAGAGGCTTGGCACAGCCCGGGGACATGTGCCGAGCGGTGGGGGAGGCAGGAAACCAGTAGACGCGGGTGGCAACGGCGCGTGCTCATGCATGGGGGCAAACAAACACGTGGGGACTCATGATTGGTGCGGAGGGCGAGAGCATGCGGGACAATCTCATTGGTCCGTTGTGATGCTGGTCATCACACTATCTCCTCCTCAAACTACGGCGTGTTCCATCTTGAGTTCTCCTGGGGCCAGGCTTGTCTGGGTAGCGTCGGTGGTACTCCGCGGCCACCGTTGGGGCAAAGACAATGTCGGCGGGCTCCCAACTTCGATCGGTGACCGGGTAGCCTTTCCAATCGATGAGATAGTGCAGCTTTCCGCGCACGAACTTGGAGTCTAAGATCTCTTCGACCTCCCACTCCAAGTTCCCATCGATGACCACCGCAGGGGGCGGCGCTTGCACCCGACCCGGAAGCGAGTTCTTCTTGTAGGGCTCAAGAAGAGACACATGGAACACCGGGTGCACCTTTATGTCCTTTGGCAAGTCCAGGCGGAAAGCCAATGTCCCGACGGCCTCGAGGATGGTGAATGGTCCAATCCTCTGGTAATCCAGCTTCTTGCTTGGGCGAGTGGTGCTGATGTTACGAGTCAGCACCCAGACTTGATCGCCCGGACGCAAGTCGGGAGCCTGGGACCTCCGGAGATCTGAGAAGTGCTTGTAGTCAGACTTTGCCTTCTCAAGATTCTCCTTCAACAGTGCCAGGTTCCGCTGGAGATGTTCAACCCTCTCCGTGGCAGAGGGAACATCAGGGCCGCCAGCGACTACGGGGACTTCGAACCTTGGGTGGAACCCATAGGTTGCCAAGAATGGCGAGGCATGTGTTGACGAGTTCTCGAGGTTATTGTAAGAGAACTCGGCCAACGGCAGCAGCTCGGCCCAGTCATCTTGCTGATACGACGTGTAACAGCGCAGGTATTGGTTGATGACCTGGTTGACCCTCTCAGTCTGTCCATCGGTCTGGGGATGGAAGGCCGTGGACAGACTGGTTTGGATCCCGAGCTGCGTGCAGAGTGCCTTCTGTAACAGGACTGGGGACTGGACGAGAGCGGACGGACTGGAGTGAGCGGGTAACGACTGGTTTACTAGGCGAAGGACGGTGTTGTCGTCTCGCCGGTTTATTTTCGGCGGGCGACGCCTTGCATTTACATCCCTGGGGGGTAGCGGACCGGCTTGCCTGCGCTCCTTGGCGCGGGCTAAGCCCCCTCGGGATGCCTTCCGGGTCGTCCCGGAGCTCCCTGTCCGCGTGCCCATTACATCACCCTCTCCCTAAGCCCCCTTCCTATGTCTGGGGTGTCTTGCGGACTTGGTCTTGGTCGGCGTTCGAGGCTTCAAGGGGTACCGTTGATGGAATTCTTGGACTACTTGAGGTGCGCTCCTGCAATTCTCTTCGGATTCCCACGAGTCTTCGTCTGGTCCGTAGCCCCTCCATCGGATCAGGTATTCCAACTTATTACCCCTTACCCTCGAGTCCAGTATCTCCTGCACCTCATATTCTTCGTGGCCGTCAATTTCGATCGGCGGTGGAGGAGGTCCCTGTCGTCCTGGGAGCTCATTGGGCTTGACCGGTTCCAGCAGAGACGCATGGAACACCGGATGGATCCGGGCCATCGACTTCGGCAGCTTGAGTTCGAAGGCCACCTCGTTGATCGCCCTAACGACTTCGAAGGGTCCAAGGCGCTTCCAATCCAGCTTGTCGCTTGGGCGCTGCGTCCTTATGTTGCGACGAGACAACCAGACCTTGGATCCGACGGCAATGTCAAAAGACTTACGGTGCCTGTCGGCGTTGGCCTTCTGTCTGGACTGTGCGTCCGCGAGGTGAGTCTTGAGTTGTTCGAGGTGCTGCTTGATTTTTTCGATGCGCTCCTCGGCTGCAGGCACCTCGGACTGGGTCGACAGCTTGAAGTCACAGGCAGGGTGGAATCCGTAGTTCGCATAGAACGGTGTGCTCTTGGTGCTCGAGTGGGCCGAGTTATTATATGCGAACTCAGCTAACGGCAAAAGCGAGACCCAATCGTCCTGTTGGTAATCGCAGTAACATCGGATGAAGGTTTCGAGGACGCTGTTGACTCTTTCCGACTGCCCATCCGACTCGGGGTGGTAGGCGCTGGACAGGTCAGTCGAAGTGCCCAGAAGCTCATGGAATCGTCGCCAGAAGGTGGACTTGAACTGCGGACCCCTGTCCGTCACGATGGACTTGGGAGCCCCGTGGATCCTGAAGATGCTGTCCATGAACAGCGTTGCCGTTTCTTCGGCCGTGATGGAGGTACTGCAAGCCCGGAAGTGGGCCATCTTCGTGAGCCTGTCGACGAACACGGCAATTGCGTCGAAGCCTTCGGACTTGGGAAGTTCGACCACAAAGTCCATGGATACGGCCGACCAGGGTGACTCCGGGATCGGGAGTGGCTTAAGCAGTCCGTATGGTGCGTGGCGTGCTGGCTTGGCTCTGCAGCACGTCTCGCAGGACTGCACGTACTTGCGCACCGTGGCGGCCATCTTGGGAAACCAGTAGTTCCTGCTCAGGAGCTCCAGTGTTTTCTCCCTCCCAAAATGGCCCGCCGTCCTCGAGTCGTGGCTGTCCCACAGCACTTCAAGCTGCAGCTCGGTGGTCGGGACATACAGCAACCCGTCTCGGAAGAGGAGTCCATCTCGGAGGCGGAAGGCATGGAATCGCGGGTTGGTCAGGTTTGCGATTACTTCCTGGGCATAGGGGTCAGTCTGTTGAACTGCCTTGACCTTCTCCTCGAATGCCGACAGTGCTATCACCTGAAGGGCAGCGATTCTGAGGCGACTTGCATCCAGCAGCACTTGGCGCTGCTGTGTGTAAGCCGGCTCGTCCGGC